TGGTGTGGGTGTGTTCGCTGGTGGAGTCAGTCGTGGGTTGGTGGTGTGGGTGTGTTCGCTGGTGGAGTCAGTCGTGGGTTGGTGGTGTGGGTGTGTTCGCTGGTGGAGTCAGTCGTGGGTTGGTGGTGTGGGTGTGTTCGCTGGTGGAGTCAGTCTTGGTTAGGTGGTGGGGGTGTGTTCGCTGGTGGAGTCAGTCGTGGGTAGGTGGTGGGGGTGTGTTCGCTGGTGGAGTCAGTCGTGGGTAGGTGGTGTGGGTGTGTTCGCTGGTGGAGTCAGTCGTGGGTAGGTGGTGTGGGTGTGCTACAGGGACGTAGCACGCTAGCAGCTACCGAGCTACACGAGCAAGTAGTGTTGCTAGTGCTAGCAGCTACCTATTATCTTAACGCATAAGGACGCTAACACTAGTAGGGCCTATCAGTGTTAGCGTCCTTATCCCAAATCATTCCTGCTACTGATGCTAGCAGCTAGCTATTATCCCAACTTACTCCTGCTACTGATGCTAGCAGCTAGCTATTATCCCAACTTACTCCTGCTACTTGATCTAGTGCTACCAGCCACCTATTATCCCAACTTACTTCTGCTACTAGATCTAGTGCTACCAGCCTCCTATTATCCCTACTTAATCCTGCTACTAGATCTAGTGCTACCAGCCCCCTATTATTGCAACTTACTCCTGCTACTAGATCTAGTGCTACCAGCCCCATATTATCGCAACTTACTCCTGCTACTAGATCTAGTGCTACCAGCCCCATATTATCCCAACTTACTCCTGCTACTAGATCTAGTGCTAGCAGCTAGCTATTATCGCAACTTACTCCTGCTACTAGATATAGTGCTACCAGCCCCCTATTATCACAACTTACTCCTGCTACTAGATCTAGTGCTACCAGCCAGCTATTGTCACGGATGACTCGTGCTACTACTAGACCTAGCAGCAGCTACCATCTCGCCTACCCCCCCCCCCCCCCCCAAGCGTGTAGATAGAGCACGTAGCTTGCCGCGTGAGTTGTTCACAGCTGCAGGTAGGCCACGGCTAGGCGGGGCTGGCCGACTTGACTAAACCAACCTAAACTTGCTTGCTCACTACCGGATGTTGGTCAAGGACAGTTTACCTGGCATCGCCTGCTGGGAGGTGGTTGACCTTACAGAGTTCCCACGATTTTTCTAGTGTATTTTTTTAAATACCCCCCCCCCCCTCCTCCCCGAGCAGACGAAGAAGCCAGCTGACCTTCTGTAGCTCCAGCATTACGACGTAAACCTACAGGTTTTTATAAGTTGTCAACAGAGTGAGCCAACAAATAACCTTTAACCTGCCGGCTCGAGATTAGAAACGTGCTCACCTCATCACGTGCATGAACACCTCACAGCTTGCCCTAAATATTTCCAGATGGAGGCTGGGGCCGAGCCGCACCTAGCCGTGCAATAATAAACAAGTTTCTGTTGATCTGTACACAATTTGGTAGGCTGCACTCTCTCCACTCTATAGGGCCAATACTTGGTTCGTTCACTTGAAAGTTAGGGCAACCTGTGTGTACACACAATTTGGTAGGCTGCACTCTCTCCACTCTATAGGGCCAATACTTGGTTCGTTCACTTGAAAGTTAGGGCAACCTGTGTGTACACACAATTTCAACTGGTGTAAACACAATAAGGCTACCAGCTAGAGGTGTGGGTGTAGGACCAGAAGCTTGTTGGTGCCAATCTCGGTGGGTAGGTGGAGGTATATAAGTTACTAGACATTGATGTTGGTAGTCCATCAGACTTTAAGGGAATAGGCTAAGTCAGCAGAAACAGAGGCAGGGTGGTATCAGTTTCTAGAAGCTAGCCATCTACAGTAGGGCGGTTTTAGCTACTAGAAACAGATAGATTAAGGTAGCCATCTAGGTGGGTAGTAGAAGGTTAATTGAAACCTAGGTAGATTAAGGTAGCAGTCTAGTTCTGTGTTAGAAAGAAAGAGCTACTTGAAAGAGAAAGTAGAATGTGGGCAACCAACTGAGCCAAGCCCGTCTGGGTTGTACCACCTCAGCTGTAAGCTAACCTGACATATTCCCTGTTTACAACTCGTGTAATATTGACCGCAGGCAGACAGGCACCAGATATTTTACTGCAGACCTTTTTCCCACGGGTGCCGTCTTGTAAACCTGATTTCACTTTTTTTTTAAAGGTTGCTGTGTCAAGTCAGTTTGACCTAGTTACCCGCCCTGCTCCCCCCTCTCCCCATCTACCTTGGTGCGCCCTGCACCAGCGTTGCATCGGTGAAAATTTTTTTGGTCGTGCCATTAGCGCTGCTGCGCCGTGGCATGGAGGTGGACCCAGGTCGAAATGATGAATCTTTAGCACGGTCATCCATTAACCTTTATAAAACGGGTGTGCTGTAAAAACGGACGTGTTGTGACATCAAAGCGGTCTGCGGTGTAGGCGAGCCAGCTAATGCATGCATGCTTGCATCGTCCACGCTCGGCAAGGTGAAGCTTGCTCACGATAAATCTTGTAAGCGTGGGAAAAAAAAATTTCCACGTGCATTTTGTTGTCTGGGTTGGTTTTTTTTTTTTATTGCATGCTTGTGTTATTACGTAATATTTTTTTGTCCTTGTTGGTTACGTTCAACAGATGCGCATTATTTAGAAACAGTGGGATTTAATTTGTTATATGGTGGTCAGCATGCTTTTGTTTTTCGTTCTTTGTCGGAGTTGTACATTTTTCTCCACGAATGTTAAATTGGCGGACTGTGGTTCACCTTCACGCATTCCTGTGCCCCATGTTGTTCGTTTATCTCAATGTTTCTCACGCGCGGGGCTTTAAAAAAGTTGAAATTCAGCACGTGAAACTAAACACCGGTGCTCGCGGGGAGCTTTTTCATCACCGTGACCGAGGGGGTGGGGGTGGAAGAATGAGGAGAGGTCTACTTTGTAATTGCCTGGCTCGTTCATTGAGATTAGTTTAACACAAGTTGGTTACATAAACTAAGTTCTGGGTGAGGTCAGACAAAGAACGCTCTCATGGAGGTGAGTTCAACAAACTTGATGGGAGCGGGGGGAAACTTTGTACTCACCTTTAAACTGGGTAGGGTGGATGGTCTAATGTTGACCACTCAGTTCACACCATGGAAGCTGGGTACACAACCAATGGAGCGGAAGTTTAAAAAAAAAAAAGGTGAGATTAAAAACCTAAAATGTTGAATTTTAAAATGCTTTTTTTTTTCTAAAAGGGGAGGTAAAATAAATGGAGGGTACGGTTTTTTTTTTTAACGATAAAAAAAATGTGCGTAACCTGGTAGATGAAGCTGAAACATTTGGCGGTTTAAAAAAAAACGAGTTAAAAAAAAAGCCCGGTGCGTGCGGTACCTAGGGTGAGACAATGTAAGCCGTACCTAGAGTAAAACAAAGAGCACCATGAATCACCGACTGTGGGAAAGAAACCTTCTCACGGAAACACCTGTAGCGCCACGTCTCGGCTCTGGAATTTTGGTGCCAGAGCGGATGTAACAGCGCGGGAAACTCGCTGTGAGGTGGTTCGTGTAGGTGAGTCCATTCACCGTGCCTGGGCTCATCTTCTTATTCGGATCGTTCATGTCATGTAGTCTGTTACTCTAAGCCACCCCCCCCCCCCCCTCTCACTTTTTTTCCCGGGCCCCTACCCCGGACACACGCACACCATGGAGAATCTCTTTATACTTTATTTACTATTCCCCCCGTCGCCCCTCTTTATCTATCAACCCCATACCCTCTAATATAACCCCCTTCATCCTCCCTAATCTCGCGCTTAATTAGCTAAATCCTTAGGGCAAAACAAGTGACTAATCTGTTAAGGTGAAACGGGGTCACCCTTAGCCACGTGACACGGCCCCGCCTTTTTGTTACCTCCGCTTTGTGGGGAGTTTTCTTGTTTCCCCGGCATCAGTGTCATATTTCTGCTCACCCACTTTACATCTGCTCGAGAAAATCTCGGGTGGGGGGGGGGGGGGGGGGGGTAAGGAGGTGAGACGGGAAAAGAATCCTTGACGATATATTTGCAGGGTGTGGGGTGGATGGGAGGGGGTAGATGTTTTGGTTGAGCGAGTTTATTAGTTTTTTGTTTGGTCAACAAAGTAAGTTTGTTGTGAACAATGGAGTCTTTAGTCTGTAGTATGGTTTCCTGCAAACATTGTAGGTTTCAGCTTTTATGAAGTAGGTTTCATGCATAGGCGGCAGGTTTCGTCTTATTAGAAAGGTTTTTTTTTTTTATGAACAATGAATGCTGAAGTGTAAACAAAGGCAATCTTTGAAGTTTCCATGGGCATGTAAACATGAACATTTCCTGTGATACCAAAGTGGGTGTCTTGTTGTGGTAATCACACGGGGCGTGTGGTTATAAAACCACACAGGGCGTGTGGTTGCAACCACAATATGCTTGTTTCTATGGTAACCACATGAATCTTGTGGCTGTGGTAACCACACACATCTTGTTTCTATGGTAACCACACGAATCTTGTTTCTATGGTAACCACACGAATCTTGTGGCTGTGTTAACCACACGAATCTTGTGGCTGTGGTAACCACACGAATCTTGTTTCTATGGTAACCACACGAATCTTGTGGCTGTAGTAACCACACGAATCTTGTTTCTATGGTAACCACACGAATCTTGTGGCTGTGGTAACCACACGAATCTTGTTTCTATGGTAACCACACGAATCTTGTGGCTGTAGTAACCACACGAATCTTGTGGCTGTAGTAACCACACGAATCTTGTGGCTGTAGTAACCACACGAATCTTGTGGCTGTAGTAACCACACGAATCTTGTGGCTGTGGTAACCACACGAATCTTGTGGCTGTGGTAACCACACGAATCTTGTTTCTATGGTAACCACACGAATCTTGTTTCTATGGTAACCACACGAATCTTGTGGCTGTGGTAACCACACGAATCTTGTGGCTGTGGTAACCACACGAATCTTGTGGCTGTAGTAACCACACGAGTTATCCTGCTGATGTAATCAACTTTGGCCTGCTGTCCCCAGATTTAACAGACGAGCACAAAGTCAGCGAGTCGGCCGCACTTGCGACAGCCCGAGTTCTTACCTCCGATGACGAGGACACCACCACACAGATCAGAAAAAAAAACACTCTCTCCGACCCAGAAACGAAAAAGAGCCTTCTAGGCGAAATCGACAATTTCGGGTGTGATGTCACGCTCGGTCACCATAGCAACGAGACGAGAGATAGTTCGTGCGGGACTTGTCCAAATGGAACCAGGACAGATGGGCTGAGTAGGGAGAGTGGAGAGGATCAAAGTCTGACAGAGAAACTGGTCGTCACGTCTGACCAAGGTGAGATATCTCTTCTGTCTCCTTATCTCAGCTCAGTTGAATTGTTTCAACTAAGTTGTTTCAACTGCTTCACTTGTTTGATCCTAATATATTTACCCTGTTATGTTTATATAGGCGAGCCCTTGGTTGAAAGCCTACAAGAATGTATCCAGAATGGCGATGATCACTCAAGGGAGGTCATTCCCGAAATTTTAAATAAAGAAAAAGCAGCAGAAGTCACTGGTCAAGAATCAGATCAGGATGAAGAAAATTTGTTACACAGTGAAGGTATGCTTGTTTGCAGCACTAAGTTACAATAAGTACATTTTTTAAATTCAGTCTCTGAAATTTTGGACTTTGTAGTACCACATTGTTTTCATATTGTAAGTTTCTAAATTGATTGGAGGATATACATTCAACTAATTGGTTAAAAAACTTTATATTTATATAATGTTTTCTCATATTCAGCTGTCTGTGTTTCTGAACTTAACTTTCCTGTATCTAAACTGTATTTGGTTGTTTTGTAGAACATATTTTGGAAGAAGAGTATGTCCTCAAGTGTATTTACTGCGAGACCACAAGCACTCGCTCCACGTTGTTGCGAGATCACATGCGCAACCAACACCCAGACAAGCCCGTGCGCTACCAATGTCCAAAGTGTGAGCAGACCTTTCTACTCAAGTCTCACTTGGACAAGCACCTGGCTACTCACTCACCCACCTCACAGTCATGTAAAGTGAGTACACTTTTTATGCACTCTTTTTTTTTACTAGTAAAAGAAAAATGTTGGTAAATTATCTTTAATCTACTGACTAAACTTGCAGTAGACATTGAAAGTTTTAGTATATAATTTCTAGGTTGTTTTTTGTTTTTCAAAAATGAATCCTGTGATTTAATTTCTTTAAGCGTATGTTAATTATCAAGGGGTATGCGTTGTGTTTCAGATTTGCCAGAAAACATTTGCTAATGTGTACAGACTGCAGCGTCACATGATCAGCCACTCCGAGTCCACAGATCTCCGCAAGTTTAAATGTCCTGAGTGTGGCAAGGCATTCAAGTTTAAACATCACCTTAAAGGTAAGCAGCGTTGAGTGCTAGTTGAAATTCAGGGAACAAATGGGTACATCTTTTTAAAAATGTAAGAACCCCTTTCCTTATCAATGAAAAGTTTTGCCAATGCAGCTGTAGCTGTTTGTCTGCTGTACTTACACTTGGTACTTTGGTCTATCCAGAACACATCAGGATCCACTCAGGGGAGAAACCCTTCCAGTGCCCGACCTGTTCTAAAAGGTTCTCACACTCTGGATCCTACAGCAGTCACATGACCTCAAAAAAATGCTGGGTCATTGGTCAGAGCAAGGGTCGGCGTCAGGACAGACAGATGGAACAGTCTAGACCTGAGAACACCAGATTTATGTTCCCTACAGTGGCCCAGGTGTACTCTCCGTCATCAGGTGAGTTGTGTTCAGCAATATATAACTCCTCGGTTGGTTAGTTGTACACTTTAGATAAAACAATTGTTTGTTAACAGTGCATAATATACCTGGCAGTATCTTAGTCTCAACGTCCTGAACATTTTTATTTCAATCAAAATATATTAAAAACAAAGAAGTTTTTTTTTTTAAAAAAAACAAGAAATAAAACTATTTAAGTGATAGACTTCTTATGTTTTTCATGTATTTTGATTGTGTTGATGCAGCATATTGTGACTCTTAAATCTACATTGTTTAAAAAAGATCTCATCTGTTCCAGGGTCCTACTCTCAGCAGCTGATGAAGTTTGACCCAGCATCACTACGGCATCAGTACTACCCCTCACCCCCGCCCGCCATCATGAACCCCAATGCCTTCAACTTCAGCCTTTACCAACAGAAACTGTCCTCATCTCAGTCTAGCGCTGCCACTGGCATGACCATGGCGCCCCCCTCCGCGGCTCCCGTACCCGCTCACCAGCACTCCAACATTCCATTCCACCTGCTGCCTCCAGCCCATCTCCTGGAGCAGTTGAAGAAGACAAGTAGCATGAACAATGTGTCTCTGCCCACACCCTCCCCATCACCAATAGGCCAGGGGGAATCAGCCAGTCCCCCTGTGGATAAGAAAAACCTGAGCTTGGAGAAAGACGGGAAGTTTACAGCTGAGCTGATGAAGAGGATGTCAGTACCTGAGGACCTGAAGCCTAACATTGACAAAGTCAAGGAAGAAGTTGTCTCGGATGAGGAGAAGCCGGATGAGAAGGAGTCTTTAAAAAACGAAGATGATATCTCAGACATGATTGTGGGTGAGGTGAAGCTAGAGATGAACGAGGCGTCAGACGGGGAGGTACAGACCTGCAGGTACTGTAAGAAACAGTTCAGCAGCCCTGTGGACCTCCACCAACATGAGCGCTACATGTGCTCAGACAACCATGACATCCAGAAAGTTATGGCAGGGGACGACAGCTCCTCCGTCTACAGCAGCAAGGTGTCTGATGAGGAGGACATGGATGATGATGAGGACGAGGAGGACGACGAGGAGGAGGAAGAGATGAAGGCTGAGAGGCTGACTGAGAACCAAGCCCAGCATCTGAGAGGCTGCTTCAGGGACAACAAAAACCCTGAGAGTCAGGCCATTGAAGAAATCGCCAAAATTATTGGCGCTGACAAAAGAATGGTTCAGGTAGCTAGTTTTACTCTTTTATTCAAACTAATTTGAGCTGTAATGTAAAAAAAAAAAAATTTTAGTAGATATTTTTAAAAACTGGTTCTTGATTGCTGTATTTTCAGGTGTGGTTTGAGAACGCCAGAGAAAGAGAAACTAAAAAAGTGAAGAAATCTTCACCCGTCAGAAGTGTGAACAAAAAGATCAGGAGCTCGCCTTCAACTTACATTCCCATTGTCCCTAACCCTTATGCACTCCTCAGCCACCGCAAGCAGGCCCCGCATCCAAACGTTGGACCTCTGACCCCACCCTCAGAGGACCAGCCCCTGGATTTAAGTGTTAGGAGACAAGAACCCCCCAAGGCACACGAGCACCACAAAATGTTAAGCAATAGCCAGCTGAGCGAGGAGACCCTAGAGGAGCATGTCCTGAACCTGAGCACCAAGGTCCCCAAACAGGAAGCGGCGTCCCCCAGCAAAGCTGCCAGTTTGTCTGTCCCCAGCCACTTCCTGCATGTCCCCCCCACCAAGTCTGTTGTCCTGATGAACGAGTCCAACTACAGGTTCCAGCACTCAGACATCTACAAGTACATGACCAACAAAGGCCTGTTTTCTCCTTTACTGGACCTCACAGCTCACCGCAAGTTTTCCTCAGGGATGCTCAACTCTTCTGTTCTGTCTCAGATCACGGGAGTTATTCCCCCTAACAACCACCATCCACACAGAGATTCTCCTGTTAATTCAGAGAACAAGGGCATCTCAGTGAAAAATGGTAAATAATAATTACTTAATATTAACATGTTTAGTTTTTTACTTTTAGTTTTTTGGTGGCATTTTGTATACACATTTTAAAATTAATTTTTAGTCATATTTTGGCTTTAAATTTGGAAGTTTATATTGGCATTTTGTTTATAATTTTTTACAATTTTTAAAACTAGAATCCAGCCCTTCTTCACCATCAGCTAACCAGTTGGTCATTGATGAATGTTTGGACAAGGACGAGAAGCCTGTGGGAGAACTGAAGAGGTTTCTAGAAACTCAGGGCAATCTGCAAACTCTGGCCAATGTGGCGCTACACGAGGAGGCCATGGCCGCTGCTGATGGCAAGCGCAGGAGAAAGAAGAGTTGCAAGCAGGTGAGTCTGGCGGCATCACGGCATCGCATTCCCTCATTGTTTTAACACTATCACTGACAACCTTGATGTCATTCACAATACAGGTCTCAACACTAATTGTTTTCTGAATGATCTTGATGAATTGTTTAATGTAAATATCTTGACAAATTGTTAAATGTGAAGGATCTTGTTTTTCTGCAGGTGGAATCTGAAGAGATAAAATTAGATGACCTTGAAGACTCTATTAGCAACCCAGAAGATGGATCTGCCTCTCCACGCAAGCGTCGCCGCTCGTGGAAAGGTCATCGCATGAGTGAAGAGCTGGGACTGTACGCTTGCGACCAGTGTGACAAGCAGTTCAGTAAACAAAGTTCCCTTGCACGCCACAAATATGAGCATTCAGGTACCTTAACACTATTACATATTTTTTTTTTATTTTAAAAACTGTCAAAGTTGTAATTTTTCTTGTAATATATCAAGCAGCTGTCTGCAATAGCTTTAATATTGTGTTTTCTCTCCTGTAGGAGCTAGACCTTTCAACTGTGAAGTTTGCTCCAAGGCCTTCAAGCACAAGCACCATCTGACAGAACACCGCAGGCTACACAGTGGAGAGAAGCCCTTCAAGTGTCGCAAGTGTGGGAAACGCTTCTCCCACTCTGGTTCCTACAGCCAGCACATGAACCACAGGTAGGTCCTCACCCTAATCCTTCAGCTCTGGAGTTACTTTATATTTACCAGAGTACGTTAATTGGTAGTTTTGTTTAAAGCTAAATATTTGACCCAAACCTCGGAAGACAACTTTATTTGCTATTTTTCTATTTATAAATATTCAATTTAGATCCGTATCAGATTATCCTCAATTCAGTTTTTCTCAAATAATTTTCTCAAATTAGTCTTTGAAATTAGTTTTCATAATTTAACAGATACAAATTTTGCAAGCCATCAGATGGTGAAGATGATGATATTATCCCCAACAAAGAACTTTGAGGATCATCTTATCAACACAGAGAACTTTGAGGGTGAACTTATCCCACATAAAGAACTTTAAGGATGAGCTTATCCCACACAAAGAACTTTGAGGATTGTCTTATCAACACAGAGAACTTTGAGGGTGAACTTATCCCACATAAAGAACTTTAAGGATGAGCTTATCCCAAACAAAGAACTTTGCCAGATAAAGCCCAAGAAGAAAGCAATGAAATCCATCTGTTAGCCACAGCACATATCTAAGTATGTTACTCGACTCTATGCCATACAATGTTCACCTTCAGAAAGCAATGCTCTTGTACTATTACTTCTGCTTGATGCTAGTGTTTGTAGCTACAAACACCTCAGTGGGCTTCTGGTTTCAACCCACCAAGCCCATCTAATTTTACTTAAGGTCTATAATAATGCAATTTGGCAACTGTTGTATAGCCAATCATTGTATATACATGTATATATATGAAATTGTTGCACATTTTTACTCTATTCCAATATTGTTTCTTTTACACAGTATAACTTGTATTCCTTTGCTTTCATATGTTTATTGTTACCTCATTGTTTCACAAAGAACCAGTCTTTGCCAGGTTTTTCTAACTCTCCATTCACAATAATTGTACAAGAAATGTTTGTTTCATGTTTTGGTTAGATGGGACCCCATGACTCCAGGATTCCAAAAGATGTTGGAACAATTTCTTCATGTATTCCATTGGTTTTTTTTCAACTCCAACAATGTTCTTTTTTTTAATACATTTTTTTTTCTTTTATTGAAATGAATATCACAAAATGTTATCCATATTCTATGTCAGTAATTGGGGAAGTTCAAAAGAAAGCCCCATTTTAAAGACAAAAAAAAACTGATGAGGGGAGATAATAAATTAGGATTTTAAAAACGAATAATTTTCATAAAACCATACCACTCCAGCGAAATTATTTTTAAACATTTTTGTCCAGTAAATTTAACACAAACCATAATGAAAACTTTTATTAATTCTTTAACATAATATAAAATTGAATATTATTAAATGCCATTAATACTCATTTATCATGTCAACATTTTACAAGTAAGATTTTTTGTTTTCTTTTAAATGTTGCTGACTTTATGGATAACAAATCCATGTTTGCCGTCAGTAATTTGATTGGTGGGATGTCTGTGGTGACACTCATCCATGACAGCAGTCAGCACCCTGTCGCCCACATTGCATATGGTAGCCTAGTTTGCTTACAGTGTTTTTATGCCTTCTTGACATTCTTCTCTTGTACATTGTATACCTACGATTATAGGTTTACAATTGTATACCTACAATTCCAACTAAATCCCAGAGCTTCCATTCCAAGTAGATTGTAGCCTGTTTTTTTTTCTCTCTCTGTCTGACCAAGAGTTGCTGAAGTGTGTGTGTGTGTGGCAAGTGGGTGCTAAAGTGTATGTGTGTATGTCTAACCAGCAGTATCTGAGATTTGTACGGGTGAGAAGATGTATGTGTGATGGCTAATACATGATGTGTGTGACTGGTATATTTTTAACTACTTACGTATGTTTGGTGTATCGCTTCATTTGTACATGTATGACATAAAATTGAATTTATATACAGATTTTTATCACGTATTGTAAAATGTGTACATCTATCTTGTGGATTACCTAGAGCACTTTGTTCAACATTTGTATGTTTATTCACATTTTTTTATAGCACTTGAACTAGAAATGACATGGTTAGGATTTGTTTGTAACTTCAAACATTTGAAAACTTCTAACTTTTGAAAACTTCAGGAGAAACAGTTTTAAAAGATTTTACAGTTTCATTTTCATCATCACTCAGTCAAATTGAAGAAACTACAAGAGTTAGTTGACTGTGGGAGGAGGGAGGGAGGGAGGGGGTGATGAGAGGCTGGACAAACAGCTGGTCATACCAAAGATTGTAAATACCCCAGTCACAATTTATTTTTAAAAGATGTCTTTTATTTTTTTACCCGTCATTTTTAGAAGATCCAGCGTGAACAACAACAAGATTATGCTTTAGTTATGGTGATGTAGTGCTTTGTATATTTTTAAACAGAGTTCTTGCTTGATTTCATTGAGCTGATTTGATTTAGTTTTAAAAGTTTGTGTGCACAGCTTCTTGCGCCATGTCAGTATTTTTTTATTTAGATGACCCGCAGTGTCAGGCTTTATGTTGTCAGTGTACAGATCCTATAGCAGTATTATGTTCTATATTTTCTTATTGTCGGTATTATTATGTTGTTTTTCTCATTGTCAGTAGTACTTTCTACAATATTTGTATGCATTTACCTATGTCAGTATTACCTTATTTTGCCTAAACAACCCCATCTCAGTATTACTTTTTTTAGACTACCCATCTCAGTATTACCTTTTTTGACTACCCATCTCAGTATTACCTTTTTTAGACAACCCCATCTCAGTATTACCTTTTTTAGACAACCCCATCTCAGTATTACCTTTTTTAGACTACCCATCTCAGTATTACCTTTTTTAGACTACCCATCTCAGTATTACCTTTTTTGACTACCCATCTCAGTATTACCTTTTTTAGACTACCCATCTCAGTATTACCTTTTTTAGACTACCCATCTCAGTATTACCTTTTTTAGACTACCCATCTCAGTATTACCTTTTTAGACTTCCCCCATTTCAGTATTACCTTTTTTAGACTACCCCATCTCAGTATTACCTTTTTTAGACTACCCACCTCAGTATTACCTTTTTTAGACTACCCACCTCAGTATTACCTTTTTAGACTTCCCCCATTTCAGTATTACCTTTTTTGACTACCCACCTCAGTATTACCTTTTTTGACTACCCCCATCTCAGTATTACCTTTTTTGACTACCCACCTCAGTATTACCTTTTTAGACAACCCATTCAGTATTACCTTTTTTAGACTACTCATCTCAGTATTACCTTTTATTATTCCCTTCCCCCTACCCCTGTACACACTTCCCCATGTTGTATGATGAAATGTTCTCTATTTTGTGTACTCATCTTTAGGCCTGCTGTGTACATTAGTTTTGATGCCACTATTTGATGACTGACCTATTATGTACATACACGCTATGATTGTATGCTTGTAGTACAGGATCAACTCCTGCTACAGACATCATTACCACCCAGTATTAATTTGCTAGCATGTTGTCCAAAGCTTATTTTGGATGACATAGTTCATTGTTTATAACTCAAGTATGCAACTTCCAAGCAGTACAGAATATTCATTCTTTTCTCTATGATATTGTAATGCAGGCTGTAAAGCAGTCTTCAATGGCTGTATGAATCAGACAGCTTTACAAAGCTGTTTTCTACTGCATTACAAAGCTAATGATTGTTTTATAAGATTTTTTTTTTCTTATTCATTATGTTCCAATGAATGTGCCAAATGTTATTTGCTTGTTTAATTCACTGCAATATATTGTTTACTTTGAGATGTTTGATTCTATGTATCCTATGTATCCTATGACTTGCTCATGTAAGGCCTCTGAGCTGGCAATCAAACTGTGGAGCAACTAAAGCAGGCTTGACGTGGGTGACTTCCATTTGAATGCTGTACCTATGTTGTGCTAGTCAGACAACTTAGACCAAGCAGTAGACTTAGTTGTATGTTGTATGATGTTGTCTGTTTGAGTGTTGTACCATTCCTTTAGATGACTCCGTGTTGATTTGATTTATTGGCTATGGGAACAATATTTACTTCGCTATATTTTCCTTTCAACATTTATATTCTCAATCTGTTGTTTCTGTTGAAAAAGTATTTTTTTTGTTAGCCTAAAATATCATTCCAAGTATTGAAAGTAACTCACTCATTTCCCTTTGTATGGCCTGATTTTTATATACCTGCGTGTAATTTTACTCAGATGATGAGCTTTGACCAAGTTTTTATGCAGACAGAAAATGTTTTTTTATGTATATCTTGGCTTATTTTACTTTTTTAGACAAAGTTATATCTCAATTTAACCCATACTCTTTGACAAAAACCACATAGAAATCTTCCTGTACATATTTCAACTTTTTCTATCGGCTGTGGTCTAAGTGGATGGGTGTCACAATCTAGTCTTTTCTTCATTGATTCATTTTTTTTTCTCATTAACCTTGACAATTTTCTTTAAATACTTCAAAAGAAAATTTTTAAATTTTTATTGACAATTTGTGTTATCAAATTTTTAACATAGCTCTATTTTTATAGAGTTTTTTCCCCTTTGTGCAATCTATTCAAACTGAGATCTATTAAAGATTTCATTAATTTTTTTTTCATATACAAAAATTTTGTTTCTCTAACCTCAAAGCCCAAATATCTGCTCAAATAGTTTGATCTTGAACACTATTGTAATCATTGTGTCTGGTCTTGATTCAGTCATTAGGGGAGGGTAAACACGTGGTTTGCTTGTTTATTCATCTAGATGTTTCTAACATTCTTTTATTTTTTAAAAATCATGAAAATAAAATTTCTAAAAGTTGAATTTTTTTTGTTCATCTTGTTGTGTGTGGGGACAAGTTGTGTGATCAGATTGTGTGGTTAAATTGTGTGGTTGTGTGTGGGCAAGTTGTATGGTTAAATAGTGTGTGGGCATGTAAGGTTAAATTGTGTGATCAAGTTGTGTGTGGGCAAGTTGTGTGGCTAAATACATTGTTTCAATAAATACACCCGATCCGTGTTTTTAAAAATACATTTGGACCGAATACTGCATATGGCATATTGGCCTATTGTAGGAAAAGAAACACGACGACATTAAAATATATTTCCATGTTTAACAGTGAAAGAAAAATGTAAGTGATGTTACCTCAGCATAAAGAATCATAGAAACAAATGCAAATGTCAGTCTCCATCGTAAATTTATTTACATGAAAACAATAGAAACAAATTATACTTTAAACATATCGATGTTTGGACAATAAGCCTTTGCTGACTACTGGAAAACGTAGATAGAAACTGCTTAAGCATTCATTACATTCTAAATAGGCCTATGTGCAGAGGCGTAGCGTTGGGGGGGGGGGGGGTGCGGATCGCACCTGGTGACACAATTTACGGGGGTGACACCAAGGCAAAAAATAGTAAAATATATAGAGAAAAATTTGAGGGGGGGGGGGGGTGCAAATCGAAAATTGAAAGTTTGTCCCTGGGAAGAGTTGCTACGCCTCTGAGGGGGTGACACCATTAAGTGCCGCACCGGGTGACACCCGACCTCGCTACGCCACTGCCTATGTGTTATATAAATCTAAAAAAAATAGCAGCTTATTGTTTAATTGTGTTTAATTTAGGCTACTGCCTGAAGATTAACACTCTGTTTATCAAACACTGGTATAACACATAGATCTACCCAGAAAGTTGTTCTGGGGGGGGGGGAGGGACAACAAGGGGATAGAATGATTGGCATAGGATCGTTTTTTCTTAGCTTCCACCCCTTGAGAGAAAAGATGGGTATGATCCACATGGACAGGAATTGTTTTTGTTTGGGCAAAATTACAGAAGGGCGTGTCCCATAAGGTTAAGTTAGCCTACAAGACGTGCAGGATTAACCAGTCTAGTTGTTTTGGGTTTGGATTAATCCCCCTGTGTGTATACTTATAAAATATAGAGTTAGTCTTAGTGGATGTTAAAGTTAGCTGGGTTAGCTGTTAGAGTTAACAATAAGAGATCTTGGGTTAGGATTAAACCGGTGTATAGGTTAAGCCTAACTAGATGCAAAATATTAGTATAAGCCCGACCACATGGGCTGGGTAAAGTTTAACGTTAGCACTTCAAGGTTTGTAGAAAGAAAACAAAGGTGAGTAAATACGGGAATAAGACAAAGTTGTTCATGGTTCTTTTTCCTAATTGTTTGTTATGCATAGATTTTCATGTTTTTTTTTTTAAAGTATCCCCTTCGTTTACAATTTAACTGACTGAATGAATAAGTCAATTGCATTGTTCATGTTCAAGCCTTTTTTTTTCTTTTTTTTTACAAATATGTTCTTTGTAAATTATGATTTTGAACATTTTAAAATATGCCATTTCAGATTGATTTTTTCAAAAGGCACTAACTTCTGTTCATTTAGGACCTACATCACAGGCTGTAACCCCACACCCACCCCAAATTAATCTATACAATATCATCTTATTAGGTAGACTAGTTGGTGGCAGACAGGAACAAATTGGACAGCAGGAGTCGCCTCATGTCCTGTACGGAGTCCTGTAGTGCTGTTCTGATTGGTCACGGTGAGGTGGGAGCTCTTCTGTGTTCGTCTTCTGTTGCAGGTCACGTGATCTGCTGCTTGACAGTTGGAGATGCACGGACTGAAGTTTGGCAGAGTTTCTGTGGAGGTTCATTTTTGTAGGATTAATTGACATCGTTGGAAAAAAATTTAAATTTAAATTAATGTTTATGTACCTACTAAAACAATGAAAAAAAAGAAGTAATAAAACAATAATAAACGACGTCGAACTTTGAAAACATATTTTACCACCCTCTCCCCATCGTCACATCTCGTCACAAAAAGCCAGAACCCCCTTAAATAACGTCACACATGAGTCTAACAACCCCCCCCCCCCCCCCACACTCTTCAATTTCAATTTTTTAAAACAATGTTTTCTTTCTAAAATATAATATTTACTCAACTCGCTCAATAGTAAACGATTTCTATTGCGATATACAATAACATTCTTTTTAAAATCGCGGAGTGACCGTTAAGATTCAGTTCCTAACATTACTTTTTAAATTGCAAAATTTGTGCCGTCATTTTTTCTGATTTCCCCCACGCTGGTAATAACACATATTTCAGTTTGATTTTGTCCCCATCAATATGGATAAACAGTTTAATATTTACAGGGGGGTACTTGATCGTTCTTTTAAAAAAAAATACTAGTTTGTTTCTTCTTTAGCTTCTTAAACCGATCGGGTGTTTTAAATAAACATTGTCAAAATATTCTATACGGGTCGTCCATATATATTATCACCCTATTTTTTGGGCGGTTTTTAAATCTCTCCTTCCCCTCGTCACATCTCGTCACAGAAAGTCAGACCCCCCCCCCCCTCCCGCACCCTAGATGACATCACACATACGCCTACACAGGGTTTCTTTTAGTAATATTGCTCAGGATTGGGGGGGGGGGGGGCAGTGTAAGGGGAGGAGGATTGATTATAAGAATGTTTGAACGATACATTTTCTATTAAAATTTAAAATTTTCTTTTTTTAGGGGTGGTGAAATGAAATGCCTAGAAGTAATTTGAGCCTATTCCCAGAGGCGTAGCGAGGGGTGGGGGCGGGGGGGGGTGACACCGGGTGACACCATTTGGGGGGGTGACACCAAGGCAAAAAATAGCAAAATATATAGAGAAAAACTTGACGGGTGGGGGGGGGGGGGGTGCAAATCGAAAATTTGAAAGTTTGTCCCCGGGAAGGGTCTCTACGCCTCTGGGGGGGGGGGTGACACCATTAAGTGCCGCACCGGGTTACACCCGATCTCGCTACGCCACTGCCTATTCCCTTCCATCAAACTGAAATGTTGCTTTATTTTTATATGGAAACAGGAGTTTCCTTTTAAAGAATATTAATTTAACTGTGTCAATGTCGGTCGATGTTTTTACAATTCACAAAAAAAAAGTCTTTTAAGGTGTAAAACAGCTGGTAAATAGTTGTAAAAAACAATTACATTTAAAAATGCAACGTCGCCCTTTCTGAACACCCCCCCCCCCCACGCCCCATCCCTATTCTTATTGTGACTCATCATAACAATACTTTGAACCCTACTGGACCCGTTAGGAGCATGTCGTCATTTATGGGCGACTGACGACCCCTTTAAAAAATGTAAAGTTTGGTGGTTAAAAAACATGAGAACACACACTTGTGGTTAAAAATATAACAACCCAGTTGAGTGGAGGGGGATGGGTAGTGGTTCTATGTGGTGTTAAAAATACAAGACAGTTAAGTAAGGGAGGGGTGGCTGGTTTTATTTGGGGTTAAGTTTTTTTAAATTAAAAAAAAAAAATTGGTTAAATTATGGGATTGTTGGAATAGACAAGTAATGTCAACTTTTCCGGTTACCAGGTGGAAGGGCTACTACAAGTCAACAAAATCTGTTTTAGTGAAGTGTCTGTGACACATTTTTTATGTCAAGGGTTTGACAATACACTGTGTTACAATCCACAATACATGGTGTCACAATCTAAAGAAAAACGAAGGGAAAGGGGGTGTAAAAATAGTTTTAAAAACGTGATATTATTTTTGAACCAATATAAGGGGGAGGTATTGTTGCTTGTAAATATACTCAAAACGTGATTACGTGGAGGGGTGGGGGGGGGGGGGGCAGAGGCGTAGCGACCCTTCCCGGCGCCCGGGGACAAACTTTCGATTTGCACCCCCTCGAACTTTTGATGTGCACCCCCCCCCCCTCAAACTTTCGATTTGCACCCCCCTCAAACTTTCAATTTGTTTTTCGAACCCATTTTGGCGCCCGCCCCCCCTAAGGTCGGCGCCCGGGGACATATGTCCCCCCCCCCCCCCGCCCCGCCCCCTTCGCTACGCCTCTGGTGGGGAGTGATGTCAGGATATTCTTAATTACTTGATTATAGTTTCTATCCCACCACTCCAAGTCAGATGTTGGTATAGTAATTAGTAATATCTGACATATAAACAAAAGTTATTTTTAAAAGCACGTTTGTATTATATGTTGAGACAATATGGATAAATATCCACCTCACTCTTACAACAGTGCTTGTGGAGTTGATACTTTAATAATTGTTACATTTTAAAGATGTTTTTGGGTACTGGGCGTACGTTTACGTGTTTAGGCTTAAACTTTGCCATTTAGAAGACAACCTCTGCGGCTTTATCCAACATTCACCATAATTCTCAACGTTAAAATTGAATATATTAGTATTAACGTAAAAAATAGAAGGTACTTTTCCGAACAGACGGTAGCTAGAGCAGTTGGAGAAGAGTTCGTCTGTTTTTGTGACCGCGGTATCTTTGCCCAGCCGCCTTGACTTTCCCAGACTCATATCAGGTACCCATTAGCAGTGGCGTAGGCAGGGGGGGGGGGGTTAGGGGGGGTCATAACCCCCCCCCATAGACCCCTCGGTATATATAAAAAGTATGAGGGGGGGGGGTGCAAATCGAAAGTTTGAGGGGGGGTGCAAATCGAAAGTTTGAGGGGGGGGGGTGCAAATCGAAAGTTTGAGGGGGGGGGGGGTGGAAATCGAAAGTTTGAGGTGGGGGGTGCAAATCGAAAGTTTGTCCCCGGGTAAAAAATTGGAACCCCCCCCTTGAGACGATCCTGGCTACGCCACTGCCCATTAGAGCTGGGTTGACTCAAGTTGATCATGATTGATGTTACTAATGTTTCAGCTTCTTGTCAGAAGTTTACACCACAATTACAGATAAGACTAAAACCTTTTTTTTCAATTTAAACAAAAAATAATGATAAATGATTATGATGTATCGTTATTGATTTCATGCAAGTAAATTAGAACCAGACCTAATTATTTAATAGTCTGTTCACAAATTAAAACTAAACAAAAATTTGTCCACGTATGTTCAATTAAACGTTTAACCAATGACAACTTTTTTCTTTCTCTTAAAATACTGGTATTCGATTATTTATCGTCTGAAAACTACCAACAACTAGACAAAAGTTTTTTTTTTTTTTTTTTTTTTTAATTTTATTCATTTAGTTTATAGTCTAAAAACTACCGACAACTAGACAAAAGTTGTTTTTTTTTTTAAATTTTATTCATTTAGTTTATAGTCTAAAAACTACCGACAACTAGACCAAAGGTTTTTTTAAAAATAATTTTATTCATTTAGTTTATAGTCTAAAAACTACTTACAACTAGACTAACATTTAAATAAGAAGCAATTTTCTTTTATTCACTTAGCTTTTCGTCTGAAAACTACCAACAACTAGACCAAAGCTTTAATAAGAAGCCGTTTTCTTTTATTCATTTAGTTAATAGTCTGAAAACTACCGACAGCTAGACCAAAGTTTAAAAGAAGCAATTTTCTTTTACTCATTTAGTTTATGCAAACTACCGACAACTAGACCAACCTTGCGAATCTTTTCTTCCTCTTCCCTCTCAAGTAACAAGAACACAAAATGACAATGGCGATAAAGGAAAGAACGGCAACTGACACGCAGACGGCGATGATGATTGCATCATTTCTCGAACTTGAGCTGCCTGTTTCTTTTTCTGTAAACGTCGGGAACGTCACAATGTCTAAAAACAAAAACAAATGGTTGGAAACAGATTAAGTTAAACCAACAGCGTGGATCTCACAGAAGAATTTCAAGAATCAAGGTCTATTTATGCTTTGGTTTTTTTTAACAACCCGAAAACCCACACAAATTCACAAAAAGACAAAAAAATTTTTAAAAAATTGGTGGTGAAAAGTGGTTGGTTGCTGTAATAGCCTTAAGGCAAAATGGTTGCGATAGGTGGGGTGGGGGAAGGGGGTGAGGAGAAACAGGAACTATAGGTGGGGGGGGGGCAGGAAATAGAGGAGAAAGGAACAATAATTATCTGGGGGGGGGGGAGTGCGCAGGAATTATAGGAAAGAGGGGGGGGGGAAGGGTTGGGAGAGGGGTTGGGCAACAGACTGGTGGTGGGGGGGGGGGAGGCCGGTATTATAAGTAAGTGAGAGGGATACAATGGCTGTGGGGGGGGGGGGGCTAAGGAGGAAATGAAGAAACAGCTAAATACAACAGCTAAAATCAACAGCTGCTGTACAGCTGTGAAATTTTCTACCCGACCCAAACGCCACCACTCGACTCACAAGGTAGTCACCAACAACCGAAGTGTCTCCGTCAAGATAATGATACCATCGGCTCTTACATGGCCATATAGCTTTAGTAATGTATGGGGTTTTTAGGAACTGTTATATGATGTTTTGGGGAAAGTGATGGCTTATGTAGATGTTAATATAACGTTACTGGGTATGATATATTTAAAAAGTTTTATTTTTTAAAATATTGAATAGAGTTAAAATATAACAATTTTTCTTTTCAACTCGGACCATATGGGGCGCTTCACCTGGATACGTGTTGCTTGTGCTTAATGTACTCACGTTTTCATTTAATCGAGGGCTTTACATAGGTTGAGTGATTTTAAACAAAATTAAGTCTAAAAGCTTATCTATTATATTGGCCCCTATACACCCCACTCAAGCAAAAACTATATGGAGCGCAGGCAGATCTGGAGACCACAGTCCAGTTCATCCACAAAGTTGGACAACTTGTTTAAATCCTCTAACCTTAACTCAATTAAGAACGCAGAAGAGGGAAGAAGAAGGTCGAGATCTTATCCGTGATAAGGGTCGAGAAGTTATCCGTTATATAAGTCGCGAGTTTATCCCACCTGCCTTCCATTGTGAAATGACAAAAGTAGACGTTTAGTGTCGTTCGTGTGAATGTATCTCTGAGAGTATAGCTAAAAAGTTAATCAAGGTGCCCGCAGATGATGTTGTTGAGAGTCGTATGTATGTGTGTGCATATGTATATACCTAGTCTCAGGGGCGTAGCGAGGGGGGCGGGGGGTGCGGACCGCACCGGGTGACACCATTTAGGGGGGTGACACCAAGGCAAAAAATAGCAAAATATATGGAGAAAAAGTTGAGGGGGGGTGCAAATCGAAAGTTTGAGGGGGGGGGGGGGTGCAAATCGAAAATTTGAAAGTTTGTCCCCGGGAAGGGTCGCTACGCCTCTGGGGGGTGACACCATTAAGTGCCGCACCGGGTGACACCCGACCTCGCTACGCCACTGCCTAGTCTTTACCATAACTACAATCCAAACCGTGCCCCCGCGGTACCGGCAGAAAAAAATAATATCGATTATTTACTTAATTGTCCAAATAATTTAACTTTTTTTTAGATACATTCTCCCCCCCCCCCCCCCCCCTTCCCGAGCCCAACAAATCCTTTCAATCATGCTACTCTTCTTGAATACATTTTTGTTTTGTGCATATAGTAATACTATCTACAACCAAACAGCACATTGCAACAATATGTGAAAGCCAGCGTGGTACGCCGCGTGGAAAAACATGGCCAGACCCTCACTCATCCAGACCAAGATTTAAGCACTTAACTTCCGTTGTGACGCCACTTCCGCTTTCTGAAACAACATCTTCATCGTCGTCTGTTGTAAGGTTAAAATCCACATTTTGCACTGAAATGTCAAAAGTCAGAAGACAAATTTTTTAACGTTTTAAGTAAACACGACGTTCAGAAAAATAACACAATAGGCAGGGTACGTGGGGAATACAGCTAGAAAGGTCTATTTACGCTTACTGTATTAGGGGTGGTGGGGGAGGTTGTTCTTATACATGTTGTATTAGGGGCGGTGGGTGGAGGTTGTTCTTATACATGTTGTATTAGGGGTGGGGGAGGTTGTTCTTATACATGTTGTATTAGGGGTGGGGGAGGTTGTTCTTTCTTATACATGTTGTATTAGGAGTGGTTGGGGAGGTTGTTCTTATACATGTTGTATTAGGGGTGGGGGAGGTTGTTGTTATACATGTTGTATTAGGGGTGGGGGAGGGAGTTGTTCTTATACATATTGTATTAGTTATTAGGGGCGGTAGTGGGGAGGTTCTTCTTATACATGTTGTAGAAGGGGTGGAGAGGGGGGGGGGGGAGAGTTGTCCTTAAACATGTTGTATTAGTTCTTAGTGGTGGTCGTGTGTATGTGTGTAGAGGGGGTGTGGGGTGTGTTCTTATACATGGTGTATGAGGGGCGGTGGGGGAAAGTTGATATTTGTAATGGTGTATGAGAGGTGTAGGTCTACGAAGGTGTTGTATTTAGATATCCCCAGGTGCCTACCACCCTACTTTGTGGTTCTACTGAAATGTGGTGTTTCTTCCAGACTTTTTTCTCCGGGGGGGGGGGAGCATTTGATATTTTCGGGGGTCGGACATTGATAAAAAATATATATTTTCTATATAAATTTCCATTTCGTTCGGGGGCGGTAGACTTTCTTCCCCCCCCCCCCCCCCCGAATAGATGCCTGGAAGAAATACTGCTGAAATGGATACTTGTGACGTCATTTCAGGGAGTGGGGTGGGACTTTTTGTGACGACGAAACCAGAGCGAAATGGGCTAAAATTTTGTCAAAAACAACTGTTCGACAACGGTTCATACGTATCGATACTCCAAATATCGGTTGTTCGATTTAGGATGTCCTGGATCGATCTAACTTTGTTGATGAGGATATAGCATAAGTGTCAATGTAGCACTCGATAATGGGAAATTCCCTATCTTTGTTTACAATAAATAGAAAGTTGAGTCGTTACGAACTTACCCATTATTCACTAAATTATAAATCCGCCAAGAATTGTTTTGACCACCAGGCTAGTTGTAAAGAAAGTAACATCCACAAAATTATATGTGTAATAGTAATATCCACAAAACTAAATGTAATACATCCAAGAAACTAAATGTAATACATCCATTAAACTAAATGTCTCATGTTTTTATTCAAGCTACGGATACCCCACTTAGGAATTTAAAAGCTTATTTCCTTGCTCTCAACAGCCATTAAGAAAAAAGTAATTATAGAATCGGTCACATGACCAAGCTGAATCATTGTGTGTAAGGGTGTACACTCCCTTGTACACCTTTGTGATATCACGTACTTGGGAGTCTGTAGGCGACTCGTACATGTGAGTTTGTGCAGGAGAGTCAGGCGTGAGGGAAGTCTGTAGGAGTAGGCGACGCATACATGTGAGTTTATGCAGGAGAGTCAGTAGGCGACGCATACATGTGAGTTTATGCAGGAGAGTCAGGCGTGAGGGAAGTCTGTAGGAGTAGGCGACGCATACATGTGAGTTTATGCAGGAGTCAGCAGGCGTTAAGAGAGTCTGTAGGTGACGCGTACATGGGAGTTAATGCAGTAGAGTCAGAAGACACCAGAGTCGGCAGGCGTTCAAGCACACAATGCATCACATGGCTTTTATTTAACATTTTTCTTTTTATCTAATGAAAAAATCTTCCACATTAAAATAAAATAAATCCGGTCTGTTTTGATGCTGCTGCATGCATAAAGGGGTCGTCCATAAATGACGTCACACTCGTAGGGGGGGGGGGGATCCGTAATTTTGTGACGGTGTGTGATGAGGGAGAGGATTCAGATGGTGCGACGTTATTTCGCGTGTTAGAAAACTGTTTAAATAAATTGTAATAGGAATTGATTAAAATATTCTAGTTTGACAGAGTTTAGACAAGATTTTAGAAAAATATCGATGTTTCAAAAAAAAATTCAACAGCAATTTTGAGGTGGATTGTAGATTAAAGTGTGACGTCATTATAGGGGGGGGGGGGTGGATTTTTGTGACGACGTGTGACGGAGGGGGAGGAGGTAAAAATCGTCAAAAAAAGCGTGACATTTGTCGATGATCCCAAAGCGGTGAGATGGCTTGTGTTCTATCTACTTACATCTTTTTTAAGGAACCTGTGAAAAAATGAATTGCAGCCCTTTATTTTTTTTTACACAGTTGTCTCCCACAGAAAAAGTAACTTGATGGAAGATAAATAATTGGTTCCTAGTAATATTCTTTGTACAAAAATTTACTTAAATATCCAAAAGATATTCCAACAAATTCTCACATTTTTCAAGTGTAAGGAACACAAAGTACTGAAATTATTTTTAAATTTGATTTTAATTTTTTAAATTTTGTAAAGAAAGTCACATCTTTTAAAGCAAATCATGAAATACTCTGCCAGGTTCAAGCAGAATGTAATAAAAATCTGATGCATTACCTGAGTATTCCTTTATTTAAACTCTGCATCACATGTAGACAATAAAGGTACAAAATAAATTCTTTGTAGAGACAAAAATAAGCACAGTAAATGCAATTAAAACTAAAAATATAAAAATTAATATCATTAACAAGATGGTCATAGAACAACAAAATCTTCACATGAATTTGAGCATACACTGGACATCAACACATTTCATCATCTAGGAATGAGTTTTCTTCACAAAGCAATGTCTACATGAAGGGGAATAGCCCCGGATAAAGGGGGATAATAAAAGCCCCATGGATGAAGGGGAGATTAGTGGTGGAACAGCCTGAGGTTGGTGTGACACAGGATGATGTTGTGGTCATCACAGGCATCAATGACAGCTTTATCGTTGGTAGAGCCAGCTGGGGCAGCGATGTACTCAACACCACTCTGAAACAAAGGTTTTATACAATGAGTTCAAACAATTTTTGGTGAAAAATATCAGGCTAAACTGGACAACAAAAGGTTTTATCCAGTGAGTTTGATGAAAAATATCAGGAAAAACAAAACATTTAAATAAAGCTCAAAACAGCTGGCATTGACAACAGGTCTTTGCATTGATTAACAGACCATGTCTAAAAAAAAAATGCTAAAACAAAAATGATCACATTTAAAAAAAAAAGATCCTACCTGGAATGCTCTGTCAATGTTATCTCTGAATGGGAAGAAAGCATCAGAGCTGAGGGCGACACCTTTCAGTTGTGAGATCCAATCTTTTCTCTCCTCCTATACAAAAACACATCAAAACTAGCACTAGTAGGGAAACTATTCAACACTAGCACTGGTTGTTTCTTGCACAGAACATTATACACATGTGTCACTGAAAAATCTTACCTCTGTAAGCTGAGCTGGTGGGTTATCCATTAAACTTTCCCAGGCTGTTAAATCCATGTCCTAAAACAGGAAAAAAAGGTGGGTTTTTTAAAATAACATATGAGAAAGAAAAGATAAGAATTTCACAAAGACTGCTAGCAAGAAAAACGTATTAATGTAGTGTTCCACAATGTTATACCAAACCTACAGTGAGGGTTCATTTTGGTATCATAAGTATTATTTCATAATTAATTCACTGTGATTTTAAACCTGATAATAATCCATTCAAGTGCTAAAGACACTATAATGTATAACTATGTACACAGTTACTGATATGGGATACGATTAGGCAACTGCAAGGAGGTTACTGTTTTTTTTAAAAAGCAGAACAGATTAGCTTGTCACTCTTATCCAACTACGTCAGGTGTTCAAATTTACCTGTCCCACAGTCCCCAGAACAAAAATGTCAATAGCATTGGAAATCTCAGGTCTCTTGACGCCTTTCTTGAACTTCATTCCTGCTACTTTAGGATGCTGTCTCAGCCACCTTGTTTTAAAACAGATGGCACAATTAATGTAAAATGTCATGCTAAACTCAGATGTTACATGTATGATACAGTTGTCAAACGTCTAGTGAAACATCTCACACAATCAAAGGGCAGCTACTCTATTATCAATTTACCAGTTATTGGCCTTGTCACCAGCCAATCTGGTACAATGAATGCGAGACTGTTGACCTGCCCCAATGCCAACAACCTGAAAAGAGATCATTCAACTTTAAATCACATGGGTTCTGGCTGAGGTTCACACTTTCTGCACATTTGAGAAACACATTGAAATTAAAGCACATCACATTTTAACCAGAATTCACCAACATGTACATCAGACCAATCATCTACAAAAGCATTTCTGGAGGTCGCTATAAATATTTGGTTGTGAATATCTTATCTACAGCAGTTATGTATCAAACAAGTACAAGATCTTGTTAGATTACTCACAACTTATTTTCAATAGCACAAAAAAAGGTCCTTATGTATTTTACCTGTCCCCCTTTAGCATAACACACAGAGTTGGACTGTGTGTACTTGACTGCAATGGTGGCAACAATCAGATCTCTCAAAGCCTCTTCTGACAGCTGGAAATTTTAAAAAGTGATCCATCAGGACAAATAACTTACAACACTGGTACAAGAGTTCAAAAAATTGAATGGCCCACACATTAATGTACCACAAGCAAGATTATCAATGACTGTAGTACATCTTATTACATAGAAATGCATGCAGTTTCCTACTGAAGTACTATATCTCCTACTATTGCACATGTAATAGTTTTACCATGTCTAACTTGCTACAGGATCTTACCTCACTTCTTTTAGTCACAACATTTGTAAACAACTGTTTATCTATGACAGCGTTGTTGATTTTCTGCTCCATGTGAAGCCCAAACAAGGTTCTTGTTTCCATCTCTTGTGGGGCGTAATCTGCATCGATCTATGAACAGATGAATGCTTCTATAAACACAATTAAATGAATGCTTCTATCAACATAATCTGCGTCAGTCTACAAACACAGATAAATGCTTCTATCACCAAAATAAATGAATATTTCTATCCACAAAGTAAGTGAATGCTTCTATCAACATAAAGTAATCTGCATCAATCTATAAACACAAATAAAAGAATGCTTCTAAGAACATAAAGAAAGAAATCTGCATTCATCTATAAACACAAAAAAATGATAACCCAAATCCTTTACATAATTACTGTTGTATTACCAAGTAAGACACTAAAGCTATGTCACCTGCAAGATACAGTAGCTTCCACCTTTCTTTTTCTTCAAGATGTCCAGTGCCTCCGGTGTGTACCCTGGAGCAATGACACCATCAGAAACCTCCCTGTTGATGATCTTGGCAGTGGGGACGTCACACACGTCAGACAAACCAATGAAATCTCCAAATGATGACATCCTGTCGGCACCTACACAATAATTTATTAGAAATTTTATTTCGGAAATTCGATTTGATTTTTTTCAAACATTGTCTGACCAATAGTCAGGCACATGTTTTAAGGCTCTAGAAATTATTTTAAAAAAGTACAAGTTGTATTCATAAGATCTTTCAAGACATTAAAAGCTTACAAGTTTTTTTTAATCAATAAAAGGTTAAGCATTTTTCATTAACTGGATTAATTTTGATTTGAAACAGATGTTAGCCTTACATTAAAAAAATCAAAACTAAGGGATGTTATCTGGTTAACTAAAACAACTCCAAACCTCTTGCTCTAGCATAGGCAACTGCTAGGGGTGATAACTCTTTAAGATCATCCACCATGCACAGCTTAGCATCTTCAGGAGATAATGGTACACCAACAGCAGCACCTGAAGTAATCAGAAAAGTCAAGTAAACACAAAGAAGAAAAATAAATTTAAATCACTGATTTCTATTTGATTAGTGACATTTTGCGTATATCAAGGGCAGTTAACAGGGAAGATAAACAGAGTTATTGTTTACAAGTTTGTGCAGAAAGATTTGCAATTAACACTATGATCAAATGGGGATGGAGTGGTCTAGCAGTAGAGAGCTGGGATGCTAACCCGTAAGTCTCGAGTTCGAATCCGGGTTCAAGTCAGTAGACCGTACCTGAGTCCATCTAACTCTGATGGGTACCTAACTCACATTAGGGAAAGTAAAGGCGGCTGGGCATAGTGCTGACCACACTATCTCTTCATATGCCGAGGTCACAGAAACAAGTGAACTCTAATTCACTTGCCTCATAGACCGTCAGGGGTTTGAAAGGGAAACTTTACTTTTTACTTTTACAATGATCAAATGTATATGATATCCTTCTTCCACAGTCCTTCAGATGCTACTTACATTTATGTTAGTATAAACAGAGGATTTAAGTTTGGAAACTTTATACACAGTTGAGTTTCTGTCTTAGCGATAGATTGTTTTACCTTTACAGAAAGTCATGAAAATCTCAAAACCTAAAACAAATGGGAACAAGCACCTACCTGCAGGGGACACATGTTTGAAGGATGTGGCGGCTGGAAGTCCAAGTGCTCTGCTCAGATCTCTAACCAGCTGCCAGGCGTTCAAAGCATCACAGAGGTTGATAAAACCAGGAGAACCATTGACAACTTCAAACAAAATTTTTTTAATTTGAGCATACCTATTTCATTAAAAATCAGAAAGCTAAGGAACTAATTATCAAATCTAAGCACTCGAACCATGTCCTTAGGATTTTATATATTTTTTTGTAAATACAAAAACAAGTATGAGGAACAAATTTAAAAATCAATGATTACTTACCATGTAAGGGTAGCTGTGGGAGCGTAGTGTAGATTTGTGCTGGTTTTTGATGGGGATTCATACCATACCGCAGGGTCAACTGCGAGACGCCAGCACTATACTGCCGGCGGAAATAATCAGAGATGGCACCGTCATAGCCAGCTGTATGGTTAAATGCCTACAGGAATAAATTTCAGAAGGTTTTAAGACCTAGGGTTTAAAAAAGAAACAAGAATATTTTAAATTAAAATGTGAAATTGTTTTTAAAAAAGTAACATAAATTAGAATTTAGCTAGAAAAAAAAACTATTATGAGAATGTCTAATCATAAGGATACAAACATTTTTGTACCTTAACTGCAAGATTTTTCCTGGTTTCTAAGCTTGTATCTTTCCCAGAAGAAGCTTTGATTTCCTCAATCACCCTACAAAATGTAATAGATTATATATTGAAACCATGACAGGAAATATGCAACATGAAATATAAACAGCCACATGTTACTTTTCAGAAAGAAAAACTAATTAAACTAATTAAAACATATTAACAAAACAATCCTAACTTAAAAATTGTACTCTTAAAACTGTTGCAGAGATTAAAGGTTGCTTTATGACCTTTTGTAATCATGGGGATCACAAATCACAGTGACACGACTATGATTCTTAGCAGCAGCTCGTAGTAGGGTTACTCCCCCTGAAAATATAGAAAAAAAAAAACAAAGGCTGGAGGCAAATCTGAAGGTTGCAAAACAACTCAGATGATTTTACAAGTTACAACCTAAATTACTACTATAACTTGACTAATGAATGGGCAACCATTATATAAAAAAAGATTTACCAATGTCAATTTGCTCAACAGCATCTTCCACTGTGACATTTTCAGCAGCGACAGTTTGGACGAAAGGATAAAGGTTGCAGACAACAATCCTGTTACAATTAATTTACTTTACATAAGATGCATGTTATATCCAAAATGTTACCGTCATAGTTACAAACAATTTCAAGGGTTAAACACATTTCAAATAAAATGGCAGTTAATTAGTAGCAAGAGAAAAATATGTTACCTGATCATTTTGAAACCTTGTTTTTGTAAATCTGCTTGGTCTTGGTCCTGGAGCCGAGCCAGAATACCTGAAATTATTTTTAACTTATTTTTAAAATTCTAAATAAATTATACCAGAGGCACAATCAATACAAAGTTTAGGCCACCTAGATAGAAAAATAAAAGAAGTTCTATTAAACTATTGTATTCTTTCATGTTTGCAAGGAGTTTCTATTTCTACATTTAACAACTACAACACATCCTGTGTGTGAATAAGGGACTATTAGAAAGCTCAGCTTCATTAAAAAAAAAATGTTCAGATACAGGCTAGTCTTTGATTAAGCTAAACACAGCATTTGATCAAGGTATGAATATAATTAGGCAGACAGCCACTGGTGTGATCGCTTTCTACTTTAAGTTTAGTAATTTTTATCTAGATAGAATGTTAAAGTATCTAGTTACCTCCATGTACTGCTGGATGCAGGGTTTTAACTCTTCCTCCCAACATCTCTGGGGCTCCAGTTATCTCCTCCACCTCACTATCAAAAAATGATCAAAATTTGTTTTTAAAAATGTTGACTTATTACATTACATTAGCCAATTCAATCAAGTACCAACAAAATTTAATAGAAGCCATTTTGTATTGTTAATACTTCTAGCTGAACTTTATGGTTGTAGGACCCTAACTTTCATCAAGGTGATCACACATCAGTTACTAAAAAGTTACATGAAATGTTTAAAATTAAATTTTTTAGCATACATACCTAACAGGAATATTAGCATCCCTAAGTGCTTTAGCTGTTCCTCCAGAAGCCACAAGCTTAAAGCCATTTGATGCAAGCTGCTCGGCAAACTGAACTAGACCAGTCTTATCAGAAACACTAAGCAATGCTGAAAAATAAAGTAATGATAATTATTAGGCCTATAAATTTAAATGGGACAGAGTGGTCTAGCGGTACGGAGATGGACTGCTAACCCATAAGTCTCGAGTTCGAATCCGGGTTCAAGTCAGTAGACCGTCCCTGAGTCCACCCAACTCTGATGTGTACCTAACTCACATTAGGGAGAGTAAAGGCGGCTGGGCATAGTGCTGACAACACTATCTCTTCATCAGTGGCGTAGCGAGGTCGGGTGTCACCCGGTGCGGCACTTAATGGTGTCACCCCCCAGAGGCATAGAGACCCTTCCCAGGGACAAACTTTCAAATTTTCGATTTGCACCCCCCCCCCCCCTCGAGTTTTTCTCTATATATTTTGCTATTTTTTGCCTTGGTGTCACCCCCCTAAATGGTGTCACCCGGTGCGGTCCGCACCCCCCGCCCCCCCCTCGCTACGCCCCTGCTCTTCATAATCATATTCTGAGGTCACAGAAACAAGTGAACTCTACTTCACTTGCCCCATAGATAGACCATCAGGTTTGAAAGGGAACTTTACTTTACTTAGGCTACTTACTAACTACTAGATCTAGTAACTAGATCTATAAATTTAAAATAAAATAAATAGTTTAAATAAATAGGCCTATGGAATTATTTTCTGTGACCCCCTCCCGTCCCCCCCTAACCTAAAAACATAACAATGTTCTCTGGTAACTTAAAGGTTGGATTGCTGTACTGTAGGGTTAAGAAGGTTGATTGATAGATCTATTATCAGAATCTACTCAATATTTTTACAGTATGATGAGTAGATCTAGATTATTCTAGATCTAGATTTAGATTTCTAGACTGAGTGGGACTGGGAAGTGTGGCGGTTTTGCCGGTACAGCGATAGGCCGCGATAGGCGATAGTTTATTAATATTAATAATTAATAATATTAAAGTTTAACAATTTAACTCTGATACTAGAATCTGTTAGATCTATCAGTTAAAAAAAATCTATTAAAATTATTACAAAATTAGGTAAAATCTTAGTTTAGCGTCGTAAATTCCAACGTAGATAGTAATGTGCGATGAAGGTAACTAATGAATATTTCTTTCATTTGGCCATATTTATGTCATATTTTGCATAATATAACAGATAATTTAATAACAAATCACAATCCAAGACCAAACCAGTCATAAATATCCTGGAATAAACTTTAAACTACCCCGTTTAAGACAACAATGAGTAAATACAAGCTGCGGCCATCTTTTAAAAACAATAAATTGTCTATTCGTATGTCTTTTGTGTTGATTTTGTGGTTTAATATGATTGTTTTGTATTGTTTTAATATATGCCTGGGGGTCGTCCATAACTGACGTCACATTCGTGGGGGGGGGGGGGGTTGTCCGTAATTTTGTGACGTTGTGTGATGAGGGGGAGGGGGGGGGGGGGTTCAGATGGTGCGACGTCACCCTTTTGCATTTTAAAAAAGCAATGTTAGAAAACGAATTATAGACGTTATTTCGCGTTTTAGATAACTGTATTAATAAATTGTAATAGTTTAGACAAGATTTTGGAAAAATATCGATGTTTAAAAAAAATTCAACTGCAATTTTGAGGGGGGGGGGGGTGTAGGTTGAGGTGTGACGTCATGTCAGGGGGGGGGGGGTCTGGCTGTCTGTGACGGAGGGGAGGGGGGGGGTAAAAATCGTTAAAAAAAAGGGACGTCATGTATGGATGACCCCTTATATTGAGGTCTAGAATCTACTCCCTCTAAAAATAAGGTAAAATTCGTACAGAGGCGTAGCGAGGTGGGGGGGGGGGGGGGAACGACTTATGTCCCCGGGCGACGACCTTAGGGGGCGCCAAAATGGGTTGGAAAAATAAATTGAAAGCTTGAAGGGGTCGCAAATTGAAAGTTTTAGGGGGGGGGTGCAAATCGAAAGTTTGTCGCTACGACTCTGAATTCGTAGCAGAAATGTCATCTATATGTTAGTTCACGTGCGGTTGGCATCATTTACCACCGACCCCTATGTTAAAAAAATAAAAATGCACTTTCGTCTTGAAACGTTCACGTTCCAGTTGCCCTCCCCCTCCTTTATCCATATAAAATCATGTGAGTGTGCAAAACTCGCCAGGAGACGATCGGCTCTAAAAATCGTCCCTTGAGACAGCGTCTTCTGTTAGTGCATTAAGCTACCACCTTATGTACTTGGGCTGCCCACTAATAATTGTAAGCCCTTCGAAGAAGCTTGTGATTAGGATGTACAAAAGAGGCGCTTTGGGTGGTGCCGGACCCCACGCGGATGGTCGTTTTCCTAACGCGCCGACTTAACTTAGAGGCTGTCGCTATTAAACTACTAATTTACAGTAAACTCTGGAGAAATGCCCGAAAAAAAAAAACAGACTTTGTCTTGTAGCCTTTTATATATCATTTTTATCAGGAGCTTGTATTGCCAGAAGTAACTTCATTAGGGGTCAGTATGTTGGGGGCTATTCGTCTGTAGGCATTTGGTCGCAGGCTTGTTATGCGGGAACAATGTGTTGGGGCCCTGTTTTATCAATTGTATCATGTTAGCAGGCTTGCAACAGCAAGAGTTGGTCCCAAACACTAACTATTAATTGCATATGGTATTGTGGAAGTCTTTCATCAATGATGGCATGAATTTTATTATTAAACCCCTATTAAGCGTCATAAACTGCGATACCCCCTAAATGTAAATCACAAACACCCACCCGCACCGGTACCATATCGTTTGTGACGTCATATCACAAATTATGGTGTATGGTCTCCGATATCTTGATAAAAATTGTACACAAATGTGTCTGTTCCCAGAAAAATGCGCAATCGGAAAACTGCAAACAGAAAAGTGCGCAGATACAAACTAATTATAGTAATACACTTCAATTTTGTCATATATCGTTGAAATATGTTTTTATTATGCTACAGTATTCATGTAGTCACTCTTTGTTAATTCCCTTAAATATTCTATTTAAAAAACGCTTGCGCACTTTTTTGTGCACATTTTTCCGTTGCTGATCTTTCCGGTCACCTAAATGACATCACGCACTTAAGTGTTGGGGTGATTGATCTTTGAGATGTTTTATATGGGAAGGGGGTATGAAAAAATTTGACGTGGTTTGAATATTGATACTCTATACAAATAATGAAAAACATTATGATTGCGTAAAACCTAAGTTTAGGGTCGTATTTTTTAATTAGCTTAAAAGTAATCACGACATAAATTATTTTATGTATACAAATGAGTCCAAGCCATGAGGGTAAATCATTTATTGCTTTATTAGTTGTAACACTTAGGTAGATCAACAAATTGAAACAAGTTACTTTTGTATTCTTTTTACATGACTGGATACAAATTGGCCAAAACTGTTAGAAAATGACTAAAAATGCAGTCGTCATCAGGAACACAGGAACGGTATTCAAACTCCCGGAGATAGGAAGGGAACAGAGCACGACTTGTGCCAAACTGTCGTCGCAGCTTCCTTTTTGCCCTCATCCAGAGGTTCTCAATATTTTGGGTGTGAACCTCTGGATCATCGGGTCGAACAAAGTTCTCTTCGTGAACGATGACTGAATGTTGGTAGATTCCGTGCGCTAGAGTTGAGATATTTCGATAGGACGCCCACCCATCTGAAATAATGTGGGTACCTGGTAGAATATGCCGCAAAATCAATGGCTCCAGTACGTCAGCCGTGCGATTAGGAACAGTAACAAGGAAGCATCGACCAGATCCACGTTCTACTCCTCCGAAAACCCAATGTCCTTCCGTCCACTGTCCGCGATGGTACTTTCTGTGAAAGTATTTGCTTTCATCGATCTCAACAATGATCGGGTTTCCATCGTTGTCAAAACCACCCAACTCAGTATATGTCATATCCAGGTATCGTCCAGCATCCTCTCGACAAAAATTAAACCAATCTGTCACTGTGTTCGCACCGTCCACTCCCGATTCGCGCATACTTTGAATTTGTGGCATATCTTGTGCCCAACAGTATACCAATAAAACTATTTGTTTTAAAGACAGATGGCTTCTGGAAAAAAATGAGCCCTCCCGTATGCTTTTTCGAAAATTACATGGTTCGCATGACCATCTCTTTCCGTCTATTCCGTGCCGATAATTTTGCAATTTACACGGGTTGTTGCAGTTAGCACAAGTTAGGGTATTTGCAAGTAATCTTCTGCTAGCAAGCCAGCACATAGATGCCTCAGTGTTCAACAACTCTCCATACAATCGTCCAATCGTCCAATGTTCGGCTCGAATTTCTGCCATTGGCATAACCCGATCGACCGGGACAATGGTTGTCCTATTACCTTTAGGCCTTCCAGCCATCTTAAACTTTAATGGCTAATTGTTTTTTTTTACCTTAAGAACTAGTTATTTAGCAAACTTTTAATTTTCTTGAAAAAAAAAACACTGCTGAGCTCTTGCGATTACAACAAACGTTTTGCTTTGTGTTTAAAAACAACGTGCACAACAGACTATAAATTGATTTCCGGTTTCCGGTTTTGTGGCGCCAAATGATTCTGACGCTAAACTAACATCGCGTTTACACTTGCGAAATGTATACTATACATGTCTAGACTAATAGCGAAGTCGTTTTTTTCTAGACGTGTACAGTATACGTACATTCACAAGTGTAAACGCGGTGTAAGGGTTTGATTTAATGGATTTAAATATAATTTACTACGCTAAATTAAGGGTTTAAGCAAATCGATTTCACAATAAATTGAATGATTCTCGAATTCATAATGTGTATTTAGACTATATTGTCGGTAATCAATATTTGAAATAACTTGGGGGGGGGGGGGGGGGGGAGAGAAAGACTGTTAAACTACTGATTTATATTGAACGCATGCATATACAAAGCTCTGACATTACATTAGGTCATGGTGTACATTTATGCAGAAGTCTTATAACAGTGAGAGTTGAGCTTTTGTTATACGCCATGTCGTGAAATATACTGATTTGTCTAGCTTTGCTTGCGGCCGATTTTGTCTTGGGCTCTTTTGTCAATGTCATTTTTTCTCAGGAGTCATTTGATTTAAGCCTTATTGTTAGAAGTACCTTCGTTAAGAGTCAATACGTTGGGGCATTTTTGTCGGCAGGCATTTGGTGGCAAGCCTTTTTGACGGAGTTATTGTGTTGAGGCCGTTTTGCCAAACGTCTCAAACTAGCAGGCTTGCGACATTTATGATCATCCGTTCTTAACAAGGTATACGTATACTAATGCTTAATCAACGTTAGTTTGATTGAATATAGGCCTAGTATTCCCCACCTCCCCTCCGTTCTCCTTCTTTCATTATGCATACACGTCATAAATAGCGGACCCGCCTTCTTTCACTTCACAAACCTTTACTGCCTCCCGTAGCATATCATATGTAACATCATTTAAGGACAACCCCATATCACTAATTTTTGTGTGTGTAATTGATATTGACATTTTGATAACAAAGTATAACCAACATGTGTCTGAAAGGTGGTGACTTGGGATTGAACATAACATGACGGACGTAAATGGTGGAGTGACTGGTGTTTTTATATGATGTTTTATGAGGGAAGCTGGTAGAAAATAAATATAAATGTAAAAGTGATAAAAAAAAACATTTATTTTCGTCAAAATTATGGTCAGACATCTTAGAAAGTAGGCTTATAGAGTGAAACAGTGGGTATTTTGTACATTGACTTTTTAGGAAAACGATAATACGATGGAGGTTGAGGGTTTAATTAAGGTGAAGAGAAGTAAAAAAAAAAAGACAAAATATACGATTGAATCACTAACTAAAGAAAACAAGCACTTAAAACATTAAATGAAAATAGCAAACATTCAAATAACAAGAACAAATTAATACATTTACATGCGAATAGAAATTAAAGGGAAGCTACTCTAAATAATATTTTTTCAAGATGGCTGCTGTTTTTAATAGCAAATTTACTGTCTCGAACAGGGTTGATAAAAATTAATTTCAGGATATTTAAATTGATTTAACCATAAAAGGTGATCTATTATTCAATTATTTATAATATTTTATCAAAATATACGAAAATATACTCATATTTAATGACATAATCATTAATTCACTCTCTCCTACATTACTAGTTTTGGCCGAATTTACGACGCTAAACTAAGATTTTACCCAAAATTATAATACCTAATTCGTCTCCCATCTTTAAAATCTACCGAGTGTTTCGGTCTTTGAGAGATTTTCCTCCTAAAAGTGCGTTGGTTTTTTTGTAAGTTGTTTACAGATGGCAAGAAACGTGCTTCCGGTAATATACACAGAGAGCGCGTGATTCTATTTTTAACACAAATAACACATGAGATGTGTTCATAATCATATCAGAAACAAGATAAGATAATACAAGTAGATCTATAATTTAAAAAAAACCTATATAATAACACGCTTTTAAACAGAGTTTCTTCCAGGCATCTCTTAGCCCCCCCCCCCCCCGAAAATTTTTTACCGCCCTCCCCGAACGAAATGAAATTTATATAATTTATATAGAAAAAATATATTTTTAACAGTGTTCGCCCCCCTTCCCCCCCGAAGAAAGTCTACCGCCCCCCGAAAATTTCAAGTGCCCCCCCCCCCGAAGAAAAAAGTCTGGAAGAAACACTGCTTTTAAATGCACGAACTACACGAAAATTAAGAAAAAAAGTGTTTTCTTTAATTAATAAAAGCATTGGTTGCAAAAATATGTAGGAGATCGCATGCATCAAGTATAGTCTGGTGCCCCCCACCCCCGAGAAAATTTACCCTCCCTTCTCCAGTGTTCCTTCCAGACTTTTTTCTCCGGGGGAAGGGGGGGGGGGGGCGGACACTATGTTTTCTATTTAAATTCCATTTTTTTCGGGGAGAGGGGTGGGGGGGGGGGGGCGAAGAGATGCCTGGAAGAAACTCTGCCCCTCCCTCCCGGAGCAAAAAGTCTGATAGAAACACTAAATAAATCTCAGCAGCAGTGAGGATCAGTGTTTCTTCCAGACTTTTTTCTCCGGGGGGGGGGGGGGGGGGGGCACTTGAAATTTTCGGGGGGGGGGGGGGGCGGTAGACTTTCTTCGGGGGAGGGGGGCGGACACTGTTAAAAGTATATATTTTCTATATAAATTATATAAATTTCATTTCGTTCGGGGGGGGGGGGTAAAAAAATTTGCCCCCCCCCCCCCGAAGAAATGCCTGGAAGAAACTCTGGTGAGGATTGAGAAACCCATCTTACTCCATTTCTCTTTCGACCTAGGCTTTCAAGAGGTAATCGGTTTTAGACGTTATTTCGCGTTTTAGAAAACTGTTTTAATAAATTATAATAGGAATTGATTAAAATACTCTATTTTGACAGAGTTCAGACAAGATTTTGGAAAAATATCAATGTTTAAAAAAAAAAAAATTCAACTGCAATTTTGATGGGGGTTGTAGGCTAAGGTGTGACGCCATTTTAGGAGGGGGGTCTGGCTTTTTGTGACGATGTGTAACGGGGGGGGGGGGTAAAATCGTCCAAAAAGCGTGACGTCATTTATGGATGACCCCCAAGGTTTACAAAATTAACCTTTCCAAATCTTTATGTTATTATTGTATATTGCAATTTGTAAAGTTGTCAGTGGCTTTACAGCCATCGTTCTTCAGTCTTGTATGAAATAAAAAGAAGTAAAAAATAAAATGCACAATGAAAATTTAAGTCGGGAGGGGGCAACTTTTAATTATTTCCCAGGCTGCTTGGACATAGCCAGTCCGCCCCTGGGGAGGGGGGTGGAGGAGGTGGTGTATCAAAGGCGTAACGCGACACTGGTTATTGTTGTCAGTAGCGCCAGCTATTATTCATTTTTTTAAAAAAAAACCGCTATAATAATATTTCAGACCTCTCGTTATTAATTTACTATTAATAAAATAAATCAGTGAATTATTTTTTGTAAGGGTAATCTACTAAAAATATTTTCCAAGAAAAGAGATCCTTTTTTTCCTAGAAAGACACTATTTTTAGTCGATCTAGAGATCCAGATCTCTAGAAGCTAGATTTAGTAAGTAACTAGGCATGCTGCCCAGCTTTGCTTAGGCTTTCGAAGACATTGAGAATTTGAATGCTTAATTAATTCGCCCGAGGGTCGGTCTACGACCTCAGGAGTTATGAAGAGGTTCCTCCGTGGACATTTTTTTTTTTATTTATAGCTCATATAAGGCGCCGGTCAGTCGAGGTCAGTTTTGACCCCATCATCGTAGACTTTTCGGTCAACCGGCCCCCGTGTTCAGTCGCCCCAAGGCAAGATCCTGCCAAATTTGAAGTGCCTGCGGCGCCGGGAAGTGCCCTATCGGGTACCCGACAACTTTGCTTTATATATTATAGATAAACAAAGATTTCAATAAAGTAATTAAGGCCTGAAATACTTTAGTATAGAAATGTATTATTTGAATAGATGAATCTAGAATATCTAGATCTAGAATCCAAATAAATAAAATAAATTTTATGAGTTTAGGCCGGAAAAATTGTATTGTATACATTTCATAGTGTACGTAGATCTAGATCTAAATCAAATTTGAATGAAATAGTTCATTTCTTTTTATTCAAACACGGCAGATGACGTCATTAGTTAATGTATAAGCAATAGCGACGTCACAGTTTTATGCGTTCTTTTCACATCTATTAATGCTTTTCCGGTTGCATAAATAATACTGTTTCTCTACATTCGAATACGCCTTTAATTTTTATTTTTCTTCTTTAAATAAAATTGCGGTTATACATTTAAAACATCTAACATATTATTTTCAACAAAAGTCCGTAAAAAGTTCTCGATATATCGCTGCCGATTCTGACGTGATGTCCGGCGAAAATTTTTTGCGGACAGAGAAAGAGAGAGAGAGAGAGATGTGCGAACTTGGGGATTTATATATTAGGATAAGTAGATTAAAAAATATTAGATGAGAGTAATGACTTTGAGTGAATAAATATAACATTTAGAATCGACGCTTAAAAAATCTCCGGCAGAACGAGCCCCCGGCGTGTCCTCAACCAATCGACGAACTTGTAGATCTAGAATCTAGCAGTTGAGTTTGTCAGTTTGAGTTTAAAAAAATAAAAAGTAAAAAAAGTTTAGTTTTAGGGCCTAGATCTAAATAAATAATATATTACTAAATAACTTTATTAAAAACTTGGCCCCATATGCCAAATAGTTAATAGTTCGAAGACAAGTTAAAATATTATACTATCTCTAAATCTAAATAGGCCGCCTCATTGCTTAGATCTAGATGGCTGGATTGACCTCTGACCCTGAAACGTCACGCGTCGTTTTCTGACGGTTTTTACGTTTATTTTAGGGGTCCTATCCACGACAAATGAAAAAGCTGTTAATCTCGCAAATTCTTATCATTATTTTAACACAAGATGCTAATAATATGGATAATATGCCTTAGAATGCCAGAAAAAATCGCTAGAATTGTAGTTGTAAATAATGAGAGGATTTCTAGCGGAGTACTCTCCGTATAAACTGAACCGCGGCCAAAAACGACCGTATAACCGGGAAAACGGCCCGTATAACAGTAGATTAATATATAATTGAGATATTTACCATGTATATTTACAGTATTATGGATGATCTTTACCAAAAATCCAATTACCCCGTAAGTAACCATGCGACAATTTCTCTCTGCTATTTTTAGTAACGTTGCGTCATTGTTACGCTAGTTGCCAGACAGAAACAACTAGTTTTTGTTTTTTGCGGAATGAACTGTTAAGTCTAGTATTTTAATTATAATTCAATTGTAGCATGTGCGGAAAAAGTAAAATTATGGACATTATTATTGTATTAGTAATTTTATTAGTATGTTGATTTTTTCTTCACTGTGGGCCGACAGTAGCTGCATTGAATTTAATTCGTGACCGGTGGTTAACCTCGTCAACGCTGCGTGGCCTATTCGTTTATATAATTAGTGATGCTCGTTTTTCAGAGCTAGGCCTAATTACGGGCGATTTTTAGACTTAATTGATCGGCCGTTAGCCTTTTTCATTGCTGCGTATTTAAAAAAAATGCTCGTTCAGCGGCCTTTTTTTTTTGGCGCTAAATAATCTGTTTACGGGCATTTTAAGCGTTTATTTATTTATTTTTTTTAAGCTAGACGTAGACAGATCTAGTTTAAAAAAATAATCTAGCATGCCTGATATGGAACTTTAAAAAAAAAAAATGACCGAACTTTTTAAAAAATGTCCAGAAGTAGGGAAGTAGGTCTGTTTTTTTCAATTTGCTTGAAGAAGGGGGGGGGAAGAGAGAGAGAAGTGAAGACACCGACCATCTCGTGTACGCGTGTTCATTCTATGACGTGTACTATAGGCCTGCTGAAGTCACGGTGACCCCGTGACCGTGGTGGGATTTTTCATCCATGGGATAGTAAACGTTAGCAAGCAATCACGCGAGTGACGATGTTTGGAGATTTTATTTTAAAAAAAAATCACATACGTCATGCTTTCAAGATGAAAAAAAATGTAATGTAAAAAAAAAAATACACTAGATCTAATACCATGTATGAATGTCAGCATATTTATTATTTAAAATTAGAAAATTAGAATTTGAAATAAAAATATTTATTATGGTCATTTGATTTATGCAGGTGTTCATTATTTCATAAAATGGTATGAATAACATGTAGAGTAGAACTTAATAAATAATAAAATAACTAGATCTAGTTTTATTATCAACCAGTTGCTTTTTGTTATTTTCCGGTGAGTAAATTACCGAAGCTGACGCAATTACCATGGCGGGAATTAAAAGCTCGTGCGCACAAGTCCACGACGTAATGTTATGCCGGTCGAGGAGTAAGAATGCTGTTTCCTCGTTCATTTTCCATTTTAAGATAATTTTTAAATTCTCTCTTTTCTTGTCAACCGAGTAAGCTAGATATTTAAATGTGGTGTCAAATGTTCTCTTAAGGGGTAAGGAAGTTAATGGTGTATTTAAAATAACAGAATATTTTATTTTAAAAAATCCATAATTCAACCTAAAATCTATTGGCAAAACTCCATTTTAGCGTATTTTATTCTCCGTTGCTTGTTTACCATCAGTTGAGCGTATTTTATTATAATAACTGAAACACACCATAACATTAGGAAAACACGATTTATTTATTTGTATTGTATTTTTGTTTTGACAAATGAATAAAAATGAACAAAAAAAAACAAAGAGACAGACTTTGTTTTAGATTTTAATAATTTACTTTTGTCAAAACTTGAGAAAAATCCAAATTTAGAATATTGAATGTGCTTTGTTCGTGTGTCAGTTAGAATTTTCGGGAGAATGTTTACACCAGTGTCCGATAATGGAATCTTCTTTAAAAAAGGGGTGTTAGGTTACTGGTAGTTAACTAAATACACACTTGGCTGGCTAATGTCAATGCTAACCCTGTCCCTAACCCTAACCTCAACCCTGGTCCACCCATACGCCTAACCCTAATTTCTAACCATAAATTAGTCAAGATTGCAATACTACTACTAACAACCTAACACCCCTTTTTTAAAGAAGATTCCATTATCGGACACCGGTATCTATAATCATCCGAATTTTCATGGCAATGGGTGAAGTACGTAAACGTAACTCACAATTGCAAGGCGGTTAAGTTGTATTGTTACAAGTATCTCCCAGGCATGATACTATAAATAAACATGTATGAACTTACAATGAACCCAAAACTGAGGCCAACTCAATTTCAAACAGCTATTGCTCGAGCAATGACGCATGCTGATAATTAAAGTCATTGTGAACTCACGGTGAACCCGCGACCGTGTAAGGATTTTTCTCCCACTGACGATCACAAGATTTTAAATTATTGGAACAGTTAAAATCACATTAATAAAAATATAAGTAGATCTAGATCTAGTGTTTTCCTGACGTTTTTGTGTGTTTCGGTTGTGTTTATAATAAAATACGCTCAAGTGGAGCTGAACGTGAAGCGGGGAATAAAATACGCTAAAATGGAGTTTTACCCTATCTATTATTATAATTATATAATATAGGCTATAAATAATAGGCTGATGCTAGCCTATGCATGCACAATGGAGAGAAACTACGACTTGCCTCCGCGGCGATGTTTTCGGTGGTTTACAACCGCAGAACCCTAATACCAACCCTAATCCTATCCCTAATCCTGTCCCTAATCCTGTCCCTAATCCTGTCCCTAATCCTATTCCTAACCCTAGCCCTAATCCTACCCCTAACCCTCATTCTAGCCATAACCCTAGCCATGCGTCACTGCGAATGCGCAGAGCTATCTTTTGCCGACTAAGTGGAGACGTTGGGCGAAAAATCTTCTTCCGAGAAGTCACTTTGTAAATAATAAATATAGATAGATATCTAGAGTAATATCTAGTATTTTTATCTAGATCTTAGATCTAGTTCACATTGTAATTGTGATTGTGAACCTCAAAATTAAAACTTATAAAAGGCTCCCAACATTTAGTTTATGCTCACAACAAATGGACACCCAACATGTGGACTTCTGAAAAATGGGCTTGCGACTAATGGGCTCCCAACAAAATGACTACATATAGATCTATATTTATTATGATCACAATTGTCTTAGACCATTTTGTTCAACCCACCATCGACATGCAGTTCTGTAACCTCTTTTAAATGCCTAAGTATTAACTTCTTAAGTATGAACAGCAATTCATAAACAAATTGAGCTCTTAATAGTTAATAGGTAAATTCCCCCAATTAAAATTTTTTGATAATGTTTTATTTACAACGGTGAAGATTTGTTGCTTAAAAGTTTAAAGCATGATACATGATGTTTCTAGGATAAATGACTTTATGTTTTGGAACAGCAACCAATCAACTCATTTGATGGAAATCATACTATTTCTTATTCTAGATAATATAATATTAAAATAAGGTTTGCAGAACAAGGGTTGCATACATTGGTTTTGGCTAAGCTAATTCTGTAGAGAGTTGATGAAGGGGTCCCACTGGCATGTGTCATATTCAATGAGGCAGCTTTGCCGGGTGACTTAGTCTCTATGGAAACCATATTGACAAGGGCCCTTTTGTCAGGAGTCATAATGATGTGGTTCATTAGTTGCAGGCCCTTTCGACGAGTCATTTTTACTGGGTTATTTTGTCACTGGTCATTTTGACATAGCATGCACGCATAATGTTGTGTGTCTTGCCTTGTGATGTAAGCTGCCAACCAAAGCATGGAGAAAGTGCACATTTATTTTAATTGGTTAGCAGCCAAGACTCTGAAAACCTTAAGGGTTTTAACTAAATAGAGAGAAACAATTTGTGATATTTTCAGTCTTTTATGAGAAGTTCAAGAAGAAAAATTCTTAACTTCTTAAAGTTTAAACTAGATGTATAGGAGATCCATTACTAACTGTTATATATTTTTTTAGCCCATCTTTTTTATTAATCAGTACTCTTTGCTCCTTGTGGTACCTAGGGCTTAGAGCCTTACTTTCACTTTTTCCTGTGCTTTTCTGTGTATTACGTATGTAAATATATATTGCCTTGGTTAATTTTGCTACTTAAAGTCATATTATAACAATGCCATTGACTTCCTCATGAATACATAATCAGTATGAAACGCTTGAGCAGCAAACTATTATTTTTAAATCTTAGTAAATAATACTTGTAGCATATTCTCCAATGTACTAACTAAAAAAAAAGATAAGATAAAAGCTAATTGTTAAATTTTTAAATATTTCAGATGTTAAAATTGAGTAATAGACCTTAAAAGTGTAAAGAATGATGTCAGGAAACATTAGTTATTGTGAATGTTGTGACCTCACATTCAGGAACCGTAAGTTATTATTTTAACGCATATAAATCAAAGATGGTAATAAAATGTATTTTCCAGCATTTATAAAATGAAGCCCTACTGAAAAAGTTCTAGAAGTTTGTCCTGTGTTAATCTAAACTATCTACAATTTTGTTCTACTCTCATACAATTGGACATAGAGCTGTTAAATGGGGTAGAGTAGACATTGATAGCTTTGGTTATTAGATTGTAATTATTTTAGAGTTATTTTAGGGGAGTTGATATTGTGTATTAGTGACATTAATTGCATAGTTTTTGTGTTATACATCGAGTAGATTTGATGCTTTTAATTGTAGTTAACTTGTATTCTAATCATTGGAGAGGGGGGGGGGATGAGTGACAGCACAGTGGTTGTCTTAATTTTTAAATAAACAAATAAAAAAAAACATTGTCAGCCCATAAAATATGCTTTTTATTTAACAGAGAATGAATACCAAATGCATTGTCAAGGAAAGAAGCACATAGCATGCAGCAATTTATTTAAGAATCAGGAAACTGCAAAACGTACTGCATTTGTTCGTGGGTTTGGAGGTAAAATGTTTCTAGTAAGAATACTTGGACTATAGTTGAAAAAAGGAAAGTTGCCAATTTGGAGCTAGTGGTCTATGGGGAAAATGGAGTAGAGTTCATCTTTCACCTGTTTCTGTGACCTCAAAGGTTTAACCTTTCACCTGTTTCTGTGACCTCAAAGGTTTAGTGTGGTTAGCACTATGCAGAGCTGGGTGGACTCTGGCATGTCCTGTGGACTCAAGCTGGGATCTGAACCCCAGTTAGCGGTCGTACACACAATCATCTGCCCATGCAGTCCCATATTCGGACCAAGAAAAGACTTAATTAACAGAAATAATATTAATAGAGATTATATTTTTACCAATGCTGAAGTTTAAACAACTTTAACAGGTTATAAACTTTATAAAATTATCAATGATTAGGATAGTTTTCCTCTGTTTCAAAAAAAAAAAAACCTAAAAATTCATTTACTTCTGCAGCTGTCAGGCGTGATCATAAAAATTTTCTCTTGGATTATTTTTCTCGTTTTGGCCCAGTGAACAAAGTCACAGTCTTCAATAGATCAGTAAGCCTTTTTTTAAAATTGCATCTGCCAAGTGAAACTTGCACTTGATAAAAAATAAATTAAACAGTACATTTTATGATTTAGCTTTTGTTATTAGCCAATTTATTTGGACTAAACGTAAGTGATTTAGTAAAATTGTTTTTTTTTTAATCTTTATCTAAAACAAGGCATTAAATATGTTTGTCCTGAATAACTTTTTGTAATTAAAATTCTATTTTGAAAAATAATTAGTTTACCTATGTTTTTTTAAAAATAACTAATATAAGGCTTTTGACATTGCAGGGTGATTTTTATGGACATGTTGAGTTTCAGAGTTTAGACTCTTTAACTAAGTGCTTAAATACGAGGCATCACAAGTATGAAAGGGCCTATTTGCATGTTAAACAGTTTGTGTATTATCTCCCAAAATCTGAACGAGCTCGTCAGAATCACCTTCAACATGAACGTGATGAGAAAGAGAAGAAAAAAAAGCTGTATGTCCAGATGATGCTGCTTTTGAAATCAGCCGATCATGTATGTTTTCAGTTATTGCTCACAACCTTGTGATACTTGCTATATTTCAAGATTTTATGACTGCCAGTCTTTTAATAATTCAATCTATAACTTTAATTTTATAACTTAAATCTTTGAGGCAATATTATTTTTCAAAAATGAGCATGTTAATTTAATTGTTTGATATATATATTATAGCATTTAGCATCCTACTAAATATTATTTTATGAGCTTTCTTATTATGAATTATCATATTTGTCCCTTATATTTGTATCTACAAAGTCTTTGATTCAGAGAAATAAAACTAATACTGCTGTGTTTACTCAAAACTTGATCTTTAAAATAAACTCATGGCATAATTCAATATTTTCTAATTTTTATATGAAGTACTATAACTGTCAAGATTAAAGTAAAATGTATAAACATTTTTTATTTCAGATTTTGGATCAAATGGACAAGCTAAGTGAACATTTAACTCTGACAAATGAAGAAGAGAAAGTTCGTGAAAACATTTGTTTAGAATTAACAAATCTATTTTCACCTTTCTTTGAATGTGAGCTCAATTTGCTATGGTTAATTAAAAATGAAAAAAAAAATTGTAATTTATACTAGTGTATATTTTGCATTTTAAGTTTATTTTAATTTAGGTATAGTGTTTTTATAAAAATAATTTTCCTCACTTCCATTTTGTTAGTGATTATAGAAAGTTTGTATATTTGAGTTTCCATCTAGCATATAACTGAAATCAGTCTAACTATATCCCGACTTAACAAGATCCTAGCTTGAACCGTATTGTTATGAGTCTTTGTTTGACAAAGACATCTGTGTTCAAGTCAGTCTTATACTAATGATAATGGCCATGACTAAAATAACTATATATCGTTTGGAGGACTCCTATTACCAACAAACTCCACAACTCTTCGTAACATAGACTGGACTAGCTAAATATATTTTCTTTACAGACTCCCTGGTATATTTTTAAGCTAACAATAAATTTTTATTTTGTGTTTTCTACAGCCTGCAGTGTTTACATGTTTGGGTCTTCAGTCAATAGATTTGGCTTCAAAGAATGTGACCTTGATTTGTTTCTAGATTTTGAAAATAATAATGTCATCTCAAATGTCAAACCACAGGTACATTTTTAAATTAAAATCACCTAAAGTTCTTTATTTTTATATATATATATATATATATATATATATATATATATATATATATATATATATATATATATATATATATATATATATATATATATATAATGAATAAAATCTTATAATATTTTAAATTTGATGTCTCATAGAACTTTATATATTTTTTTCCTAGCAAAAAAATTTACTTCCTTATCATAACGATATAAAATTTATCAATGTGGAATACTGGCCTCTAACTAAAGAATATATACAAAGTTTAGATGCATTGAAACTGGTGAGTTGTTATGGATTTAATTAACTTTCTAATAATACAATTTTATTAATAAATTTTAAATGCTCTCTTAATAAAATAAGAATTATATTACAAGTTAGTCTTAGGGAATGTTTGTTAAATGAAGAGTGACTGTTTTAATAAAATATAGACACTTTCTAATTTAATAAAAGCAATTCAACTACTAATGGCAGCAGTAATTATTTTTAATAGCACATGTTATGTTGTCATAAAAATATATAGACAAGATTTTTTCAACATCATAAACATCTGTCTCTTTAACATTACAAAGTATTTGATTGGTTAAATTGTTTGATTGTTACATCCATCATCCGTAAACAAAATTTTTTTGTGTCAAATATACCACTTAAAAAGTATGTAAATTCTATGCACAAAAAAAATTTAAGAAAAATATATTCAGTTCTTATAATTATTGTTGCAAACTACAATTGTAAACTGCACCTTAAGTAGTTTTAAATTTGTGTGCACTTATAATTGTTGTAATACTATTTACCACTGGCTACTTGAATTCAAACATTATTTAATAAAGTCCCTTTCTAAATCATAGGTAAAAGTGGTGTCCAGAATTCTCATGACAAAAACATGGCTGTATACAGAGCCATTAACAGTGCCTAGTCAGCGATGTCCAGTAATTAAGTTTGACCACATAAAAAGTGGTATTAGTTGTGACATGTCAATGAACAACAGGTTGAGTTTTATTCTAATTTTACATTTTTACCTACACCTTCTCAAAGTTTTAGGCCTAATTTTAGCAACCTACCTAGGTTAGTAACCTAGTGATTTGATTTGAATCTATCGTTTTTCTGCAGAACTTCCTGATATAAATATTAGTTTTTAATGATTTGAATAGTGACACAATTTTTAGACATATTGTAGTTAAAGATCTAATTTATTATCTTGATAAAGAATTTTTAGAGTGATTAATGATTTTTCAAACATTAAAAACAAGATTTAATTTTAATTTTAGAAAAGCTTTGCACAACAGCCTTCTCCTGCGCTTGTATGGCTCTGAGCCTCGTGTCCACAAATTGGTTAGTGTGTTACGGCTGTGGGCCAAGACCCATGAACTCTCTGGAGGTCAGGGTCACCTGCTGACTAGCTATGCACTCACCTTGACTGTTTTATTTTACTTGATGAGGAAAGAACCCAGCATCATCCCTAAAGTCTGTGAACTTGAAGCTTGTGTTCAAGGTATGGATTTTGGTATTCTCACATTATTCATTTTGACTTTGTAAGTGTAAGAAAAAAAAAACATAACTGTAAAAAATTATTTTCCACATGAAAATAACTATCCATGCCTATAAATAACTGTTTAATTCTTCAGGTTTTATTAACAACTGTGAGAAAGATATTTAACAGCAGAATAACTTGGCAAAAATTCTTAAGTAAATGTAAAACATGTTTTCAGGAGCAAAGAAAGTGATGGTGGATGAATGCTTTTGTGTGGAAGTTCCTAAAGATGCGGTCTTACCTCCATCAGAAAACACAGAAAATGAGGGTGAGAAACTTAAAATTCATTCTTTTTTTTCATTTGTACATTACATACAGTAGTCATAACTTAAAAAAAATAATGAAATTCTACTATGAAAATGTGAGACTTCTGTTTCTTATTTGTTCTTAATTGTAATGTCCGAAGGGATTTCCTCCAACACAGTTAAGTATTGCTAGTCAACTTGTTGTGCCATATAAGCCGTCAACTCAATTTTAGCCTGCTTTTTTTCTGGATTTGGGTCCTTTGTCCAAATACGAGGCAGCAGTTTTTTTCATTTTGGAGTTTTCTCTCCTAGATGGATTGCTGCCCCAGCTATCGAGCCTCATCTGCTTGAGATTTTGAACATGGGACTTTTCTGTTCTGCAGCCACAAGCCATACTGACCCAGTGCTTTGTTTTAATATTTATGGGCAATAGTAGAGCACATAGTAGCTAACCTGAAAATAAATTTCAACTTTGGTTTTTGCATGAGTCCACTCAGTTCTGATAAGTATCTGACCCCAGTTAGGGAAAATAAGTGTTGCCATGCATAGTGCTGACAAATTTACATCTTTATGTTCCTATATCAAACATTATTTACATTATAAAACCATCATGCCAAATGTAGTATTTCTGCATCTCCTTTTTTACACAAATAAAAATTCTTCGAGTTTTTATCCTCTAGTGTTTTCTCATTCTAGAATTTCTAATTAGTTGGAAAGGCAATTTGATATTTTAATAAGCAAATCATTAATAACTTCAGCATTTAACCCATCAAAATGTATATTTTGATGCTTTGCAAGTTGACTTTTTTTTTTTACTTCTGTGACTATTAATTAAGAGTTACTGGACATGATTTTATTAGATTTTTATTTATTCTAAATGTTACATGTCTGTGTATCGTATAAGGCACTTGATTTTACTGGGAAAAAAAGATATTTCTCCATATGTTGCAGTTGATCTTCTAAAGGGTTTCTTTGACTTTTATGCCAGATGTGTCAATTGGGATAGTGATGTTTTAAGGTTTTACGACGCCACCATCATTAAAAAAACTATAATAACAGAAGATCCATCTTTTCTTGCATGCAAGGTACTGTTTTTTTTTTTTTTTTCATATTCATTCTAAAGAGCTTAGGCCAACTTAAAAGAAGGAGGGGGGCAACTGCATGTATAATTTTCTTAGATTCTTAGCTGACAATAGAGAAATTTAATAACTCTGGCTTAAGCATTGTTGGCTTGTGAACATCTGACTTAACTTTGTGTATTACCTATTTGTTGAAATAATTTTGTATTAATTACAGAGTTCAGTTATATGCAGTCATTTAATCTCATTTTGTTTTTAAAAGTTCTAAAGAGAAGATTTGATAAAAAGAATCTTAATTTAAAAAAAAAAACATTTTCTATTGCTAACCACTGGTGAAATTGTTTTTGATTAAATTGGATTGTTGACGTTTCAGACTGGCTGTATGGCACTACTAGACCCTTTTGTGATCACTCATAATGTGCTGGGGAATGTGAATGAGAAAACAAGGACCAGATTTATAGAAGAGATAAAGAGAGCTGCTGAAATGACCAGCACCTGGTCCAGTAGTAACCTTGGGTCATCATCTGAGCCATGGGGAATAGCAGGTACATGTTTAATTAATTAATTACTGCTCTGAGGAATACCATGTACTTCTCTGGGGAATACACGGTACCTGCATATACATATTTATTTTAATTAGTACAGCTTAATTAATCTAGTTTTTTTATTAGATAACTTTAAAATTTAATAAAACTAGTGATTAATTTGTTAAGATAATAAAGTAGTATAGTTACGCTTTCTGACCCGGCGGTCAATTGGGCAGATGAAGTAGAGTCCCCCTGATTATGTTACCTCGCCATATACAGGAATAGTATTGTCAGTTCTATGCCCAGCAGCTCTTTCTTTCACTAACTTGAGTTATACCCATTAGAGTTGAGTGGACTCATTGTTCAGTGCTGTAAATATGTGATAATTTTTTTTTTACAGCTTTACTTGAGCTTAATCCAAATTCAACTAAAGACCAAAATGACCAGAATAAGAGCTCTAAAGTTCCAAATCAAAGCAGCAGCCACGCTTTAAAAATGGACGGGGAGCAAGAAAATGGGGATTTCTGCATCCCTCTTCAGCCAACGTTGTCCGCCATCTCTGACCCTGCCTTGGTCTCAGCTGCTCAGGCCAATCAGACCACAGCACAGAAGCAGTGGTGTGTCACAGCAGAAAAGCTGGTGATCGATGTTCTTCAGAAAGTTTTTCTAGTGGAAATTAACCCTTTAATTCTCAACAAGGAAAATATTGATAAATCAGCAAAGTGTGAAAAGAAGATAAATTTAGACGCAGGTGCTTCAATCAGAGAGAGTGATGAGGTTGACCTACCAACAAAATATAAAAAAGAATTAAATATGAATGAAAACATTCTGAAGATAGAAATAGACAATCCTGATGCACCATTAAAATGTGAAGGGGAGTCAAACAAAGAACAAGACTCCCCTAGTCTTAAAAATAAACGATCAAGTGATGTTGCACTTGAAGATTTAAATGAACAGGAGCAGGAAAACCCACACAAGAGGTTATGTGAAGGTCTGAGTAGCCCAGACAGTACTACAATAGTACACTCAACATTAGTTCACACTCACAGAACCGAAAGTGCTGACCCTTCTCGTGACACAGACACTCACAGAACCGCAAGTACTGACACTTCTCATACAAAGACTTCTCCAGAAGACAGTTTTGAATCATCAGCTTACACCTGCACCTGCAAACACTCTATGTGGATAGGGAGAAAAAAGATTAAAACAAGTTCAAGAATAGATAGCAGCCTTAAAGGGTTAAAGTTAGAAGAAGAAATAACCAGATTAGTTTTAAAAGAGATGGAAAAAATATCAAATGCAGCCAACTCTAACCCAAACATTGTCACCTCTTCTACCAAACCAGCATCTCAATCAGTCACTTTCTCATGTCAAATTTTCCACAAGAACATCCATGCAGAGTTACCCTTCATTCTCATTAAAATCAGACCACTCCCAGAATGCATCAGTATCTTTAAAAATTTGTATAGTTCATTTAGACACATTCTTTGCCAACTGGTTGTTTCTGATTTAGTGATTTAAATTTTTACTGAAGATAAATGTATAGATTTTTATGCTTTGAAAACACAATATATAAATTATTACACATTGTTTTGCAATTTTGAAAAATAAAAATAAAAAACATAAAAATGAGAGCTTTTTATTTTTGACTAGATAAGGCAACAATTTGAAATATTTGGAATATAAGGCTGTCACACTTCTTGTCATATTGTGTTACACACTTAAATTTAAAACAAAAAGAAATGCCAGAAATCTTAATTGCATACTGTCCTTCCAACTCATAATTTCAAATTAAATAAACAACAGTAGGAAATTACCAATGCACCAACAAATTAATAAAACAAAAGTTATAACAGATTATATATATCATTGTGGAATTAATAAGTTAAATGTTAATCAAAATTAGAAATGAAATGGCTAAGTAAACATGCTTTTATTTAGCCTTTAGCTAATGAAACAATAAAAATGCAACATATTTGTATTTAATCTACAGTATTTAGGCCAGGGGCAACACATTTTGAAGGTCTCTTTGTCTTCATTACTTGGAGAAATAATATAAGGATAAATAACTGGGGTGACCACATTTCAGTAAGGAGTAACATTCTCGTCTAAAATCAGATTTTTTCACTATTTAGGAACATAGTGAACTATGAAATATATCACTTGCATTAATACTGAACCTCTAACCTAATTTTTCTCCTTTTTGTGGCGTTATATGATAAATAAATTGATTAATTGCTCCATGTAATTCTTAAAGTATTTCTTTTGAATAGCGTTTCGTCAGAATAAATTTGCTTTAGATCACGCAGATTAAAATGTAATAAGAATCTGGACAAAGATACATTAAATAAAAACTAATTTTTCGAAAATATATTTTACAAAATTTTAAAATCACAATGATGTGCTACAGTACCAGTAATAATTTTAAAAATGTTGGTTGCTAAATAAAATAAAATAAAATGTTCAAATCAGTGGACAAGTTCATAAGCTGGAGTTAAATAAGAAACTGGCACCAAACCAATTTTCCCACCCAGTTCGCCAACCCACCAATTCTGTTTTTCCAAGTCCCGACTGATGATGTGAATGATCTCCCCTCTGCCAAAACTTAACTCCTGAGGGGTTGAGCTCTCGCACTGCCACAGCCCATAGAACAAATTCTCAAAATCTTCAGAGCGCTGCAGGATTTTCCCCAAGGCGGGCGTCAGCTTGGGTTTTTGGATTTCTACTGGTGGGGGAGGCAACGGAACATTCCTACTTGGCAGTGGAGGGGGGACAGGTCCTGAGGCTGTTGGGGAAACAGCTTTAGGGTGGTGGGAGGGTAAAGGTGGGGGGATACTGGCTTGCTGATGCTGATCAATGGGCTCGTAGATTAAATCATCTTCATCTTCAATTTTAGTTACCTCTTGTTTGATTTGAGGGACAGGGGGAATGGAGCGTGGGGCGGGGAGAGCAGGATTTGGCATGGTTATTGCATCATCATAAACCTCTTCCGGAGGGGAAGGTTTGGCTGGCGTTTCAGCTTTTAAAGGATAGTTTTCTGTTTCCTCATATATGTCTGGGTGAAATAAAAACAAAGTTAGGTAAACAAAAACTTGTCATTCAAGAACATACAATTACAAAAACAGTTATAAAATATGAATAAATGAAAAAAAAAATTGAACACAGACCTCCGTCATCTTCATCATTTACTTCTGTGACCTGTTTTGATGCTGTTTGTATTGCTTCTCTCCATGATTGAAAATCTTCTTTTGATGATGCTAAGAACTGGTCATTTGTAATGAAAAAATAATCTTAATTAAACTGATGGAGATTCCTATTAAATTAGTAATATTGGAAAATATGAATGGTAATGACCAGTTCTTCTTCTTGTTCTTCGTTCTTAATTTTTAGTGTTGGAAGGGATCGAGCATTATCTGCAAGAAGGTTTGAACTCGGGACTTTCTTTTTTCAAATTTATATCAACCATGAGCTTTGCCGACTTGACCACGCCTCCATCACAATTAATGATATGTGTCAACTGGTTATGCGCCATTAGGCCATTGATTCAGATTTCAGCCTGCTTTTCTTTTTGGATTTGCTTCCATAGCCTTTGTCCAACCAAGAACAAACTACAAAGCAGCAGTTGTTTGATTTTGGAGTTGTCTCTCCTAGAAGAGTGTCTGTCCCCAGCTAACGAGCCTCATCTGCCTGAGGAATGACCAGTGTTTTCAGACATATTGAAACTCCAGTTACATCTATAGCTACCTGATAAGATTTCTTGCCAGGACAAACAAGCTCAAAGCTGCAGTCCTTTTTTCCTGCATCTTTCTGATTTTGAGGGGCTTCTCTAAACTCGTATCCTGAAGAGTTCAGAAAAATAAGTGGAAGCTACTGGCTGTCATTTTTGTAACTACTAAATATACTTTATTTGTTTTTCTAGTACAACAGCAATTATAAACAAACAAAAATCCTTCGATTATTTTGTATTTTTCACACCAACAAAATTATCTTAAGAACTTACAACATTTAACATATATAATTGTACATTGTATTTTATTCTTTTAATCACTGCTGACATTAACATGAGCAGTTGACCGATGAATAAAATTTATTTTTCAAACATAATTAGGAGTAAACCTATCTACTCAAAAGTAAAAAAAGTTTAGAACCGGACGGTCTATGGGGCAAGTGAAGTTCCCCTGTTTCTGTGACCTTGGCATATGAAGGGATAGTTTTGTCAGTACTATGCCCAGCAGCCTTTACCTTCCCTAACGTGAGTTGGGCACCCATCAGAGTTGGGTGGACTCTGAGACATACTAATGACTTGACTTGAAAACCCGGATTTGAACTCAAGACTATCAGGTCTTGCGCTAGGCCCTGCTGTCCCTTCTATCTACTCAACAATGAATTAAAATACTAAGATTTTCCAAACTTGTATTTTTTATGACTTGTAATAGATATAATTAAATCACAGATAATATTATAAGTAAAATTAAATAGCAACTAACAAAGTAACTTGACATTAAACAATGAGTGGTTTTCTTAATAATGTGCTAAAAGAGCTTCCTTACTACAAAACAAGTTGAAAAATTTCAAACAGTCACAACAGTAAAAAAAAATAAAAAAATACCTGTGACATAAAAGGCACACTGCTGTTTTTTGTCATCTGGTTTTTTAAAGCAGTACATGATATTCTTGTGTAAAACACAGTATCGTTTCTGCCAGCTAAACAGAGCACCCAGCAGAGCTGTAATTAACAAAAAACAAACTGAGTTCATGCATTGAAATGTGTATGTATATACATTTGAAAATTTGGTTTTGAAATTATTGATAAAGGAAACCCATTTTATAACTAAAATTTTTTAACAAAATGAAAGAGAGTGAGTAAACACAATGAAGGAACATAACGTTACCAGAACATTTGAAACTAACAGTGATCAGATTGTAATACAAACTGCTTGTGTGAAAATAGGGGTAAACTCTTAACAAGCACAAACCAACAATAGCAACCAGGTTGATCTAATGTTTACTTAGGCAAACAATGGTTGACAAAATGCTGTAAAGGCTACAGGGTCCCCTTTACTATATCTAGGTAGCACTAAACACTGTTACTTCTAAAGGGTCATTCATAAATAATGTTACACTTTTTAAAATATTTACCTCCCCCTCCCCTGTCACAAAAAGCCAGACCCCCTAAAATGACATCACACTTCAGCCTACAACCCATCTCAAAATTGCATTTACATTTTTATTTACCATCGATTTTTTTTCTAAAATATTGACAGACATCACACTATCTGAACCCCCCCCCCCCTCATCACACATTGACACAAAATTACAGTCCCTCCTCCCCCCTATTAGTGTGACATCATTTATGGACAACCCTAATGGTGAGACCAAAAATGCAACACATTAAGTAATGTTCCCAATTCATATCTAACAATCCCTGAGGCAGAAGAGGTAGAGTTGATAATTCTTGACCTCGACTCATGAAAGGATGGTGTGGAAGTTTTGAGTCTATACCCAGATCACAGCAGCCAAATGCTCAACCATTCGACCACTCCATCCCCTTACAAATTAAATAGATGTATGAAACCCAAATATTTTCATGCTAAACCTTTTTGTTTCTTATCCAGATATCCAATCTTTACAGGATCTGGCAGTAACCTCACTGTTGTATCTGGTATATCTGAAAAATAACAGTTTTATGTTTAGTATATCAGAAAAATAACAGATTTTATGTTTAGTATATCAGAAAAGTAACAGTTTTTAAATAGGCTAGTTAGTGCAATTTAAAGAAAAACAAAATTTAGCTGACAGAAAAATGGTTTATTTATACTTACTGTCATCATAGTTATCATCATCAGCCGTCATGCTGGTATCAGCAACATTACGTGAATCATCACCTTATAAAGAAAATGACAAATTCATAGTGTAATGTATAAACATTTATTTTTACTTTAGTTGCCAAAAGATTCATATGACTCACATGTACTTAATGATCTTGTATAATAATGTAATTAACAGAAAGGTAATATAGAATAGATAAATAAGTGCTACATACCAAATGAATTGTTGGCAAGTGTGTCTTTTCCACTGGAAGCACTACCAGAACTGTTAGCACTTGTGTCTTTAGCACTTGATATACTCCCAGAACTGTGAGCACCTGTGTCTCTGGCACTAGATGTACTCCCTTCATCTCCACTGGATAAGTTGTCATAATCAACATAGAACCTTAGTAGGAGTTCAACTATCTTTTCCTTTTCTTTCTGTGCTGATACACTGAGATTCTCATTTTTAAGCGTAATATTGATGAATTTGTTGATCTCTAAGTAAGACAAACAAATAAAAAAGTGATCAAACATAAATAAAGTCAAATGTAAAAAGTTTAAGAAACACAGAGATAAAAACTTAATATTTTAGACATATGTCTAAGAACCTTAAAAATAATTTACTACTAGATCTATTAGTCATTACTTACTACTAGATCTAGAAATGTAATATATTAAAAAAAGAATTATTAATTATATATTATAATATAGTATACTATTTATTACAGGTATGCATATTCAATATTCCTATATTTAGTATTTATTATTTTTGTTTATTATTTATTTAATTTTTATTTTATTACCTGTAAGAAACTTTTTAACCGCTTGATGATACGACGACATAGTTAGAACTTAGCTGTTTTTTGTGATTTACTTTATCACCAGCTATGTAGGCCTAAATCTTAATATCGATTTATCTATCCAAATTCTGCCAAATAGTAAATAGACTAACACTCATTTAGATCCACAGTCATATCGTACAGTTGAAGACCAGGAAGAAAATCTATCCCGTTTTATTCATTTTACTTCCTTGATTTGTCCTAATGAAAGAGGCGAAATTTTCTTCTCTAATCGCTTTCGCATTTTTGTTTAGTGTGTATTTATGTGTGTGTGTTTAGTATGCGCTAATAACGCGGTTGAGTTCAGTTTCACCATTGCTAATAAGTATTAATAATAATAAGTCTTGGGAGATGTACACAGAATTTCAATTGTATTCTTTGAAAAATATTTATAAGCTTAATTCTTTCTTTGAATATTAAGTCTTGGAGTAAGATATCTTACATTATGTAGGCACTTGTAACTATGTGATTATTCAGTCTAGAGTATTGATTGGATTGAAACTTTTAATGGGTGAAGGGATTATGAAAGCACTAGTTAACTCCTTTATAGTTGTGATATCCACCAGCTTACAATTTTATGGGTGTCACATTAACAACTGGACACCTTTTCTTCTAGACTTTTTCTTTTTTCTCGAGGGGGGGGGGGGGGAATTCCCCCCCCCCCCCCCCCCCTGAAAAGATCCCTGGAAGAAACACTGCACTTTGTCCTTTGAAGGGGTGACATTCATCAGTTTAGGTACTGTGTGATATTATTTACCAATAGACAGTTTGGGGATGACACATTTATAGAGGAGACACAAAAGTATGACATTCACCACTTTGCATATACACAAGGATGTCATTCACTAGTGTACACACACACAAGGATGTCATTCACTAGTGTACACACACACAAGGATGTCATTCACTAGTGTACATACACAAGGATGTCATTCACTAGTGTACACACACAAGGATGTCATTCACTAGTGTACACACACATAAGGATGTCATTCACTAGTGTACATACACAAACAAGGATGTCATTCACTAGTGTACATACACAAACAAGGATGTCATTCACTAGTGTACATACACAAGATGACATTCACCAGTTTATACACACAAAAGATGACATTCACCACATACACAAGATGACATTCACCAGTTTACACATACACAAGATGACATTAACCACTGTACACACACACAAGATGACATTCACCAGTTTTTATCTATAGACCTACATTTTCCAACACTTTTTAAAATGATCCATGACCACTTTATAACATTATCTTTTCTCTAGTATATTATTACATAAAAAGGTTTAAAATTATATACCTTATCTAACTTTGAATTTTAGAATTCCTTTACTGTGCAATAGATTTATACAATAACTAGATCAGTTCCATGCTTTAATATTTAACTCAATTTTACATAGATCCATAATAACATTTGAAATAGCAAAATCGTAATTTACTCGAAGTAGGTTGTATATAAAAACAAGGCAACAAATTAATAATAGAAAAAACGCACTTTATTATAAAAATGATACAAAATTACAACATATTAGAACAATTATAATATTTTAAACAGTGTGAATAATTGGCCAGCTTTGATTGAAGATGTACATTTTAACACTTTTTGACGCTATTAGAATTTAAACTGTACATCTTTTCGCCAATTCATCGTAATTATTTCTCTTCCATTAACTAAACCATTCAAAAGACTTCATCAACCAACAAGCAATATAATTCACTGAATTCAAATATACATAATATATACATAATATGACATTTGTATTTGTTTTCTAAAACACAGAATATTTCTATTGCATAATACATTTAAAAAATATAATTTAAGTAAGTGAAATAAAAATAACAGAAAGGGTTTATAAGGCACTAAAAATCACATTTTTGTTGTTGTTAATGAATACAGCAAATATTCATATACACAACACATTGATTAATCAAATGTATGTAAGTATTCGTAATATAAAATGTATACAAAATAATTATAAATTTCAGATGTATAATTTGAAGAGTTTTTATTTAACAATCAACCAAATGACAGCTAAGTGACTGAATAATCTGAACAACAAACCTATGGATCATACGCTTTTTTTTTTCACTGAATGAACTTTTTGGTGAAAGAATTACACTATGGAATAGATTATGTTTGTTTTTCAAGACACCACAGTACTTGATTAAAAAAAAATAAAGACGTGTAGAAAACCTTGAAACTACTCTTTTACATCATATACCCTAATTTGTACTAAGTGAAAAATAATGAAACATTTATGTTTTTTAATATCAACTAAACAATAGAATATCACAGAATAATGGAATGTTAAAAGTACAACAGTTCTCAACAATAGTAATTAAAATAATTATACACAAATATGGTATAGCTTAATATCTATAGTAGTAATATTTATTAACAGTAAAGGGGTCTTTAGCAGTGGGGTAAAGGATAGGCATAAAGAATTCTCTGGTCATATAGAAGAAACTAACAACAATGGCTAGGTAGGTATACAGGAATTTTGGAAGTCAGAATTTTCTAACATATTGAGAAAGAAAAAGAATAAACAGTTAAACAAATATAAAAGCCTTTATAACAAGCTTTTTAATGCACTGAAAATTAGATAAAACAAACATGCTTTCTTTAATTAAAGATTTGGTCACTCATGTTTTTACTTTCTTATTTTTAGTACACTAAAAAGCTTGTTATTTTAAAGGTTTTTATATTTGTTTTATTTTCCACTTTTTAGTAATTTGTCCCAAATGAAGTTGACTTTACATAGGCTATGACTAAAAATATTCCTGTTAAAACTGACCAGTAGCTTGTGATCTATAAAAGGTAATTATTTACACGAGCTGACCCGCGACGTAGCATACACTGCTATCTAGTTGTTTTATTTTCTACTTATCAGCAATTCAATTCATAATTTGTGAATTTGACACTACCCCAACCCCCTGCCTCCCCCTCCCCCCACCCAGTGAAAGCCATTTACAGACGACAATGAAAATATCAAGCATAACTTATTATCTCCCCTTAGTACAAATCGTTTAAAAACTTAATTATCAGCCCCTAATGACCGTCACTTATTCGAACCGCTCTACTATTGTCAACATTTGGGGTGAACCACAGCACACCTGACAGGTGGGGATGATGGTGGTGGCTAAGCTGCGTGGTGTTTCGTATGGTCACCATGAAGAGAATTATAGATATAATTATTTTGTGGGCAACTCTCAGGTGAGAAATCAGCCAACTGTGACAACCTAATTACCTCAACTGTTCGCTGATCGAGTTTATTGGGAGTATTTAATTTTAGCTCCCTTTAGTTTCAAAACTGTTTAAATAATTTTTAATGACATTGCACAAGACTTAAGACTTAAGTGCCGCCAGCACAGGACAGGTCAAACTTGGTGAAGTCCCCTCGGAAGAAAGCCAGTCCTTTGTCTACTTAGGTAGTATTGTGGACTTTCAGGGAGGAACAGATGCGGCTTTTATAAAGCAAGGTTAGGCAAACCAAGAGTAGTCGTCACACAGCTAAAGAACATCTAGGTTTGCTGTGAGCTTTCCTTAACAACCAAGGAGCATCTGTTCAACTCCAACATAAAATTATTGCTGCTGTATGGGGCAGAGACTTGAAGGACAACAAAGATAATCACTGATGAAGTCCAGATATTTATAAATGGCTGTCTCAGATGATAACTCAGGATCCGCTAGCCTGACACCATCAGCAACGTTCAACTACGGCAAACAAAAGTACAACTTAGTGCTGAAGAAAAAATAAGGTAAAGAAGATGGGGTTGGATAGAACACACACTGCGCTAACCAACATCACAAGGCAAGCATTGAAGTGGAACCCTCAGCGCAAGAGGAGATGGGAATTTGAGGCTGAAAGCACAACAATGAGCTTTGGAGTCAGGTTGAAAAGATTATACAGGACAGAGGACTCTGGAGATCTTTGGTTGGTGGCCTATACCCCAGCAGTGATGATGATGAATTTAACATCTAATTAAATTGAAAAATAGACATTGTGAACTAAGTAAAAGCTTGTAAAAAGAATGGAACACACCAAAGTCATGTGATAAGATAGTAGACAGGAAAGAAAAATCAGAAGATGAACCAATGCAAGGATGATAAAGAGAAAATAAACCTCAATACACAGTATAGGGATGCAGATGCACTCCAAGCAGACCCAGTCATATCTGCAGACATTATAAAACCTGTACTAAATAATATTTTAAAAGAGAAGATAGCCTCGACTGACTGTAAATGAGATTATCTTGTAAAGCTGCCAAGAAAGGAGACCTGTCACAGTACAGCAGCTGGAGAGGAATAATGCTTCTGTCTGTCCCAAGTAGTAAAGTACTGACAAGAATCATCCCTATGAGACTGAAAGAGGCTTTGTACAAAAATCTTAGACAAGAGATGGTAAGTTTTTGACAAGGAAGGTCATGCACAGATCACATTGCTACACTACCTATCAGTCCAAAGGAAGGCTATTCCCCCTAAACAAACTCAATAACCAATGGCTACATCACATCATCAAAATAAGATGGACAGAAAGAATCTCATGTACACACCAGTGGCATAGAATGAAGCAGCAGTTCATGGCAAAGACTACAAAACCTGCAATGTTGGGATGGATTGGGCAAAAGCTAAGGAGAACAGAAGAAAATATCACCAAGTCTGAAATCCTCAAGGAAAAGGGATGGAATGTGGGCAGACCAAGAAAATCATGGAGGACTATTGAAAGCAAAGCAAGGGCTGTAGGACTAGACTGATTGTTTTTTTGTAAGTATTATCAAAATATAAATTTTTAGGTTATGAAATTATCCAAATCCCATATCAATTAATTACATTAACATTTAATTAATGGTAATTTTTTGTTACAAAAAGCAAGTATCCAGAAGAATACAACTAATAACTGGAGTTTTAAGTTTAAAATAAACTTAACATAAATAAAAATAAACCAAGTCATTTAGTTGGTTTGAGCAGCTTTTGGGTAATAATTTAGCATTTCTTATCTAAACTAAAGATAATAATTATCCTTTATCTTATTCTAGTAATTCTAGAGTAATAATCTACATGACTTGTTCAAAATATTGGTAATAACAGACTAGTGAAAAAAGACACATTTAATTGGAAGCTGCACCAATTCTGATATTCCATCACAGAATTCTCAATTAAGTCAAGTTGTAACATAATATGGTAGAAAGTTTTTCGTAACACTGAGATGTTTAATTTTTGTTAATAAGTTAACTAAGGAGAGTCATTTTGAACAGCATTATTGATATCAGCCATTGCTATCGCTGATGATGGATTACTAGCCTGTCCCTCAACTTGGTCAGTGGGTTGGACATTATTTGAGGCATCATCTGGGTACATGACGCAATATAAATCTGGACGTCTTGCTGCAATGAGAGCTTTTTTAATATATTTTTTGTGAACTTGTTTGTTATTTGATTCTAGCCATCTTTTAAGTACACCTGCATACTGTTTCTCTGTTTCTGTACTTAATTTTTTCTGTTCTTCTAACTCCTGATGAAAATTAAACTTTCCACTAGGATCCTTTAAAGTACCAAAAAAAATTTGACACTCTGGAGTTCCCAGTTTGTAAATGAAGTCTTTAATTTGATGTTCTTGCACTAAGGGTTTACCTTCTGGTCCTGTACTCCTGGACTCCCGTTGTTTGTGTCTACGTCTACAATAATAAATAAATATAACTATAATAGCAACAACGGCAACTCCACCACATAATCCTACAGAAAGTCCAATAACAAGTTTCTTATTTTCACCAGAGTGGACAGAAGGAAATTTAGCAATCGTTGTATTATCAGTCAGTGAATCTAAAGTAGTGGTGGCATTTGTTGTAACTTCTGTACTGGAGGTCTGGTTTAAGATACAGCTGTACTCGTCATGTCTATATTCATATTTATAATAGCCTTCCTCACAGCCCCACACTACATCTTCAGTGTTGGATCCATTCTTGACTATTACCCAGTTTTCATTTTTTGGTTTAGTCGTCCATGGTTCACAAGTGAGGTCTTGATGACTAGGTTTCTTTTGAAATTGTCTGAGAAAATAAAAATATAATGAGCGCTGAGTAGGAGAAGGAGATTGGCAATGAACTAACAGTTTGTGAACCAGTACCCCTAATAATACAGCATGAATTGAACACTGCCTGTTATGGCTATTGGAGGTTTTAATGAATATAAATTTCCATGAGTTACCAAATTACAAGCTGGTCAATTCAGTCTGATAAAATTATCCAATTAGATATGCTTAATTTAAACAAATCCAATTACTGTAGGAGTTATTAAATGACATAATATAATGATATATACAATTTATATATTTTAATTAGGTTAAGGGTTTTGATTTGTGCTGGGATAAAGTTTAGGGATAAGTTATGTTTAAGGGAGTGGTTCCATTTGGATAACTAATAAATGATTTTCAATAAATAGTAATAATATATTTCTAGCAGGAGTTTTACATGCAATATAATGTGTTAGATACTGCAGTGTGTCTTTTATTAACACTACAATTAAAATGGTTTGACTAATAAATAAATTGTAAAAACAATTAAGTTCCCTTTTAGACCAGATGGCCTATGAGGCAGATGAAGTAGATTTTTTTCATCTATTTCTCTGACTGTGGCACATATGCCTTGCTGCCTTTACTTTCAAAGACTAGTCAAGTACTCATCAGAACTGGGTTGGCACAGTGAGGGCACATGAACTCTACCGTGTGAATTGAACTCAACACTTGCGGGTTGGTAATCAAGTTTTTAAGGGCAAGAAATTTTTATATATACAATTTTAGGAACTTAGCTATGCCTCTATCATCTATTACTAATTCAGCCCAAAATCTAACCCTAGCGCGTATCACTAGAACATCCTTATTGAAGATTAGAACTATTCATATCTATAAGTATGAGTAATTGATTAAAAATATTATTTTTTTTCACTATACTGAACAAGTTAAAATTAAACAAAATAAAATACAGGTTGACTGATTAAGTTGTTTTTTACCCAAATGGACATGGCAGACATTCATCATCTTTACAGAACTCCCCTTGATTACATTGTTCAGTGCACTTTGTTAACACTGGTGTGCTTAAAACTAGCAAACAAATGCTGTTTAAAGCCAAGTATTGGAAGGTGATTTTCATGCTGCACATTTCAACCTAAAAGATAAAAAAATTTAAGAAACAATAAAAAAAACATACATTTTGAAAGCTATGATTTAAAAAAAATAATTATATTGTTAATAAAACATATTTGAAAGAAACTTTATAGCAACAGGCTTTTAAATGCACTTAAAATAAGAAATCTAATTTGGTTTCTTTAATAAATGTTTTAGTAGCTAAAGTAATATAGTAATATATGGAGTGATATAATTTTGTTATCTCCTCTTAGTTTTTAAACTGTTTATGTTTTAGTGACTAATTAAACATCTAATTAAATTGAATCAAAATTTGATAGACTTGTATATTGTTATCAAAGAGGAATGTATCTGGAAAGTTTGAATGAAATCGCTGCATTAGAAGTGGGTCAAACTGAGTTACAAAAATTGCCTCAAACCCACAAACATTGCAAACTAAATAAACGCTTGTAAAAAAACATTGCATTCAAAAAGTTTTTTTTATTCCAACATACAATACTGTTAACCTAAGGTTTATTAAAAAATACAGAACAATAGCCTTTGACTTAAGAAATATAAATTAAACCTTTAAAAATGTAGAAAAAAAAATCAACTTGTGAGCAACAAATTATGATAGTATTAGTAATTACTTAATTTTTAGTCAATTTAAAAAGCTTTTCTCTACTAATAAAAATTTCAAGTATAGCATTTTTTACTTTCTCGTATATACGTAGTATAGAGAAAGTATTGTAATCGTGCAAAAAAAAAAAATCGAGATTTTTACAAATCTCGACGTTTTACACCTCACTGATACGGAAAAACATAATTTTGCAATCTTGTCCGTATGTCTGTGTGTGTGTGTGTGTGTCTGTCTGTGTGTCCGTGTGTAAACACGATAACTTGAGTACCGTTACTGCTAGATTGATGAAATTTCATATATAAGTATTTTATCAAAATCGTAGATCCGTATCAACTTTTGAGCGATTTCCGATAACCGGAAGTGGTACTTTTTCTACTTTGAATTTTTCAAAAGCCTATAACTTGAGTACTATTTCAGATAGATAAATGAAATTTCACATGTAAGTAAAAGATCTAATTCTCCACCTTCTGTTAAATTTTGAGTCATTTCCGTTGACCGGAAGTAGTAATTTACGCTACTTCCGATTTCTCAAAAAACTAATGTAAATTTAAAAGTACTAATAATATTGCGCACTATTATGCGCTTTTTTATTTCGCGTTCACTTGGTGTGCAATTAATTTGTCTACGAGATTTTATTCTATTTTTAAAACTTTAAGTATTTAAAATGGATTAAAAATCATGTCTATAGCCCGAGTTCCCATCCCCTGTTATTTTATATAAAAATATTCGAGAAAGTTTAGGGGAGATCACTCCCGGTTTATTTTCCTAAACAAGACACAGCTGAGGGGTTACTGTGAATTCACATTAGTTTAGAAATCAGTAAGCTTACAGCATACATTGAAGTTTGCATAAAGCAATCTAAAATAGCAAGAGTTGCTATTTTAGATTGCTGGTGATGTCACTCCAAGCAGATTAACAGCGCAACACTAATAAAACACTATAGACACTACAAGTGACCAGTTAATTAATTTCAAGACAAAAATTGTGGCAGGTTATACAGAGATCACATCACATACCCAACCAGAAAAATGAAAAGCAGAATTGGAGGGTGGTAGTATTACGTCACGCATTTAAACAGAATGTAGATATAGGGTCTATTGACAAAGAAGTTAAAATCATAGTTGAGCTAAAACAACTTCATATTTCAACAAATCAACTAGTGTTTTGGAAGAAATGTTTATATTTATAGAAAACTATATTATATTTTTAATTTACAACATTTACAAAATAAACGGTCACGTGTATCAATTTCTGATACTTTTTTTTAATATGGAGGAAATAATGCCCACCATCACACAGCCTACAAGGAATGATGGTCCTGGAATACTTTAACAGCACTATAAAAGACGCTTAGAAGTCACACACAGAAAAGTAAGCAACAGTCTTACAAAAGGGCAGCGGCTGGCCCTAGGATAACAATTACTTTTAAATCGATTCTTTGATAATAACAGTATAGCTGATTCTTTAAAGAATAAATTGAAATCAAAATTGCATTTTCACAATGTATTTACAACTCAACAAGAGATATTTTTTCTATTAGGTAGTGTTGAACAATTAATCATGTTATTTTAAACGGCTTTTATTATTAGGAAATAAGGAATGTATTCATATGTTTGGTTATCGTTTTTTACAAATAGTGTCTAAGAAAATATGCCAAAGGCTAAAAATCGAATAATAATGAAATTTTTTTTTAAGCACTTCTTTAAAAAGAAGTTTAGCAATCCTCCCAGGGGCAGTTGAGAGTGTCAAAAATGTTGTTAAAGACTGCAGGTCATTGGTCATCCTGCTCCTGCGTTGAACTGCTTTCTGCCTGTGCAAGCTCGAGTACCGCGGAGGTTGTTTCTGTTCCACAGCAGCCATCATGTTCAGTATGACGTGTTACTGCAGCTTTTGATGGCATGTACACATTGTATGATTTGCAAATGCGTTTGCTCATTTCTTTAGTGAGAGTTGGGCAGAACAGATCAAAAGGAACTTCTGTTTTGTAAGCTGAAGCTGCTGCTGGTCTCAGGTTGGTGGCCAGTCTCTGCCGAAGGGTCATGAACTTGTCAGATGGCTGTACACAAGCTGGTTCGGGAACTACTGGACCTTCAGCTGTGATTCTCATTGGATATGGAGCTGGCAAAAAGCGATTGGGAAATACTTCCATCCAAGATGTGTGAAATGCACCGCAACAGGACCGATTAGCGCACTTGATGATCTGGAATGTGTACTGGGAAATTCGACAGGATAACCATCAAACTTGATATTACTCCAGATCTCAACCAACACCTCTCCTGCTTTTTGGAAGTTTTTTTTCTAATTCTGGATCTACAGTTCTTCCAGAGGCATTTAAATGGCTACTGAATGAATCATGTGGCAATATCAAGCCCGCTAGTTCCCTGCTCAGTGGGGCCATTCTTCTTTCCACATAATTGTAGGCAGACATTCCCGGCGCATGTGTCATAGCTATGTACACATCTAAATTGTACTTCTGGAACCTGTCTGCAACTACAACTAGTGTTTGAGAAAATCGTGGGTTCTCATCAGGTCCTCCATCCAAGAAAGCAAGGAATATTGGTTTAATGTTGCCTTCATGGGTAGCTACCTCTTTAAAAGAATCAAGATGTAACAAATGATCCACATCTCTCCCATGTGTAAAAGCTGTGCTGCTCATGCTTGGCACTTTTGATGGCTATATACGTTGGCCCAGAGTGTGTTATTTCAAGCTCAGAAGGTGCTTTAATTGTGCAAGCTGCATAGACAGAGGGTGTAAGCTTGTGTTTAGCAGCTATAACAAAGTCATGGTCTGGAACTCTGACTTGGTATTCCAGACACATCAGCAGTGGGGCTTGTTTATTGGCTGCAGCCAGATGGGGACTTTAGCCTTACCGTCAACTGACAAGACAAACACAGCCTGTGGCCCAAACATAGAGGAAATACTTTTTAGGTATTCCTTTGTTGAAAATGCAAAGTTTGCATTTTCATGCAACTTTCGCTCACCGTTTTCCTGTACTGTTTGGATATGTTTTTTGCCTTCAGTGGTGTCTAGCCTACGGGGAATCAGTCTCAAGTACAATCCTGACCTGCTTAGAGAGAAATCTAGATTTTTTAGCTCAGCTGCTAAGTCATCCAGAGTTAAACAGGCATGCAATATTTCAGCCCTTGGCCTTTGATCTGCTCCAGCACCTCTGGTGACAATGTCAATTATTGTCTTATGCAGATCACTCTGTTCTTCTTCCAGAGATGGACGCCCACATCTCGGCCGGGCAAACTTTTCTACACTCTTGTTACCCTTTCCAATATCCACAAGGAGTGAACTTTTGTTCACACTTTTTAACCAAATTTTTGGAATATTCTAGCTGTTTCAAATTTTCTGCCGTCACCAAACCACAGTCTTTAAGCTCTTGTAATTTGACGATTCGAGCTCTTTCTAGGTTTATGTTCTCTTTTAATTTTTCTTGCGCTGGTGCATTTTTTTTAAAGAATCATCCACATCTAGTTTTGCTTTTTTTGCTTCTGAAACTAATGGTCTAGACTCACTTGTAGAGGTCGTTGGTTTTTGTTCAGACTCTGATGGACCAGGAGCTTGAGTTTTATTAGATACAAATCATTTAATTTAACATATTTCGCAGTGTTTTGACTAGCCATTATTTCGCACACTTGTAGTTGCATTGACAATGTTATATTACTGAGTCCAATGTTGATGCTAGTGGGTTAACGCCCCCCACCTCCTGTCCCACACCTGAACAGGGACAGCTTGCTCCCCCCCCCCCTCCACCCCTCTCCAGTCTCACAACTGAACTGGGATGACCCCGCCTACCTAGAGAAGTGCAGGCTAGGGGCAATGCAGGTCGCCTGGTCTTTGACCTGGGCTGCAAATGTGGGGGAAACACGTAATGGGATACCCTATTGTATTCAAGGTTAAGCCACGGCATAGACCCAAGCTGGGTGGTGAGGGCAAGAGAGATAGGACAGTTGAACTTTAGCTTTGCTTGGAAATATTTTTCTTTCACACTACCAAAAATAAAGTTAGATTTTTAATGTGTAAAGTAAAGTAAAGTTTCCCTTTCAAACCTGACGGTCTATGGGGCAAGTAAAGTAGAGTTCACTTGTTTCTGTGACCTCGGCATATGAAGAGATAGTGTGGTCAGCACTATGCCCAGCCGCCTTTACTTTCCCTAACGTGAGTTAGGTACCCATCTGAGTTGGGTGGACTCAGGGACGGTCTACTGACTTGAACCCGGATTCGAACTCGAGACTTACGGGTTAGCAGTCCAGCTCTCTACCGCTAGACCACTCCGTCCCACATTTTTAATGTGTGGATGTCCACATTGGGCCAACCCCCCCCCCTCCTCCTGTCCACACGCGTCCACAAAAGTCAATTTTTTGGACCCCCCCCCCCCCGTGTGGACGTCATAAATGGTGAAATATGGTGGCTATAGGCCCCATTTATTAATTTAGACATTGATTTGGGTTTATTATTCAGTTATCTATAGCCTAATATTTGACACAAATATAATAATAAAAATTATATATCACAGCATAAAACCTTAACAATGAGGCAAATTTTTCACTAGTCTCGGGCGATTTATGCACCTAAAAGTAATTTATGAAATATGATCATGTACGAGTACTGTACTTACCACCTACTACTACAGCACTAGGACCAGATCTCTAGAAGTAGATTCTAGATCTAGAAGCCACTAGAATTGATTCACTAGAAGGTATTGCATATGTTAAATGTTTGTTATGTATACATTATACATTAAGTAATTATAAGTAAGACTAGATCTAGATCTAAATCTAAGTATTACAAATACAATACATTTAGTTAAATTTAGTATTTTTTTTTTTATTTACTATTTACATAACACAGATCTAGACTTAAAATATCTTAATCTAGAATAGGATCTACTAACTACTAGTCGCTAGTCTAATAACTTAATAAAATAAGTAAAACTAAAAAAAGGCCTAATAATACTACTAAGTTACTAACCACTAGTCTAGTAGATCTAAAATATTATTACTTACTTAGTTAATACTAACTAATACTTAGACTTACGACTTAGCCTATTATTACGAAATAATTTGATGAGTCACTGAGACTGACATCATCTCGTAACATAATCATGATGTCAGTTTTTTATATAGAGAGCTGCTGATCTAATCTAGAACTAGATTAGAATATTAAATTAATAGTAAACTAATATTATATATAATATTTAGATCTAGATCTATATCTAGATGCGGTAAACTGTGGGTCGACTGTAGTGTTGACTTTAGATTTTAGAATTAAGGGAGGCCTAATCTAAAAGTAATGCATAAATGTTAGGAGTAGTTTCCCTTTAATATTTATTCGCATAATTATTTTAAAAAACCTACTTTAGGTTATTTAAAGAATATTTTAGGGCCTACTGATAACAGGTGGATTCTAAATTTTAAAAAATAATATTTTAACCGATTGATCTAAATCTATTTGGATACGGGAAAGTAGTGAAAAAAATCAAATGAGATTTTGGTCCTTTTACACCTCCCTACTGACTCAGACGCTCAACGATTTTGTCGTTGAGATGTCCCACATGACGCTGTATAGTGTATTGTAATCGTGCAAGTAAATCTCGACGTTTTTAGTTTACACCTCCCCCATTCTGAGTTTTCTGTCTGTGTGTGTGTGCGCGTGCACGCATACATTGCATAGAACGGTAGAAAACAAATAAGTGTGTAAGGTCTTGTAGTCGTTTGTTTCCTTGAAATTAAATCAATACTACAGCTTCAAATGATTTTTTTTATTTAAAAAGGGTCCAACTCATAAGGGAGAGGGTACAGAACTGTAAGAACATGCTGCATTTAAATTAAAAAAAAACAACAAAAAAAAACTAGTGTCCCGTCCAGAGTTTCTTCCAGGCATCTCTTCGGGGGGGCGAAGCCCCCCCGAAAAATTTTTACCGCCCCCCTGGAACGAAATGAAATTTATATAATTTATATAGAAAATATATACTTTTAACATTGTCCGCCCCCCCGAAGAAAGTTTACCGCCCCCCCGAAGATTTCAAGTGCCCCCCCGGAGAAAAAAGTCTGGAAGAAACACTGGTCCCGTCCCCGCGCATTGCTGCGGAGATAGAAGAAAGTCTGACGAAATATGTAAGAAAGGTTTCATCAATTCGTTACCAATCCTAAATTCTTAGACGTGTGACTTTGTTTTCTAAAACTGAGTTATTTAAATGTAACAATACCTGGGCTTGGATTATAAATATCGGGTCACGGGGTTTACCTACCATACGAAAGCCTTGAATGTACTTTAATCACACACCGTAATAGTGAGGTAGAATACACTACGGTGACCGCCCAGGTGTAGAGGGGCGCTCTCGAGAGCCCCCGGTTACACTACCACAGGGGCGCCGCGTACGGCCCCTCGCTGCTTAAAACTAACTAATGTAGGCGCCAAGGGCTCACAGGATAACCCAGGGCGCCAAATAGCACCCTGTCGAGGCGCCGGCAAAGGCGCCTGGTTCAATTTAGTGAACGACTGTAACGCCCCATTTTATACATAGTCTATATCACTGTTTAGAACAAACGTAGGCGCCATTGCGCTCACGGGAAAGTCCAGGGCGCCAAATCGAAACTTGCAGAAGCGCCGGGTGTCGCGCCTGGTTCGATATAGCCAACGATTTTTGTTGCCCATTGTGTCTTTAGCGTATAGCTTGTTTTTAAACGAAAGTAGACGCCATATTGCTCGCGGGGTAGTCCGGGGCGCCGGCGGGTTTCAACCCTGAATATAGTTGTAGCCCTTACCCGCTATAAAGGACGTACGATTAACGGATGCCAAGTGCTAACATAGCCGCTCTGGAACTCTGGGCACCAAATTTTGTATTGACGAAAATCGCACCCCCCTAGGGCGCCCCAAATATCAAATTTTAATTATTTTTTTCACAGAAACCTTCTCGGGAGCATTCTCATCAAATCCCCAAAGTTTAAAGGCACACGGATAAACGGTGTCGATCCACATCCGACTTTTACCTACACTACCGAAATAATGAGGTAGAACACACTTCGGTGACCGCCTATCTGTCAGGGATGTAGAGGGGCGCTCTCGGAAGCCCCCGATTACACTACCGAAGACGCTCCGCGTATGGCCCCCTGGCTCCTTAAAACTAACTTAGACGCCATAGTGCTCACACAGGAAAACCCAAAGCGCTAAATAGCTTTCTGAAACAATGATGCAATCTGCAGATTGCATCATTCGCTAAAGTGACACAAATCAACAGGATTTTTTCTTTAACACGTAGAAAAAAAAATATTTGACGTGTTATAAACATCAGTGTGACTTATGCAATTTGTTAGCGTTACTAATAGTGTATTTTTTTTAGAAGCTCGTCTCAATTTCTGATTAAAAATAGATTCTAATTGCATCATTCGCAAAGTGACAAAACTGTTTGGATTTTTGTACGGACAAAAGGAAACAACCCAGTTAATAATCTAACCTTAGTTAATTTTACTGATTATTTAAAAAAATGTATTACTGGGCCCTCAGCGGCCCATGTGAGCATTTGGGGGCCGAAACTGAAATTTTTGCTCGCAACCAAATCGCACCCTACCAGGGCGCCGGCGGATACGCCTGATTTAATTTAGTGAGCGAATAATAAAAAAAAAGTTTTTTTTTACAGAGACCTCACCGAAGTGCTCTAATCAACTCCCCAAAGTTTGATGGCGATCAGATGAACGGTGTCAAACCGCAATCGACTTTCATTTTTATATACCGTATTTAGAGAAAATCTCACCCTCCTGGGGCGCCGCCCTTGCGAAATAAATTTTTTTCTACAGAAACCTCACCTGGAGTGGTCTAATCAACTCCTCAAAGTTTGATGGCGGTGTGAAACCGCAATCGACTTTTATTTCTATATACCGTATGGGGTCGTCCATAAATGACGTCACACTAGTAGGGGGAGGGGGGGGGCGTAATTTTGTGACGGTGTGTGATGAGGGGGAGGGGTTCAGATGGTGTGACGTCACACTTTTGCATTATAAAAAGTAATGTTAGAAAACAAGTTTTAGCCTTTATTTCGCGTTTTACAAAACGGTTTTAATAAATTGTAATAGGAATTGATCAAAATACTCTGAAAAATAGTTCTGACAAGATTTTGGAAAAATATCGATGTTTTAAGAAAAATTCAACTGCCATTTTGCAGACTGAGTTGTGACGTCATTTTTGAGGGGGGGGGTCTGGCTTTTTGTGACGATATGTGAGGTAAAAATCGTCAAAAAAGCGTGACGTCATTTATGGATGACCCCTATGTAGAGTAGAGAAAAATCGCACCCTCCCGGGTCGCTACCCTTGGGAAGTTAACAGTTTTTTTTTCAGAACCCTTCCATGGAGTGTTCTAATCATCTCCCCAGTTTCATGTTACACGGATGAACGGTGTCGAAACGCATCGGATTTTTATTTTTTATATACCGTATATAGAGAAAAAAACAATTCGCACACTACCGGGGCGCCACCCATGCGAATTTGAAAAAAAAATTTCCCAGCAGAAACCTCCACAGGAGTATTCTCAACAACTTCCCAAAGTTTCACGGCGGTGTGATGAGAGCTGTAGTAATGCATAAAAGACAGACAGACCTACATAGCTTTTATATATATATAGATAGATGACATTTAATAAGGGTCGGTTAACTTAAAGAGTGTAACAGTTTCAATGTTGCTTTCTCTTTCAGACATTTCTTCCTGGGAGACACGTTTGTAAATTTAAACGCAACAGTTAATTCTCCAGTCAATTTGTTCAGAGTTTAGAAATTTCTGTGTGGTGAATTCAACTGGTCTTGTTTTTCCATTTCATTATTTGTTTACCGTAAAGCCTATGTTATATTTTCAAGTGAGTCTAAGTTGAATAGCAGAAAGAAATTTAGCGTTTAAATGTTGGCGAATTTTTTATGGAAAACCAAATGTACCCCGTTGAACTCTTTCCCTAATGTAAGTCAGGTCCCCATCAGAGCTGGGTGAACTCAGAGACTTGAACTCAGGATTTGAACATGAGACTTTTGGTTTAGCAACCGTATGCACTACTATGCAACCATGGCGTCCCATACTTTTTAGCATACTTAATAACTCTCACAAATGAAAGTGTTTAAATGTAAAAAAATCTGTCACAATGATAAATATTTTATTTTTGATTTCTGTGTTCACAGTTGGTTTATATATGTGAGGACCATCTGTTTCTAGTAAAGAGATTACCTATGCAATACAAGCATCCTATTAAGCCCTTACAAAGTATAGCAGAGGCATAGCAAGGGGGGGGGGGGGGGGGGCAGGGGGACGACGACATATGTCCCCGGGCGCCAACCTTAGGGGCACGCCAAATTGAAAGTTTGAGGAGGGGGGTGCAAATGAAAAGTTTAGGGGGGGGGGGTTGCAAATCGAAAGTTTGTCCCCGGGCGCTGGGAAGGGTCGCTACGCCTCTGGAGTATAGTCAGATAATACCAACAAGTTCTACATATTACATTACATTTCTTAATACTATATAGAGTATACAGCTGTGACTGTAAATAAATCAATATACCTTTACAAAATTACAGCCATGAATTAGCATGGTACTGCATAAATTATAATCTTTATTCATGAATTGATTTACCTAGTGTTAGTTAATGTCAAAGATCCTTTACATAGTCTTAACTTAACTTTACGAAAGTTACAGGCTGTTATTGAGTGTGTGTTGCAAGCTTTGAATTGAAACAGCAACTCATTTTCATAAAAACATCTTCCACAGTTTGAAGATCGGACCTTACATTTAAACACATTTTGATTTCTTAAAATAAAGCTGATTTTTTAAAATTCCGTTTTAATTCCAACAAACCTAGAATTAATCCATAAAAAATATGGCTACTTTATTATATTACTATTACACATGAACTAAAATTTTCTCTAGGAAAAAAAAGTCAAATTTAAAAAAAGACAAGAGAACATTTATTTCAAGTAAATCAATTACAGCTCAAACAAATACATTTGTATCCTGGTCAGATCATAGTAGAAACCAGAAAATTATTTTAATTTAAATAATGTACATTAAATTCACTCAGTCATTCTAAGCATTACAACATACATTCTTTTATCATTTTAACACATGTAAAATCAACCGCATAATGAAAAAATATTAACAGAAAAGGACATTAAATCCTTAATTTGAATACAAATTTGATAACTACATGTGGTAGGCCTAGCTTTTTATAATGAACATAGTTTTATAGAAATAAATCTTAAAGAAAATGAGTAGACATATAAGCTAATTTCAACTGCAAATAATGAACAGTAGAAGAATAAATCTTGGTTGAAATTTTGTGTAATTCTGCAAGTTCATTTCTCCATTTTTAGCTCATGCATGCATCACAATCACAGCGCTGTTTTGTAAATTCTTCATTCTGGGACTTTATCAAAAGCTTCCATCAATTTTGTTTGCTTTACTGACAACATTGTATATGCATCTAATGAAAGTTAAAGGAAATAACATACAAAACAAAAATAATTTAAAATAAATAGTTATTCCAGTGTATACAAACTTTACATGCAGTACATTTAACGAATAATGGGTTATTGGACTGTTGTTCCCAGATGATATTTATTTTGCCTTAAGTTTAAAATGGTAATTTGATAGTTGGCTGGAGATAGTTTGGATTGGATGTCTATTCCCTGTCTACTGTATTAAAATTGAAAATAGATTATTCACAGTCAACTTAAAATAGGCCAGATATTCCTATTACCAATAGCCAATTCTGCGACCCATATGGAAAAGTTCAGCCATCTCCATTACCACAAAAATTAGGATATTTAACTCAAATGTCAAGGCAGTTCTGCTGTATGGAGCAGAGACATGGAGAGTCTCCAAAGCAAGCACAGCAAAGATACAGACCTTCATGAACAGATGCCTTAGAGAGATATTGAAACTGAGATGGGAGGACAAAGTGCAGAACATAGAACTATGGAGGAAAGCTAGGCAGGAGCCTATGGGTGTGCAAATAAGAAGGAGGAAGTGGCGCTGGGTGGGTCACACGATGCGAAAGGCTTACCCTAATGTTACACGCCAAGCGCTTGAGTGGAACCGCCAGGGAAACCGGAAGAGAGGGCGCCCAAGACAGACCTGGAGGCGGAGTCTTCTTGAAGAACTGAAGCCAGCAGGGATGTCTTGGGAGATGACAAAATTAATAGCCGGTGATCGGAAGAAATGAAAGGAAATGGTGGAGGCCCTATGTTCCATAAGGAGCAAAGATGACTAAGTCAAAGTCAAAAGTCAATTGTATACAAGGCCAGCCTAAATTAAAATGGTTGTTTAATTTATATACTTATACTATATTTCAATTTAAAAAATACCAATGGGGGAGAATGTTTACACCGGTGTCTGATAATGGAATCTTCTTTAAAAAAGGGGTGTTAGGTTACTGGTAGTTAACTAAAGATTGTAGGAAAAAAAGTCACAGGAAAAAAAAACACAGAAAAAAAGTCACAGGAAAAAAAGTCACAAATATATATTTGCATGATATTTGTTAATACTTTTATGTATTAAATATTTAGAGAGTGCAAATTAACTTAAGATTAATTAAATGTAATGTAATGTGTGTAGGCTGTATACGCATAAGAATTTTTATAATTCATCTAAAAATATGTATTATGAAGTATGTAGATTGTAATTATTTTAAACTTAAGATTTATTAGCATTTAATAGAATGCCCCAAAGTCCACGTTTTTCATCGTGTTTTTTTTTTAAATACCAATATTAAATTACCGTGAAATGGTAAGTTCATCTGACTTGCTGCCCTCAACTCATGGCAACAATAGTTATGTTTAGTTCAACCTCCTTTACTGTCTACATTTATCACGCTCATTACATAACAAAACTTAGGATCAAAACAGAAAGCCGACAAGGTTCAAAGACTGTCATTGACAATTAACGTCAACAACACAAAATATTTTCGGACAATGCCTACTGAGGAGAGGCCGACCAGAGAATAGCCTACGGCTAAATGTGCCTAAATTTCTTTTATAATTAACTTTTGTACCGCGTATTTAACTAAATACGTAACAAAAGTTGAGATTGTTGTGTTAATTATCTTAGAGTATTTTTTACTTACAATTGTTATAAATCATAATGCTTTTAACGTCTATAAATAATTTATGCTATCAAAAAAATACAACCCACAACAATAAACATACAAAATTTTACAATTCTTAACAAATTAATAAAAATATTTCTAAAAAGATTTTTGTGACTTTTTTTCTGTGACTTTATTTCCGATATAATTTTTCCACTGTGACTTTTTTTCTGTGACTTTTTTTCCTAGCAAAAACTGTGACTTTTTTTCCTGTGACTTTTTTTCCGTTCACATAACTAAATACACACATGGCTGACTAATGTCAATGCTAACCCTGTCCCTAACCCAACCCTGGTCCTACCATACATCTAACCCTAATTTCTGACCATAAAATTAGTTGAGATTAAAATACTACTGACAACCCAACACCCCTTTTTTTTAAAGAAGATTCCATTATTGGACACAGGTATCTATAATAATCCCTTTGGGGGATTTTAAAATTTAAATTATTTCAGTCCATTAAACTAATTTTCTACAAATGCAACATACCCCTGTCTCTGCCAATACAACTATATAACACCACTGCTATTATTGCCTTTTACCTATCACATTATTAATTTATTATCATGCAAAAAGTTAGGGTGTTGCATAAGCTTTTAAACTTAGGCCTAATTATTAATTAATTAGGCCTATTGTTCAAGTTGACTTTGTAACATTTAAAAACTAAATTTATTTACCTTTAATTTGATAGGCCCTACCAATTTTATTTATCAAAGTTAATCGGTTAGCAACCGACCACGCCTCCAAGTTAGCGGGTAATAGTAATACTACACTGAATTACATCATTCATTCTCGTTTATACTTCACAACTAGATCTAGCTTGTAGAATGTTGTAGATGATCTACACTAAACTGACACTACAGTTAGTAGTTTAGTAGGCTTACTAGAGGAGCTTACACTTTTCGGACACACATAGCGAAAAAACGCAACGTAAAAATTCCATGCGGTCTCATTCAGTAACCGCTTAACATAGAAAACAAAAAAAAGTATCATATCTATCCGCAACCATTCTACTTTAATAATGTGTGTGTCATTTTGTATTCATACGCATAGAACTTAAGCTATTCTTGTTATAGTGACTGGGGGGTCTTAACGTGTGTTCGAACACATGTAATACAGTTTTACATGTGTTCGGACACCTTTACCCGTCATCGGACATAGCACTTTTTGTTCATTTAGAATAATTTAAAGTCAATTTAATGAATAAAAACATATATTATATGCATGTATATTGTGTTATTGATTGTTTGTGAGGTAATTTTAATAGTATAAAACCTTTTTCCCACACTCCCAAAGTTCATCCCATTCAGCCATTGCGGCTCGCGCAGTACGCTGCTAAGCCAGCCAGGTCACATGATTCCCCCTCCTCTTTCGCATTCCACTGCCTTCTTGACCTTATTTTGACCCTTTCCCTTCAATAACCAGCCCCTTTTATGCTCTAAATTCTTATTTAGTAATATTTTTGTGTTGCTGTCCGCTCCCATGTAAGGCCAAATAAGTTAGCGAACACCCCTTTTTTATTGTTCAAGCACAAAAAAAACCCATTAACCTTGACATTTACGATGTTCCATACATATATAGAAGCTATTTATAGTGTAACCTTTTAGCTAAGCATTGATTGGTTCAAGTTTTGCCCCTAAGTCCAACCCTAGGTCACTTCATCCGGCTGGTGTAAAAATAGAAATGTGCGTACCATGCAACGTTAAAAAATTTCTAAAAATAACTCTTGAGAAAGGAAACGGAAGTACTTGACACGGAAGTGTTCATAAATGAACAGTTTACGTGCAGGCGCCGTGGTTTCGCGTGAGACATGCTAATTAAAGTTTCTATGAGCCAAAAACCGACGAAGTGTTCGCTCCTACGTAATTTTTGGTGTGTGTCCGAAAAGTGTAAACTCCTCTAGAGATTCATTAGCCTATTTATTTAAAATAATATAGGCCTAAAATTAAAAATGAATGAAAATGAAGGTAAAGCCGCTAAACAGCGGCCAAACAGTTAGTAGATCTAATCTAGTAAAAGTAAACTTTTTAAAGTAAAACCCAAAACTAAAAAAAAAGAAAGCAAAGTTGTTGACTGTTGTAACTTTGTAAGGATACAAATTCCAATTACACTGCCCGTCAAAACAAGACCAACAAGTTTATTTTTTCCTTTTAATGCAATAAGCTGCTTCCCTTTTCTGGAGTTTAGGCTTTCTGCTTTGCTAATAAATAATTTTTCGAACTTAGTTGCTGCTATGTCGTTGCCGACCTTCGATGTTTTGTTGATGTCAGCCATGACTTATAATTAAATTATTATCGGAAATTTGTGCTTTCAGTAAGACTATCAATATTTTGTACTTGTTTTACTTTTCGGTTTTTAGTTATTTAATGATTGGCAAAAATATAACTAGCAGTAGTAGCAGGCCTATGAGTATGATTATACTACACGATTTAATTTAGAATTAGTAGAATCTACATCTAGTCATTAAAACTATTTAATACAACTGGTAAAATATTATTAATAGGTCTATTAACCTTATTCAGAAACTGAAAATTATAAAATCTAGATGATCTAGATTAGAGTTCAAGTAATAAGTAATAACCTAATAAAAGTGTGTAAACGTTAAGAATATTTGTTTAAACAACTGATCTAGTCTAGATCTATGAAAAGATGAAATTATCGTTAGTCATGAGAGTATGCGAGTGTTAAGTACAATTTGGGGTCGCCTATAAATGACGCCACAGTTATGAGAGATAAAGGGGTGACGTAGCGTAATGAGAGGGGGGGGGGGGGGGGGGGCTAAGAAAGTGCGACGTGCCAATTTTGTGTTTTAAAAGGTTTTTTTTGACGATGCGTGGCTATGTAGATTGTAGACGTCGGATCGACAAAATGTCTTGAAGTCATTTGTGGACGACCTTCTCCCCCCCCCCCCCCATATACCGAAAGTCAAATATAACAAAATAAAAGAAACTTCCAATAAAATGATGTAATTCACTTTATTTATTTATTTCTTTTTAAATAAAACGAAAGCAAAATTCATCTGCCAACAGGCAGTAATTAACCCCAAATGTAATCTAGCAATGGTATTTTGTTTCACTGAGAAAGAATATTTAGCCTACAAACTATTCGGAGATTAAAATAAACTGCGTTGGCGTTGATAATATCAATAATATCTATATATATAATTCTCTTCTTGGAGACGCTAGAAAACAAGCTGTAAGCGCGCTCCCTACCACCCCAACCCTACATGGTCTGGTGAGCTGTGGTTCACGCTAAATTTTTACAATCGTAGAGCCGGGTTTAGTGACGGTTACTAGGGGCAGATAATTTAGTTTGAAACGATTTTAAACTTAGGGGAGGTAACTAAGAGGAGGCTGCTTTCAGGGGGGGGGGGGGTGTAGGGTAGGGGTTGGGAGAAAGGAGGGTGGGGGTAGTATCGTCCTTAACGACCTACTGATAGTGTTTTAAAGCAAATATTTTCAGTGGCAGCATTGGTACTGTCGAATTCACAAATTATGAATTACTGAAAAGTAGAAAATAAAACAACAAAATAGCGGCGTATGATATGCCGCGGGTCGGCTCGTAGTCTATATCATAGTTAGCAGAGACGCTAAGCCTTCTTATTATTAGTATAATTTTAATCAAAGAGCTGAAACATTAGTTCTACTGTTTTTTTCAAACAAGTCGCGACGAAGAATAGGTTATTTTTTTTAAAAAATGTAACATTAGCTCTAAACTAAAGTTGTAATTGGGGGCAGTGTATCTTTCAGACTTTTTCTCCTAGGGCACTTGAAATTTTCGGGGCGGCGGACTAAATTTTACGGGGGGCCGGACACTGGTAAAAGTATATATTTTCTATATAAATTATATTTTGTTCGAGAGGGCTGTAAACGTTTTCTGGGGGTTGAACCCCCCCCCCCCTCCCGGTATAGTTGTCTGAAAAAAATTCTAAATGCGACTTTTGTCAAGTTTGAGCTAAAATGCAAGGTTTAGGGGTATGGGGTCGTCCATAACTGACGTCTCACTCGTTAGGGGGAGGGGGTCCGTAATTTTGTGATTGGGGGGGGGGGGGGGTTCAGTGACGTCACTTTTTTGCATTATAAAAAAAGCAATCTTAGAGTTTTAGCCGTTATTTCGCGTTTTAGAAAATAGTTTTAATAAACTATAATAGGAATTGATCAAAATACTCTATGTGACAATAGGAGTGGAAGGTTTCACTAAGAGCTAAGAGTGACACAAATTTGTGCATATAAAATGTAATGTTAAAAACTGAATATTAAGCTTTATTTTGCCTTTAAAAGGATTATTGTAATTGTAATAGAGATTTATTATTATACTCAATGTTGATTGATTGAGCTCACTAAATATTTTAGCAAATGAAATCTCTAACATATTTGCTGAGATCATAGAAACAGGTGAACTCTATTTCACTTGCACCATGGACCATAGGTTCGAAAGGAGACATTACTTTTTACATATATTTCAGCGACCTATACTTTTATTAGAGAAAGCAAGTTTACTATATTATTTTAAAAAATTTCAGTGCACTTAAAAGCGTATTTTTATTAAAAAAAAAACAATTTTAATTTTAAAAAAAAAATTCAATTTGCTGTCACTCTCCTCGCCAGAGTTGTATTATCGAAAAAAAAAATCTCCTGGGTAAATTGTTTATGTCTGTATTTGTACAGGCTGTCACCCGTCTTCCTTTCCGATTGTGTTAATCTGTGCTTAATCTTGTATTAAACTACACTCAGGTTCTCCTAAATGGTGTTACGTTGTATGGCCTACACCATTATCTTCATGGATTTGCTGATATGGGCCAAATATATATATATATATATATATATATATATATATATATATATATATATATATATATATATATATATATATATATATATATATATATATATATATATATATATATATATATGTGTGTGTGTGTGTGTGTGTGTGTGTGTGTAAAACAACCAACGTGGTTGACAAGGGAGGTAAGTCTTATGGGTTGGTAACACTGTGCGGCTGTGTGCGGCTGTTTACTGGCGCGAGTTCAAAAACCTGTCGGCAAGGTGACCTACCAACCATTAAGTTACAACACTCTTGTAGACCTAGACAATATATCTACTCGTTAGGTTTTCAAGGCTCTCCTGTTTACCTCGTGTTCAGGAGAGAAGGTGAGGGAGGGAGGGGGTGTAGGGTGTCGAGGTAGGGGCAAGGTGGTGACAATGCTGCCACAGTTATAAAAAAACAGAAAGATGGAGACGAGAGTATTGAGGCTAAAGTTTAGAGAATAGAGTACGCAATAGAGAACTTGCCTGCGCAATGGGCGTGTTTTCATATCGGCATAATAAAAGTTAATGGTTCAGGTGAGCGTTTGACCAGGCTCGGGTATCGTGAACCTTGAGGGAGTGAGGAAGAAACCTAACTCTGATCTTTACCCGACGCAATGCTCCCCCACCCTTCTAAAAACATCTGATCTTCACCAGAAGTAATCCTCCCCCCCCACTCTAAAACCATCAGATCTTTACCCGACGAAATCCCTCCCCCCTTCTAAAAAACCTATAATCTTTACCCAAGGCAATCCTCCACTCCCACCCTTCCAAAAAACAACAACTCTGATCTTTACCCGACGATTTCCCCCTTCTTCCAAAAAAACCTATCATCTTTACCCAAGGCAATCCTCCCCCCCCCCCTTCCAAAAAAAAACTATGACCATTACCCGAGCCTAACGGGTCAGTAGTAGAAAAAAAATGAGATACCGGTTGGTCCTACTTAAAAATTAATGCATAAACTATTAATCTAATTAACCACGCCACAGCGCAATTAGACTTAAACTAAATTAAAGCGAGTCCATTTAATTAATTGGCCAGTTAAAGCATTCCCCGACACGAGCTTGTAGGTTTCTAATCTGAGCATGCGTGGCGCGCGGTTTCTAATCTGAGCATGCGTGGCGCGCTGTTTGCTTGTTTTTCTGCTGCACCTTCCAGACGATTCCGAACATGCGGTCCGGTGTTGACAGTGAGTTGTTGAAGGGAACCAGTGGGCAAATGTTTAAAAATTCGACACATAAAAGCAAAAGGGTTATATTTACTTTATGATTAGGGGTAAAATCTGGTTAGGATAGGGGAGGGTTTAGCAATGTTTTCTTTTCAAGTTGGCAGCCATTTTGAAAAAAATATATTTCTTAGGGGTCGTCCATAAATGACGTCACACTCGTTTGGGGGGGGGGGGGGTCCGTAATTTTGTGACGGTGTGTGATGAGGGGGAGGGGGGGGGGGGGTTCAGAAGGTGCGACGTCACACTTTTGCATTATAAAACAGCAATGTTAAAAAACGAATTTTAGACGTTATTTCGGGCTTTAGAAAACTGTTTTAGTAAATTGCAAATAGGAATCGATTACAATACTCTATTTTGACAGAGTTCAAACAAGATTTTGGAAAGATATCGACGTTTTAAGGAAAATTCAACTTCAATTTTGAGGGGGTTGTAGGCTGAGGTGTGACGTCATTTTAGGGGGGGGGGGTCTTACTTTTTGTGACAATGTGTGACGGAAGGGAGGTGGGGGGGGGGAGTAAAAGTCGTCAAAAAAAAAAGCGTGAAGTCATTTATGGATGACCCCGTGACACCCTGTGAAACCGCAAATGGTAAAATGTACACTTTTGACATTCTTTGTTGCAAGTTATAATACCTAATATAATATAAGAACAAACTTTTAGTCATTCACAAAAATATGCATGCGGCACCGTAGCAGCAGATTGCCTAACCCATATGGCCGCTTAGGGCTTGGATAAAAATCCTTTTGAATTATGAACCATTCTATAAAAAGTATTGAAGCATGTAGTGTTAGCAATAAGGCCTACATTTATGAACCCTTTTAAGAGAAGTTTCTGTATCAATGCACAAGGCTAGAGATTCACAGATTGCCGTACTATGGCCTATTTCTCCCAGGCTAGACCACATTAATAACGTGAAATCGAGCTGTTAGGTAGGCCTAAGTCATGCGGGACTAACGTGCTTCAATGTTGTAATATATACCGGTATGATGACACGTGTACTCGGTAATTTCTTTCAGACATTTTTCTCCTGGGGCGGACACTGTTTAAAGTATACGAGCCGACCCGCTGCGTATCATACGCCGCTATTTAGTTTTTTTTTCCTACTTTTCAGTAATTTATAATTTGTGAATTCGACAGTACCAATGCTGCCATTGAAAATATTTGCTTAAAAACACTACCCCCCCACGTGAAAGCAGCCTCCGCTTAGTTACCTCCTCTAAGTTTAAAATCGTTTCAAACTAAATTATCTGCCCCTAATAGCCGTCACCAAACCCGTCTCTGTGATTGTAAAATGTAAACAGAGTGAACACCGCTCACCAGATCATGTGGGGGTGGTAGTGATAGTGATAGAGAGGAAGAGAGGGGACTGCAAAGGCGCGCTTGCAGCTTGTTTTCTAACTGATCCCAGAAGAGAATTATATATATAGATATTTTATATATAAAATATTTTTCGTTGGGGGGGGGGGGGCTTTGCCCACACCGAAGAGCCGCCCGAAAGTGTAGGCTTACTTACCACGTGGACCCCCCCCCCCCAAGAGATGCCTGTAAGAAACTCCCCTCTCCCCTCAAACACGTCAACCCCCTCCCCCTGGACAAATAAAAATTATGTACAAAATAAATGCTTCAATTAGTTTCCGCCCTTCGGAAATTTAAGTCAAGTCCGCAACGCCCAGAAAGTTCCAAGTACCCCCCTCCAGGCAGAGTTTCTTCCAGGCATCTCTTCGGGGGGTGGGGGTGGAAGCCCCCCCCCTCCCCCGAAAAAATTCTACCGCCCCCCGAACGAAATAAAATTTATATAATTTATATAGAAAATATATATACTTTTAACAGTGTCCGCCCCCCCCCCCCCCGAAGAAAGTCTACCCCCCCCCCCCCCCGAAAATTTCAAGTGCCCCCCCCCCCCCCGAGAAAAAAGTCTGGAAGAAACACTGCCTCCAGGACAAAACAATGTCTGAAAGAAAAACTAATTATAAGTAGGGCCTATATTTCTCGCATTTAAAACTAACTCCATTTCTGTATTGTGAACTTTATAAAGCTTAAAGAGTAAATACGATACACAGCTTGATAATGATGACGTTATGATATAGACGACTATATTACAAGTTAATGCAAAATGAATGCAATACAATATGTGGCTTTCGTTTTATAAATTTAAAAGGAAAACCTTAAAGTACTTGTTGAAATCACGTGTTATTTCATCATATGTCGAATTACGAACTCGTAACATAGCGACAAATAACAATGGAATCAAGGGAGTGTTTGCACTTCGTACACGGGTAAATAACGTGAACTGCTGAAAGTTCTTTTGTTTGCAAGTAGACCGAGGTGGGCTCAGGAGGTTTACACAGTTACAATATTTTTTGCGCATCACTTTTTAACATTTTTGTGTGTGTTCATAATGTAAAATATAAATGACAGATAAAAAAAATTGACATATTATTATATATACCTAAGTCTATATTTTGTATGTAAAATATTGTATAATCGTTTCATTGAAATTTGCATGATAGTAAAGTTTAGTGCGTAATTTAACGACCTTTTTCTTTAGCCTACTTTAAAATTTTCGAAGCCTTTAAAACTTTAATATTAATCTACTTAAGTTTTTCAGTAGGCCAACATATTTTACTGTGGCTTTCGTATGTGGATAATGAAAACAATATATATCTAGATCTAGATCTAGCCTCCTTAAAATTTTAAAGATACATTAAAAAGTGGCGATTCGAACTCTGCAACACACCAGGACTAAAAAAAAAAAAATCTAGTTCCATGGTTCACTTTGTAAATATTTTGATCATGTGACTTGTACAGCCTTGACCTACTTACCTCGTGCCTTCTTATCAGCTGAACTGGAAATTACCCTGTTATACTGTATTATTATTCCGTTCAACACAGCTCCACGTACAGTTAAAGTCAATGGAATATTTATCATTGAAGAGATATAACATACATTTAAGTAAGTATGTTTTTTAAACTAATACTTACCACTGCATACGTGCTTTAAGCAATCATTACAAGTATGACATGTCGTCCAGAAATGCGTTCTATTTTTATCTCACAGCTGATTAGATATTTTTCTTGTTCACCATGTTAGTAGTTTAACGATCGCTGGTTCGCCTTTGCTGTCAGTTACTTACTGTTGTGTTATAAGTTATAATTGCCCTGCACCATTACTGACTATTGGTATATCTAGATACCTAGATCCTGAAATTGAATCTATGCATTAAAATACATGCTTTCTATTCAGACAGCAAATAAATAATGCTTAGTTAATTATTTAATTAGTATAGTTAGTTAAGCCTATCTAATATCTATAATAATACATTACTTAGACATCTACTACTGATTTTACTGACTTAATACGAGATCTATTATAGTTTATATATAGATCTAGCCATAGAGTGAGAATAGAGATGTAAACCTACTTGTAGGCTTATTAATTTTAAGTCTACTATTAAGCACATCCTTATTTTTTTAAATAATTAAATTATAGTTTGCCAAATATTAAAATAAATAGTTACTGTAGCTGTAGAGCCGGACTGCTACCCCTAAAGTCCCTGAGTTCACCGAGCTCTAATGGGTACCTGACTCATAACTATTAATGTAAAGATGGCAGGGCATAGAGCTGATCACACAACATAGATACACTGTGGTAACTGAAATGGGTAAACTCTACTTCACCTACTGCATTGACCACCATGTCTGAAATTAACTTTTTCATTAAGCACTACTGGCAACTGGCACACACATGTAGATTATGATTATAGGCCTATAATAATACACTTAAAAATGTAAATCAAGTTCCTTTTTGAACCTGATGGTGCATGGAGAGTTTGACTGGCATAAGAAGGGATAGTGTGGTCAGCACTATATGCAGGTACCTTTACTTTCTTTAATGTGGGTCAGGTACCCATCAGAGCTGGGTAGATCCTGGGACCAGTGGCGTAGCGAGGTCGGGTGTCAACTGGTGAGGCACTTAATGGTGTCACCCCCCAGAGGCGTAGTGACCCTTCCCGGGGACAAACTTTCAAACTTTCGATTTGCACCCCCCCTCAAGTTTTTCTCTATATATTTTGCTATTTTTTGCCTTGGTGTCACCCCCTAAATGGTGTCACCCAGTGCGGTACGCACCCCCCGCCCCCCCTCGCTACGCCTCTGCCTGGGACAATTTATGGATGAATCGGGATAGTATGGTTTACTTTCCTAACTTGAGCAGGTAGCCTACCCATTGCTGTAACTGAGTCCATTGTTGATGGGGACAGGCTGTAATTTGATAGGAAGTCATTCCTGTTACACCTATGTGCAGAATTTCAATGAGCCTAGTGTTGTCTTGTTTCAAACAATGTTTCTTATAGTGGCTGGTTATGTACTTGTGTAGTACTAAGAGATACTTATTTAGGTTGTTGATCAGCAAGGGTGTGTTTTTGGAAAACCGTCTCTGTCTTGTTAAAATAACAAACATGGCATCTATAGACCAACTTTGGATTCATGGTTACATTGTTACTAACTCATAGACATAGTGATTTCTAATAGTGATTGGTTGACCTCTGACTGCAGTCATCAACGCCATCAGCTTAAGATGACTTTTTAAAACAATCAAAACTGTGTGGACTCAAGGTTATAATTGTAAATTGTATTACTTTATATTTTACATACATTTTTTGGAAAACTGAAATAATCATTCCATGATAAATCATAAATGAACTGCTGAGTAGTGAGTGAGTACTCTCTACTGGTGGTGTAGTTATTTAAACAAGTTTTTTTTAAGTAACAGGATATCACCTAAATTACTGAATAGTTCAACATGGCCATCTTTGGAAAAAAGTAAAAAATACTGTTCAATATCTGATTGTTATTAGGGCAGATTAATTAGAGTATGGTCAGTTCTTTTCTCAGCAGCCTTGAATCCAGTATCAATTAGAACTAGGTGGACTCAGGGTTGTTCTGTTGACTCAGCACTGAATATAACTCATAACCTTATTGGTTATTATGTTATTCCAATTCATAGGTCACCTTAGGTGTAAGTACAGGAGTTTTTAAGTACAGGTGGCTCCAGGGTATAGTGTTGATCCTATCCCTTCATATACTAGGTCAAAATACTGGTTAACTCTTCTTCATCTGCCCCTAGATCCAGTAGCGTAGCGGGGGGGGGGGGGGACATATGTCCCCGGGCGCCGACCTTAGGGGGCGCCAAAATGGGTTGGAAAAATAAATTGGAAGTTTGAGGGGGGTGCAAATCAAAATCTTGAGGGGGGGGTGCAAATCGAAAGTTTGAAGGGGGGTGGAAATCGAAATCTTGAGGGGGGGGGTGCAAATCGAAAAGTTTGTCCCCGGGCGCCGGGAAGGGTCGCTACGCCTCTGCCTAGCTCATCTTGTGTGGGAGGGAATTTTTTATTTAGTGCAACACAACTTTAAAAAAAAAATCTTACAATGCTGTATGACTAAAATGTAATTAGGTATTAAGTAAATCTACTAATCAGCTTAAACACAGGATAAACTATAACACTAAAACTTTTTAATGTGTAAAATTTGTGTTCCATTTCAGCTTTTATGAATATCTGTAACTTTTCTGTAGAATATTTTTAAACCAATCAATGCAATCAGAAGATAAACCCATTTCTTTGATGCGTATCTAGTTTCATCATACCTTGTTTCATTCCTATTTAGGCTTGCAGCTGCCACATAACTGAATAAATTAATGATTCCAAGTGTCTCTATTCCACTGTTGCTGGTTGTGGCTATCTCATGGTAGATAGTGCACTGAAGGTAAGTTGGGATTAAAGAGTAATTTAAATGATAAGTCATTAAACGTTAGGGGTTCGTCCATACATTATGTTACATTGTGACAGAGTGTGAGAAGGGAAAGGGCATGTTTAAGAAATTATGATGTCACACTTATATTTGAAAAAGTAATTTTTCAAGCAGTTTTTTAACATTTGAAAAGTTTTTTCTAAATTATTATAAAAAATTTTGCTAAAATTTTCAATAAATTAAACTAGCGATTAAAAAATAAAGAACAACAATATGTGGCGTAAAGTTGGCTTAAATGTGACTTCATTTTGGGAGGTGTGTTCTGAGTGTTTTAGATGGTGTGGGATGAGAAAAATTTTGAGAGTGGGGATAAAATTAGCATAAAGTATAATATCATTCCTGGATACCCCTTACTGGTCAACAGTGTGACATACTAGTGGAAGTAGTAGCCAGAAAGTTTTTAATCTATTATATTCTTTTTTTATCTCAATTTGTATTATAACTATGTAACATTATTTCTTTATTCCACATTTTTAGTGCTATGTTACTGCTAAGTGTTATTGAATTTTTGTTTTATTTGTTTAAACGGCCAATGTGAAAAAAAGGTTTTCGTGCCTACAATTGTTACAGTTTTTTTTTTAATAAATTTGAATAAATTTGAATAAAAATTTGAATTGCTATAAAGTCAGAATCCTTAACAATGTCCGTTCACTAGAAATAGAGCCTCCAGTCTAGAACATAAGAATTTATATAGTTGGGTTGGATTTGATAGCTGACTTCACTTCTCTGGTATGTGTTTAGTTTTATTATGTTCTTGACATAGCTACCATTAAAGTAAAGGGTTATAAACTGAAGGGGAAATAAAAAGTTAACCAACAACTGATATCACTTTCAGATCACTGTATGAAACTATTGTAGGTTCAGTAGATACAATACTATAAGATTAAACTTGCAGTATTAGAGTTGGTTTCTGTCTGTGAGGAAAGGTTACTCATATTTTTGTTCCAGGTATATTTGATACACACATTATTTAAAGTTTAAGAAACAAAGTATTATATATTTTAATGTCTTAATGCCTGTGGAGTGTCTTGTGTTATAAAATCATTCATGATGGTGCTGACAGACGGGAACAGGACATTACCCCCCTGCCACAAATTACATCTGGACATTACCCCCCCTGACATTACCCCCTGGAGTAATTATCCCCTTGTCTATTACCCACCGCCCAGTAAGACATATAGAGCTAGGGTTAGGGTTAGACTTAAACTAATTGTTAGGGTTGGGGTCGGGTTTGGGTTTAGTTTTAGGCTCAGGTGAATGCTTAGGTTTAAGCTTTTGACTTAAGGCTGGGATTTAGTTAAGATATTGATCTAGAATCAGAGTTAGGTTTGGGGTTGGGTTCAGGGTTAGCTTTATATATAGGGTTGGAGTTTGGGTTAGGTTTAATGTCAGGATTCTTGAGCTTGGGGGAAGGGGGTAATTACACAAAGGGTGGGGTCGGCGTGGTCGAGTCGGTAAAGCTCATGGTTGCTAAGCCGAAAAGTCTCGAGTTCGAACCCTCGGGCAGATGAGGCTCGTTAGCTGAGGACAGCCACTCTTTTAGGAGAGACAACTCCAAAATTAAACAACTGCTGCCTTGTAGTTTGTTCTTGGTTGGACAAAGGCTATGGAAGCAAATCCAAAAAGAAAAGCAGGCTGAAATCGGAGTCAATGGCCTCAATGGCGCATAACCAGTTGACACGTAACGCTTAATTGTGTTGGAGGCGTGGTCGAGTCGGCAAAAAGCTCATGGTTGATAAATTCGAACAAAAGTCTCGAGTTCAAACCCACTGGCAGATAAATCTCAATCCCCTTCAACACTAATAATTAAGAACGAAGAAGAAGAAGAAGACACAAAGGGTAATTTCTCTGGGTGAAATGTCAAGGGGGGGGGGGGTTAATGTCCTTGACCCATGACAGGCAGAGATAGGTAGCTGATCTGGGCAGACTAATTCCCTCACTTGCCAGTTGAGGGGAACTCAACATCCGTTTTCTTGATAGCACTTTTGCGATGGTTGCCCGAGGACTCCAAGCTAGGAGTATCTTGGGTCAAGTCTCTGAGGGGGACAGCCTTGACCAATGGGGGTGGGGGAAATATTCATGTAACCACCTACTATATGAACTAGCACCATAGAGCTACTAAGTCTTTAGATTAGAACTGATTTTAAAAGACAAGTTCTGGGCATGATAATTTAACTCATTGAGCTGGGTGGAGTTTTATAATGTGGCATTTAAATGTCATCAATTCAGTGGCACCTGATTGTCCATTCACGAACCATGCAAGCTTCAGCCGGAGTTAATGGTACACATAGTGTTACAACTTTTGTGGTGGTGCCCACCTTGATTGAACCACTCTGTCAGTGAGGTTGCTAAAGAAGAAAAATGGCTATTTTTTAAAGTTTGAAATTCTGTTTTGCATAGATAGGATTACTCAACAAATTGAAATGTTCTTATCATTATGTTTTGTATTTTACACTACCACAGCTTAAACTATATTCTGTTTAAAATTGGGTCATTAAATGAGCCTAACACAGAAGTTGAAACACAGGTATAAAATGTTATTAAAGGTTTAGTCACTTTTTAGAACCTGACACATCACCTGACTTTTATCTAGGGCCAAAAAATGAAGAACGTAAACAATAGCTCATTTGAAATGCAAATGGTTTTATCTTGTCTAGGATCTACCTCTTAAAGCTGTCATCTGTATTTACATAAAATAACACTCATAGTATTTTAAAAAAAAATTCTATTTTTAGCTACACATTGTTGACACATGCTTGTCAAAACTGCTATCAATATTTTAGTAGACTGGTGGTTTGGATTATGTCCCTTTTTAAATAATTTAAACATTGGCAAGTTTTTTTAATCAAATATAATTTGTGGTGGGAGTAACACACACACACACACACTTACTCAAACACTCTCTCCCACTCATGTTTACATTCTTGATTTACATCATAGTTTATATAGATATTACAGCTAAATCTTAATTTTAAATTAACCATTTACCTGTTTAGGTTCTGAGCCATGGGAAACACCTGGACCTCTAAGTTGAATGAAAAATGCAACAAACTGGACTTCTACCAGAAGGTGAAGTCAAAACCAGCCGGAGAAGAACTGATCACCTGCTCTTTTGGCAGTTGGTGCCGGCGTCAGAAGAATGATTGTGGCTTCTCGGACCAGGCTGACTACACATCCAATAGAAATTGTCTTCTGCATTTGAATGGTTCCCTTAAGGCTGATACCATGGAGGGGAGGTTTTTTAGGAGTGGATTTAAGTACGTTTGTAATGCATGTGGTTTTTTAGGAGTGGATTTAAGTAAGTTCATATTGCATGTGGTTTTATAGGAGTGGATTTAAGTAAGTTCATTATACATGTGGTTTTATAAGAGTGGATTTAAGTAACTTCATTATACATGTGGTTTTATAGGTGTGGATTGAAGTAAATTCAGAGCAGGTTGTTTTTTTTAGGAGTTTGTAGTTTCATAACACAAGTGGTATTTTCCAAAAATTTAAGTAAGTTTTTTTATATGTGTGCTTTTTTGGGAGTAGATTTAATTAAGTTGATACAATATTTTTAATTGCTTTATTGTCATTTATCTTTGATTAAAACTTGTGCAGTGAATAAAATAAATATTCATTATAAAGTAAATGAGCATATAATTTGCTATGCAGCGTTTGAGTTGCACATGTTGTGTGAACCACATTATTAATTACCAATTGTATGATTGATTACTAACATAGTTTTAATCCCAGTCACAATTTCTAATGAGGTTTTAATCCTTGGCATAAATCTGCCTGGGTTAAGTTTGTCGGCTGTTCCTTTTACAAATACACTGTAAGGCTAGAGGTGTTACTTTACTTTTTTGAACAAAATTAATGATGTTTCCTTAACCAGTGTGTGCTTATTAACACACACATATAACAAAATAATATAATTAAAAAGAAAAAGAACTTTTAATTGAAAGTGGTGGGGGGGGGATGAGAACACAGATATCAAAGTTAGTAGCTTTTGACAAAAGATATGTGATGAAAGATGGGATGCAAATCTTTGTTTTTAATCGCAATTTAATTTTAATAAAGAAGCATTCATTAGCTTTTTTTTTGTATTGTATCTTAAAAATCAGGTTTCATTTTGGTGAATAGATTTTGATAAAAAATTTTTTTTTTCTTTTATCAAAGCATAAGATTCCTTAATTTTTTGTCACTGCTGTTCTAAAAAAAAAACCCTATAAATAAAACTAAAATTTAATTGAAGTTCATAATAAAATTAGAAGCTCCTTTATAAATATTTATTTCCTTGTTACAGATCTTACCATGAAGTGGTTTTATGACAATATTTTTTTTTTCATTTTTACTATGAAATATTTATTTTCATGTTTTAGAACTTGCCATAAAGTAATGACCTATGAAAATATATATTAAGATGTATTGCTGATGTATTACAATATTTAATTTCATGTTTTCTATGACAGTATTTATTCTCATGTTATAGATCTCACCAATGATGATTTATGAGAATATTTATTTTATGTCTCAGATCTCGCCATGAAGTGATGATCTATGAAAAAGAAACACAAAGCTGTTTGACTATCCGACTCCCAGCGCTGAGCTCCCCTGACATGGTAGCCTATGTTCACAGCAACAGGATCAGGCGGAGGCGAAGAAACATTCCATCCACACGTGTTGTTGCTTACCATGATGGCTCCATCATAGTGCAGGTAATTATTTTTATGGGTGATTGCACTCAGGTTAGGCAACTCTTGGCAAAAAGATATTTTTATGTTTATTTACTGAGGTAGCAGTAAGAAATTTTTATTACCTTACTGCATGATGGTGGTGTGTGTTGCTAAAATTAATTCTCTTGTGATAAGTACATTAAGCCTGTCAGAAATATTTTACTACTGTAGGCCATAATTAAAACACCATGAAAATGCTTTTATAAGGGAGATAAGTACTTTAAAAAAAACTTTTATAGTTTTTGAAGGTATGCCAGATAATAAAATTGCTAACAGGGTTTCTATCAATATTTATTTGTTCAGGTGAAAAATAAATTAGAGGGTAAAGTTTCTAGTACTGGGTCACATTTTACTACCTCAGCTTGTTGCAAGTTCTAATCTTGTGAATGACATCTATAATATAAGCGGCTAGGTAGTGTGTCAGTCCTTCCGTCATCGCTATAGATTTTGGACTATAAAAGTAAACTACGCACTATGCTGTGCTTTTCAGTGCATCGCAGTGTCTTATTATAAGTATTAGAGTAGGGTTTGTTTATATAGCGGCATAGAGCTATTTTATAATTTCCACTGTTTGTACAATTTTGCATAACTTAAAGAAAATATTAAATATACACACACGGCTAAAACATATTAAAAGTATCAATGTCAAATATCATTTTCGTTTATATTCCCAGAAAAAAATGGATACATTTCAATAACATAATAACAGTACGGTAGAAAAAATTAATATAACTCTTTTTTTCTAATTTTGACAAAAGAGGTAATTTAAAAATACATTAAACTCACGCTAATAAAAAATGTGAATGCAAATATACGGTCGTCATAGAAGGAATTAGTGTTGCAATAATATAATTAGCAAAATGTGAATGCAAATTATCCGGATGTGTAAGAGTAAATTATTGTTAGAAAATTATAATTAGCATGGATTGATAAAAGGCAATCTTTTATTTATTTTATTCACTGAATGTAGGCCCTACTGTTTATTACTTATAATTTTGAATCAACTATTCAGCACTATTATAGACGCGTCATCACGTTCATCAGGTGCGCAATGGTTTTAGTTATGAAACTCTATTGTAAATTTTTAAAATTTAAAGTACTGGAAAAAAAAATGCGTGAATGGATAAAGTGAAATATTGTATATATTATAGATACTGCCTATTATTTATACTGTTTTCTAATTATTATTCTATCTTTCGGGTTTTATAGGAGAGGCGTAGCGAGGGGGGGGGGGGGCATATGTCCCCGGGTGCCGACCTTAGGGGGCGCCAAAGTGGGTTGGAAAAAATTTGTGAGGGGGGGTGGTGGAAATCGAAAGTTTTAGGGCGGGGGGGGGGGGGGGGAAAGGGGTGCAAATTGAAAGTTTGAGGGGGGTGCAAAAAACCGGAAAGGGCGCGATTTGGCGCTACGGGCTAGACATTGAGCAATATGCCTTTATGATTGCATTTAAATTGTGTTTATGTTATGAGTGTTGTGTTTGTTTTTTTTTTTTTTTTTTTGTTTGTTTTGCGTTCGTTTGTTTTGTGTTTAGTTTTGTTCTGTTGGTACATTTAAAAAAGATTTACCGTGGCGGAGCACGGGATGCAGCTAGTTTATTATAACCAGTACCAGGAAATTACTTACCTGTCATTTGCCTGCCACATTTACACATTATCCATTAATTAAGTTTCATGAGTTAATGGTGATGGGGCAGGAATCTGGATTAGGGGAGGATAATAATGTCCTATATCTGTTTAAATCAATATCAGCACTTTTTAAATTTATATTTCAAATAATTTTCATAATATTTGTATATATTTGTATATTTATTTTTGTACTTGATAGTACATGGAATGAATTATTTGTTTCGTTTTTTTTTTGTAAAGGTGAACTCAGCTCGCCATCCATCTTTTTCAAAGTTTTATGTGATCAACCTAGAGCTGCAGATGTGCACCTGTTACTTTATCCTGTACACATCCATCAGCAGATGGTTTGAGGCGTACGTCTCCCCCAGCTGGACAAATATTGTGCTGCGTCCAGACATGCGCTATCATTTTCACACCAACGTCAATTACAATGTTCAGGTACGAGTATGTTTTTTTTTCCTGGTCATTTGCGCAAGAGCAAACATTCAGTGTTGGCTGAGCATGGTGCTGACCAAACTATGCCCTCATATGCCGAGGTCTCTGAAAGAATTAAACTCTACTTCACCGCTAAGTTTGAAAGGATACTTAATTAAAACTCTAGTATGACAAAAAAATATCATACATTTTTTTACTATAATGTGATACAGTTTCCCTAATTTTGTACAAAAACAATTGCTAATGAAGTGTTGTTATTCTGATATTTTTTATGATAACTTTAGGCAATGAAATGATATTGTATTGTTATTTAGTATAATAACTTAAGGTAATAAAATGCTGTTATTCAAATATTTTGTATGATAACTTAATGTAATGAATGCTGTTTCTGATGACGCAAGTTTATGTCAGATAGATCAAGTAGAAGTTAGCAGAAACAGAGCTTAGTATAGTTAGGTAGACCAATAGAAATACAGGAGCTGACCTGTCACATGAGACGGTCAGAAGACCAAGGAAGCGTGGGTCAGCAGTTGGTGATATGTAGCGGTAGAGAACTTTCGGAGATGTGGAGTTAGGGAGTAGATAGATAGAGGTAGTAGACAGTAGAACTTAGAACATAGTTAGGGTAGGAGTAGGAAATTGATTTGTGTTAAATAAAGAAACATTATGGAATATCTTGAATTAGACATGTGCGTGTTGGATTTCACTAAACTGTACCAGGTGTACGTAAGAAAAAGGCGATCCCCATAAGAAGAATATCAAACGGGGGTGCCACTTCTTCTCTTCCCCACCCTCACACTGTTATTCAGAAATTTTGTATGATAACTTCAGGTAATAAAATGCTGTTATTCAGAAATTTTGTATAACTTCAGGTTATGAAATGCAGCTCCCCAAAGCAGCAGATGATTTCCGTACACAAGTCCGCAAACTTCCTCCCCCACCACAGCCTTACCTACAACAGTCAGCTAGGGGATGATCATATTATAGCGGCCAAACACAGGAGTATTCAGGTCAGTGATGATTAATATAATCATATTATAGCGGCCTAACACAGGAGTATTCAGGTCAGTGATGATTAAAATAATCACATTATAGCGGCCAAACACAGGAGTATTCAGGTCAGTGATGATTAAAATAATCACATTATAGCGGCCAAACACAGGAGTATTCAGGTCAGTGATGATTAATATAATCATATTATAGCGGCCAAACACAGGAGTATTCAGGTCAGTGATGATTAATATAATCATATTATAGCGGCCAAACACAGGAGTATTCAGGTCAGTGATGATTAAAATAATCACATTATAGCGGCCAAACATAGGAGTATTCAGGTCAGTGATGATTAAAATAATCTCATTATAGCGGCCTAACACAGGAGTATTCAGGTCAGTGATGATAAGAGTGGAGAGATTTGTTAGGTTTAATTTACCATCAGCTAGACTCTACTTCACCTGTCCAATATTTGGTTAAGGAAGCATAACTACAGAAATAACTAGCCTTATGTCTTAACTACTAGAGACCAAGGTTGCCAGGATCTATTTTAGTAAATGATTTATTTACTTGATTTAATATTTTAAAATTTTTCTTTAAGATAGATGCTAAATATTAAATACTAGTTCTTTTCATAGTATTTCATATGCAATTTAATTAGCAGTTTAAAAAAATATCTAAATTACTTTGCTATGAATCACTTTAAGCTTTTCATAAAGTTAAAATTTTTCATCAGATTTATGTAACAGAAACTTGGTCAGCTACTGAGCAGCATATTTTGCCTATTGCTAACGCTAGCATTCAACAAATCAGGTATTATTTAAGTTTGATGTTTTAATATGAAGAAAAAAGAAAATATTGTTACATTTATTTGCTTTGTATGTAAAAATCCTTTTATTAGTTTTTAAATATCAAAACTACAGAGAAATAAAGCAATATCTTGAAATTAAAATAATTTAAATTTTTAAAATACAAATTTAATGCTATAAAAGAACAAGCCATAATCTTGAAATTTAATACTTGCCTTATCTAACAATTACATATAAGTCTTAGTTAGAGAACTGAGTAAAGAAACAAAAATAAATTGTTGAATCCGAATGTCAATTTTGTCCAAGGTCTAGCCCATTAGGGAATACATTGCTGTGATACAAATAACTAAAAAAAATGTTGAATCTGAATGTAACTGTTTCCATAGGTCTAGCCCATCAGGAGAATACATTGCCGTAAGGTACACCTACCCAGCTGATGGATGCTGCTTCAATCGTATCTTGATTCTCCACTACCCCCAATTCTCTCATGTTATCCAGGTGAGCCTTACCTGTTCCATCCAGTTATTTCCTACCCAGAACTTAATCTGGGTATCTCTGATCTACTAAAAACATTACTTTTGATAATTCACAAAACTATGAGGGGCCAGCTCAAAGAAAGAAAAAGTAAAAAAAGAACAACCCCATTTTCAATGAAAACATGGTATAGATATCATACTCTCTATCCTGGCTATGACCTCATATATCAAATAACATACTTCAGTATATTAATTTATTTGAGATTCTTTGGTGACTAGCATTGTCCCCAGAGTCAATTGTAATTTACCTTGGTATCAAACATATTTTTCAACATTGTTTCTTTCCCCAAGTCTCCACAGTTTAATTTACTTCTACTTGAAAATTCTTTTTTTTTTTAAAATTTAAAAGTAATTTTTAGTTTCTTAATAGAACATTTAGTTTGACGATGTAAAATATTCTTTTATTATTTTTTAAAATAATGTCTGTGTGTTTAGGCTTTAAGCTCCATGTTCTTTACTTAAAATTAAAAAGCAAAGCTTCTGTATTAAAGGTGGATGTTCGAGGTGCGTACTGGCCTGTCTCTGAGTTGGTCAACATGCAAGTTTTCCCAAGGTTTTCACTCAGTGAGTTGTGTTTTGCCGTGATGAAGCAGCACAACTACGGGAGGAAGGTTTTTGTTTACAAGCTTCCCATCCAGCACCGCTCGCTGAAAGACATCTGCCGCCGCGCCATTTTACACCTAGTTAATGCCAAGGATATTCCATTGTTGCCAATACCTTTGTCTCTGAAATATTATCTTGCTCACCTCTCAGTGTGAGGATTTAAAAACATGGATCTGGAGTATGGTTTATTTTATACATACATGAAACAAAGCTAATGTGCAATGTTTTTTTTAACAATTTTAACAAGGAGGGGCTGCTTCTCTATCATGCTCATTTTTAATAAAAATTATTTTATTGTGTTGTGTTGATAAAAATGTGAATCTGAACTGCTTTAATAGTGATGTATTAAACAAGAAAATTTAACCCCTGTTTTACTTAAAGAAAATGTTTTGTTTAAAAACATTTACTTACTGTAACAGGCAAAAAAATATAAAATTATAATTTAACTATTTTCCTGATATTACTTTTGTGCTTACAAGCCTTTGTTTAATAAATAAGTGCTGTCATTATATTTGAGTTTTTCCCTTTGATGAACTATTGTTCAGTAATAGATTTTAAACCACACATTTCTATGGTTGATGATTTTAGAATAGGATTAACAGAGATCTGAAAAAAGTACAAGTGATTGAAATGCTGTATTCATTTTTTAAATGCCAATGATGTAATCATTTTTTAAAATGTTATCATTAATATCAAAATGATTTGTGGTCATGTAATTATTTAAAAAAAATGTAAATATGTCAATATGCACAATTTCAAAAATGTAATATGCATCATTTTAATTTTTTTTCTTCATAAAAATATTATATTATGATAGAATTTAAAATTTCTTTTAACAAATTGTTTTCTGAACATAAAAGATAGTAGATCTAAAGTTTCATGATTTGGCTATGTTCAGCTTTTATTTATCTAGTCTAAACTTGTGCAATATACTGAATAATTAGCATCCAATGGTAGGTTTCCCCGGCACATTGGTAGCATGTTTAACCCTTTCAGTATCCAATCTTGCCGCTTGTGCACATTTTGATGTAATTGTATTCTGAACCTGCATAGAGTTTTTGCTTATATCATCTTGCCTTATAGTGTGTATCTTTGTTAAGTTATTGTTGTAAAAAAATGTACAGTTTTTCTGGCGAAGTACTTTTGCGAAATAAAATAATTTGTTATAACCTAAACAATTTTATATCAGCATTAAATAACTAGATTTAAAATGGCTAAATAATTATCAATATTGTTTTAATAGTTATTTAAAAATGCGTAGCTGAGATAATGCTATACCAAAGTTTTTTTGTTTTGCACCCCATTCCAAAACATTGTTCTGGCATAGTGTCAAAGACTGTCACTGAGCCACCTTTACGAGTTACATGGGGTAAGGACTGCTGGACAAAACAATGCCTTCTTTAGCTGCAACTATTAGAAGAGTTCAACCAAAGTGTTAGGTTGCTAGAGGGTATCACTTCACTTAATATTTTTGTATTTTTTTTTTTGGCAATTTAAAAAATTTAGAACTTTTTGTATAGGACTATAATAGATATTAATTCTGTTTTGTTTTATTCTTTATAAGTTTGAATAGAGATTTTACTGCCATATGCATTTTAGTAATTTGTGTTACGTACAATGTTTTCTTTCAGTATGTCCTACTTATGCAATTTTCTTTTAAAAACCTGCATTAAAAATGTACTTTTTATATTTTGAAACCTTCCTGTTCTTATCATTTTAATTTTACCAAAAATATTAATACTGTTACAAAAATGTATTACTTAGCAAAATCTTTGGTGCCTTCTAACTAAATTCTGCTCTGTTGAATTAATATTTTTTTCCAAAGTGTGATAAAAAATGCTTTTAGAATTTGATGGTTTTAAAATTATTTTCTTGTATTATTTTAATTAAAAAAATGAAAATGTTATTTTATTTTGGCATTTTGTTGCAAAAAATAAAATGTATGTTTATTATGCACTGGTACACAAATCTTTATGCAATAATAACACTCAGCACTTAAGTCTTTTATATTTGATGAAATTGTTAATGCTAACGCTGTGCCTTTGCACATATAGAAATTTTTCACTTCAATAATTCTAACCATTGGAAGCATTAATTAATAATTTTTTGTTATAGCTATGCTGATTTTTTAAAACTATAATTATGTTTATCTCATGATTTCTGATGTAATCCAAACTCTTAGATAAAATTATATATAAAATATAGTTTTATTTGGTGAGATATTTTTAAATTTTCATTTTTTCAATTTCTAGAATATGGCCATGTGATCAAGATTACTGCTATATTTGTTTTCTAACAGTGTATGATGTTTAGAACTGGTTGGGATTTTGCATAGTAAAATATTTTAAAAATTCTATAAGTACAATCTAATTTTAAACATTATGTTTTTGTTATATATATAAAATCTTTAAAGAAAAATTACCAGTGTAAAAACTTCTATTCAGTATTTGTTTCTTTTTTTTTAACAAGTATATCTTTTCTCTTTATATCTTGTAATCTATTTCACTGTCACATTGAAAAGCTATTTCACATTTAAGATAGATGTAAATCAATTCAATGCAGCTATTTTAAATTCATTATCGCAATCAATGGTTACTTTTAGACACATGTATTCTTCCTATGTCATTTTTTGACTTGTGCACTTTTTAAAATTACCTCAATGGACCATTTATAAATTTTTCAAGACTTTTTCCCCATTATTCCTATTATTTTTATTACTTGGAAAAGAATGATTTAAACTCTATTGTTCTTCACTCCAGTGGGTATCATTAAGTAATATTTGAAGTAAAAGTTGTACTGCCCTAGTTTCCGTCAGTTAATACTTTACAGTACTTAATCTTTGTTCCGCCTTTACCTTTATAGAAAATATAGTGTGCTGAGTTTTTAAATTTTTCCGATGTGAGATTTGACATTTTGACTCCTGTGGTCCATGCACATTCCTCTTACCCCAGGGGTCCAGGATCCCCTGCGTAAGGACTCTTGCTTTAGATATAAAAAAATAATTCCTTCTTAAATTAGTTGAAAATATGAATAATAATCTTTAAAAAAAAGGATGGGAAATTCCCTAATTATAAACACATTAATTTTTACTTTCCCTTTCATCCATAACATTTTCTACTATCCCTCCATTTTCTGTAATAATCATGTGTTTTATTAGTTTTCTATTGAATTGTTCCAAAACATTTTTTTTTACAAATTACTCTTGCTCAAGACAGACCAATAATCTTTTGTGCATATTACCTTGAAGTTTCATTTTACTACTGAAAATAACTTACAATAATAACACTTTTAAGAAATCATTTTTCTTTTGTTATTCTTTTCAAAATAATTTTTAGCCCTAAATCATCAAACTTGTAAGCACTGTAAGTAGAACAAGAATATAATTTAGTAATATGTATGTAAAATCTATCGTACTTTTTTAAAAACAATGTATATTCTTCCTTGAACAATTATTTCTTATTTCTTAATATTCCTTTCATTTTAAAAATTCCGTTTTTATTGGTATTTTCTTTACTCTTTAACTTGTTTCATGCCCTTGTTCTTTTTAGCATTTTTTCGATATGTATCATAATCTAGTAATACATGTTTTTAAAATGTGTGATCTAATCAAGATTATCTCTTTATCCTTAGTTTATTTTACAATTTATCAATAACGATGTGAATGTGCAATTATTTGGCTTTGGGTACTTATATCAATTACAATAAGAAAAACAACAATGCATCCTTCCCTATTACCAATTTTCCTCCCCACCAATTATTTTTCAAATGTGGTACCAGGCAAAAACTCATCCCATATTAAAAGAGTTTCCTATTGAAATTTTTTTATAATTAGTAATTTTTCTTTTCTCATATAAACTTTTGTGGATTAATTTGAAATGGTTTCTTGTGTAGCATCAATATGTACATTGAAAATACTTGTTAATTTTTTTTTTGAATTATTAGGTCAATTAACCAGTGTCACTAGACACCATTTATAACTATTAGAAATAAATACAATTTTACAGAATTCTCTCCCTTGAACATTGTTCGTTACAAGACTTAAAGCAATGATTGCTGCTGTATTGTATGTTTCTTAAGCATGACAAAGCAATATACAGTTAAATATCTCAAAAATGATTTCTCCACAAATATCTCTAGGCGGTTTTTAAATTTTGTATTTCATACTGTTAGTGACATACATCCTGTCATTTTTTGTTGATACTTTTTTTCAGAAAGTTGTATTTTCAAATTCAAAGAAGAATAATTTATTTTTTTCTTCCAAAATTAAGGTTAAAAAAAAGGAACCAATAATTTTGTAATTTTTATGTCGTCATAAATTAGTAAGTCTTCTTTTCCCATAGACACATTTACTCTGTTGAGAATAAAATGTTCTCTATGTAATTGGTTTGAATTCATATCTGTCTTCCTAACTTTCAAACTGAGTCAGTCACATGCATTGACATTTTATTTTTAAAAACTGTCATTCAAGTTTATTCACTTTGTTTAATTGTTGCTGAATTGTTTAATTTTACACCCGTTTACTTTATAATTGCGTAACAATTTATACGTTTTCTGCATTATGTATCAAATTTTAGCTGTTTTATCATTCAAAGAATTTTATTTGCGTGCTGTTTTTATTTCTTATTCATTTTCAAAAATTGTTAGCATTCATTTCTCAAATAGTTTTGACAATTATAGTACAATTGTGAAGCAAAATTAATGTTACTTTAAGAAAAAATCATTGCTAAGTAAACAGTTGGGTTATAAAATAACTTATTAATTGAATAAAATTCTAATCATTTTAAAGAGAAGTTTAGTTAGCTAGTTGATTTAGAAGTATAATTGCTTAATAAGTATACTTCATTCCATGAAATGCTTAAATTATTGTAAAATGTAGAATTTTTCAGTTTACTTAACACATAGGAAACAGATTATGTTAATCTGATGTGTTAAGAAATGGCGTAGTAACCAATAGTTGCCATTTGTGAAGCTGTGTCAATAGTTTGTATGGTGGACGTAATTAGATGTTGATGTTTGTATGTACTTTTTATAGTAGCATACATCCATGTGATTAGCTAATTGTTTTAAAACAAGTGAGATAGTATAGAAAAAAATATAAATCTATGCTCTTTTAATGTAAAGCAAATATTTGTATCTTTTGCAGATCTTCAAATCTGATTTGATAATAAATGTTTTTAATTGAACTTTTGTTTTGAACTTTTTCAACTTTTCTGTTAAATTCTCATACTTAACAGATATAATATCAATTACAATTCTCTGATTCTCAGACTGCACTGTGTAGCTGATGCAAATATGATTTTCCTCTTAACGTATAAAAAATCATCAATAATAAATACGTTTTAAGGAAATTGTAATAAAAAAATTAAAATCTGAATTTAAGTATCAGAATATGAAATTTTTATTAGAATTGCAAAAAACTTAATACTTGTGACAACATAACAAGTTCTAGAAGTGAAGTGAAAGTAGGTGGTGTAATTCAATGATCTTCAAGAAAATGATTTCAAATTAAATTTTTAGGTATCACAAATTAGTTGAAACAAAGTAATTAAAGAATCTTTAACCCATAATGGTACATCTTACATTAGAACTAAGAATGTTGAGCAAAATACTATATCAAATCTAGTAGTTTTGTCATAGCATGTATTTACAGCTAGTCAAACATGATTAATTGTCTAGCATATTGTTAGGTTTAGAATATTTTTAATTTATGAATAGTGTTAGGGTTAAGGATCAACAAAATTGATTATGGACAATTATTTCATGGTGACCTTTAACAGAAAATGTTTCATTGATAGAAAATATGAAGCAGATATTCATATGTTGAGATTTTAAGAAAACATGTAAAACTATTTGTTAGCTTCACTCTTTAAAATTGAAATATTGTAGACAATATTTTGGCAAAAAAGCCTCATCACACAGATACAAAATAGTAATACAAATGTATGTTTTACATTTTTTTTTGTTTTACTTACAAAAAAATATTATAACATATTAAATATTAAGAAAGGTAAAAAAAAAAGTTGACTAGTGTTTGTGCAAGTAGTAGGCTTGGTTAAAATTGAAAAAGAAAGGATTAACAAATCCAAAAAGACAGTGATGGTCACATAGGAACTGAATTTTTAAAAAAGCATGTAGATAATTGTTTTCCAAAATTTTTAGTGACAAACAAAAATCACTGAACCCAGCGGATACCAAACTTTTACCACTGTGCTTCCTTTTAAAAACTAAAAAATCCTGGCACCACCTTAACCCCCACCATCTTTGTGATGTGTTCTAATTTTGGAATGCCTTCTATATATACACGCAAACAATACAACTTTTATATTGGTCTTGTGAGGAGGAGTAGATATTTATTTATATATATAATATGGTAATCTTTTTCATAACAAGTAGTATTTTTTAGTATCAATACATTTTGGTAATATTCAAATATACATAGAATTTAGTAAATTTAGTAAATTAAAAAATATTGTTTAGAAAAGTAAATGGTAAGAAGCGCCACAAACCTTTCCAACTTAAGATGGGGGGGGGGGGGGGGGGGCGGGGTTGTTTTATATAGACAGGAATAACTATATATAGAAATTGGAGGGTGGGGGGGGGGGGGGGTGAGAGGGGAAAAAATTAATAGTCCACCCCAACTGCTGGAATAGGTTACTACGCTTCTGATTTTAATATTTTAATATTTGGTTTACAATGAACATTTTGTTCATAAAGAATTTCTCTAAGAGATATAGGTTGTATACCTCAGTTATTTTGAAATGGAAATTAATGAATAAAGCTCAACATTCAATATAAAACAATTATATTTTCCACCATAACATTCCATCTATACTTATAATATATCTACAATTATCATACAATGATGTGAATTACTCTATTATATTGATAATTGAATGTTAAAATTTTCAAATTTTGTGAATAACACAGCTGCATAGCCACAATAATGCTCTCTTACTAAGCAGGTTACATAAGACATGAATATTGATTGACAATCAGTTACCAAGGGTAATTGTTATTAAGCCACTTGTTCTTCTATTCTGCTTGTAATTAAAGTAACAATACATTCTCTGATACTGGAGATTTCATAACCCATTATCCCAGTCCATCATCTGTTTAAAGAATTTTTTAATGATATTCTTTTAGTGTCTTCATTTGTTAATTGGTTTATATATTCATAATAAATCAATAGTAGGAAATTACAAACGATTCATCCACATAAGTAAAATATATAGATTCTAAATGTTTTATAAAGACAATACTGATTAAAATACTAAAATTTTCAAAAGTAATGTCTTAATGTACAAACAAGATTATAATAAATATAATTAGGTTTCTTTTCTTCCTCTAGCAAAAATGGGGTTATCACAGCAATATAATAATTAATAAGCTCGCTTTTTAAAACACATTTATTTATTTTAGAATATTATTTTTTTACAACTGTTATATTTTTTGACTGGAAACATTGAGAATTTAACATAAAACTTGTTTTAGCAAATAAAATTGATTGTACATATTAAGAAATTTATAAATATATAGGCATATATAAAGGGATATATATAGACATATAGGATATATATATATATATATATATATATATATATATATATATATATATATATATATATATATATATATATATATATATATATATATATATATATATATATATATATATATACATATATATAGGTGTGTGTGTGTGTGTGTATATATATATATATATATATATATATATATATATATATATATATATATATATATATATATATATATATATAAAAGTTTTTGTTTTTTTAGCAACTTGTTTTAGCAAATTAAATTGATTGTACATATTAATAAATTTATAAATATATAGGCATATATAAATGCATATATATATAGACATATAGGATATATATAAATATATGTGTGTGTGTGTATATATATATTTTATATATATATATATATATATATATATATATATATATATATATATATATATATATATATATATATATATATATATATATATAAAAGTTTAAATCTGGCTAAAATTAGTTCAATTTATTTGTTTTATTTGTCATTAGAGTGTGCATCATTCAGAATGCACTAATGTGGTATAAAATATCCCTCCCCCACTTCTTTATTTAGTAGCACAATAATGCTCACAGCCTGGGTAATTTAAATAAGCCAAGAAAATTGGCTCATCTTTCAAACATTCACCTAGATATACAGGTATACAGACACTTTCAAAACTGCTAGTAACTATGGTCAAGTTTCGTCCTAAAACATTGGCGAGGGCATAAGGTATCAGATCTCCTGCTTCACTATCCCAGTGTCCATCCTCCTTTATTTTTTTAACAATGTTTTTGTCTTCTAGAAAATCTCCATAGTGTTGCATGTTCTCCTTTATATGCAGATACACCTTGTATCGTAATTCTTTAGGAGTTATCTTCTCTTTCAACTTAGCAGTAGCTGCTTTAAAAATACAGTTTCCGTCTTTTTGAAGGTGTTTTAGCTTTAGTCCAAAGATTTTCAGATTCCTTTTTAATCTTTTCTCTGCATTTCTTATAGTATCTAGAATACAATATAAAAACTTTCAACCTCTCTACCTATTGAAGTGTTAATACATTATAATTCTTTCCAATGGTGTACACTTAGGTGCTAAGTCATTATCCAAATATAATGCACAGAATGTTAAATTGGTAAACAACGAAGACAAAGATGATCTATAACTCTTGTTTAAACTATCAAAAATATCTACTGCAGCTTTTTGAATATGTTTGTGTAAACTGTAGAATTGCATGCTTATACACACGCATGCACACCCACACAGTTTGACCGAAGTTTGCCGAAGGTTTTAGGCAGGAGAAGCTTTTAATAATTTTGTATGTTTAAGGTGTGCCTGAAGGTGCTTCTTTACAGATAAAAGTTTTTAGTTGAATATTATTTTTGTGTTCGGCAGCTATTGAATTTCAGATATAAAGTTTTTGGATTAAGAAGATGATAAATGTGTAATAAAATATCCACTACTTGGTTTATATGAATAATGAAAATAATTATTTTAATAAAAAATAAAATAAAAACTACAATCATACTATTAATATATACAAAAAGCATAATCAAGAAAAAAAAGGCTTCTAATGCACTCAGAATTAATAAAAGAAGGCAGGAAAAAAAACAGATAAGTGTTAAAACATACATTTTTAGGTTAAAGTTTGAAGCCTTAAATACCAGAAGCACTATTTTTTTAAAGAGTGTTACATGATTAAAATGTTGAAATGTATAATACTTTTAAATTTTTTTTCTTAATATTTTAGAAACATCTGCTAGAAGTATTTAATGTTTTACAAAAAAAAAAAAAAAAAAAAAAAAACAATGGTTGGTCATAAAAATAACTTTAACAAAAAGTCTATGTTACTATTGTGGTTTTTTCATTTTAGTTGGTACTGATTTATAAAAATCTATAGTATATTTAAAAAAAAATTAACATTGAAAGTCAGTTGAGAAGCTATTTAAATTAAATGCATTATTACAATTTTCCATTGGGTTATGGAGAAAATGCTGACATAGACAAATCTCCAAATTCTTTCATTAAGTTATTATTAGTACATATATTAATTGGTATTACCAGAAGTTTACACTTCTGCTGTTATTGCTCTAGGGGTTATCTGAATACACTAACTGACAAGCTATGACAAGGCTTATGATTTGAATAAAAGGGATTATTCATTTTGCAGTTCTCAAACTTAAAAATATGCCACTTTGTTACCTGTAGTGCTAATTGATTTTTCACTTTGCACTTTACTTGTTTTTTGTTTTTCCTGATCTGAAATTAAATTACAGAAAAGTTACTCAACAACTCCACAAAATAAATCTTGCAGCACAAAACACTAATTATAAAAATACCAGTTTGTTAAAAACAAATTATTATCAAACCTGATTTTTCACTTTTCATTTTTGTTTCTTCATTTTCTTGATCTAAATAGGAAAGAAAATTACTGAAAGGTTTTGTGGCACATCCACAAAAAATGAAAATTGAATTTCTAAATGAGATTGAAATCAATTGATTTGCTGGTCACTAACTAAATGAACATTTTCTTTTTAAAAATTAGTTTTCAAACAAATTTCCAAACCTGCTTTGTTATCAGATTTTTTACTTTGGTTTTCATCATCTTTTTTTCCTAATAGATAAACATTGAATTACTGAAAACTTTAAACAAAAACACACACATTCTGTTTTTAATTGAGTTAAAATGTAAGTTAGAAATATATTTGTCTAAAATTCATGGTAAAGTATTACATTTTTGTGTTAACTACTAAGAGTCATAAACAATTTTCTAAATTGTTTGTTTGATTATATAGTTTTCTGTTCTAATAACATATAAAACACAACATTGCCAGATTATAATATAAACTTCAAAGTAATATTCAAAGCTGTGTTGCTAACGGGTGTTTTACTTTGATCTTGTTGCATCATCTTATCTTTTTGATCTGTCATAATAAAAATATTATTCACTCTAAACTATGTAACGAGCTCATTAAAAGACACACATTTTTTAAAAAAATTAGAATGAAAGCTGGTGGATAAAAAAAAAAAATATTACCAGACCTGTGATACTATCAGATTTTTTTACTTTTCAATTTACCTGTTTCTACATTTTTCTGATCTGTATAACAAAAAAACCTTCTTAAAAGTTATGTGACATTCTTGCAAAAAAAATACAAATGAAATTTTGAATTGAGATTGAAATCAATGGATTAGCAATCGACTAACTAAATGAAATTTTTAGGTTTAAAATAAAGCAATTAACTTAAAACTAGCTGTATTATCAGAGTTTCTACTTTGGCTTTTATCATCTGATTTTCATAAAAATTAAAATTTCTATATACTTATGCTACACCTGCAATCAAAGACACACAAATAATGTTTTTTAAATTGTGATCAAATGTAAATTCAGATGGAAGATTGAAATTAATTGCAGTGTATTATGTGTTTTTAAAAGCTACTTACATGTAAGTTTAATTTTCCGAATTGTTTTGTTGGATTGTATAATTTGTTGTTCAAAAACTAAGTAAAAAAATGACAATAGCAGTTTATAAGGAAAGAAAAAAATAATCAAACCTGTGTTGCTGCCAGATTTTTTACTTTGATCTTGTTTCACCACCTTATCAATTTGACCTGCCACAATAAAAAAATATAATTTACTTAAAAAATTAGCAGCATCTTTATACAATAACACAAAGTCTGTTCTTTTGAATGAGGTGGTTGAAGAGATAATATACATTACACTCTTTGTAATGAACCACAAGCTTTTTATATGTTAACTAAAATAAGTAGGTGGCTTAATATCATTTTCATACTTTGAATGATTTCTTACAAGTTTTGCAGCACTCAAACTAAATAATAAAAATGATAGTTTGTTATAAAAACAAATAAATAAGGAAACAATAAGTATCCAGTGTTACCATTTGTAAGACTCTAGTATAATAGCTAGCAAATAAAATAAAATGTAGTTTAATAAAGTGGCTCAAATTAATAATGTTAGTAACAGATATTACAAGTTTTTTGTAAAATTAAAACTAGATTAATTTATATTGATCGTTTGAAAAATCAACTTTATATACACATACACACACACACATATATATATATACATATATATATATATATATATATATATACATATATATATATATATATATATATATATATATATATATATATATATATATATATATATATATATTGTGTGTGTGTGTGTGTGTGTGTGTGTGTGTAAATATATGCTCAGCTCAAAGAACAGTCATAATATTACATTGTAACTATTGTAATTAAAAGTCTGTAATATGCTACAGTAAGTATTTGTCCATTGCAGTTTTCTTACCTTTATCTCTGCCCTCATTGATAAAACTTTCACTTGTTTTGCTGGACATTTGAATACAAAATTGAAACACAGCTCAAAATTTGTAAACATCAATATAAAAATTATTAACAATTTTGGATACTGCAGATTTGATTATAGACCTTTATCTAGTAAATAAGTAAACTGGCTTACATTAGAATAATTTCAATCACAATAAATACAAATATTGTCCTCTGGAACACTTTGAAGTTAAAACTTGAAACAAATTTGTTAATTGGTTTATGGTAAAAGGAGGAATCAGGCTTCATTATTTAATCTTGATTAGTATTATGGTTAAGTTATTTTTTATGCTGGTTAATTTGGATAACAGAATAATAATATTTCTTGTGGAATTTAGGGAGGATCGAAGGACATACTGTATTTAGCTATTGATAAAAGTAGTAGACTGCCTAAGCAGGATTACTTTTTTTCAAATACATCCAGATCCAAAACAGTTTTCAAAAACATCCATAGTTTATGATGCCACTATTTTATACCAAAATAAACAGGATATTTTTATAATCAAATCTATAAAGATGTATGCTATAGGCCTACCTATCAGTTATTGATTTTTTTTTACAATAATCATCCATAACAAAACGCTCTAGTCTTTGCAGTCTTTTTTTCTTTGGTTTATCATAATCTTGAGCTGTTATCAAATATGAAAAACAAAATTAAACGTTAAATACATTTAGTATTCAAGCTTACTATTAAAGATACTACAAAAGAAAAAAAAATACAATATCTGTAAAATTGCTTTATTATACTAAATCATTAACATGTAAGTTGACAACAAGAATCCAACTGCATTCATTAGGTTTTTGATTAAACTATGCACCAACATATTTTCTGAAAATGTGTGAAAAAAATTGATTTATTAAAGAACTTTAACTATTTGAAATAAGTTTTAAAATAACTTACCAAAAAACCCATCAACTTTTCTGGACCGACAAGCAAATACTAAAATAGTTAATGGGGTGAAAGGCAGTGGAAGGAATAAACGTCTTGAATATTCTCCAGCAACAACAAATCTTTGATAATGCCACACCTTTCTAGCTTGGTTTTCAATGCTGACAATAGTTGTGCTGAAAAATGGTAAAAAAAAAAGTTAATAAAGTAGGCCCTGTCTAATAATATTGATACTATGCAACTGTTAATTTATATGCTAAAAACTGTAAACAAGTTTAAATCACAAGGAAAGGTAAAGTATAGCCATTTTCTTTTACAATCTTAAATTAAAACTTTACTACCCTTTATTTTATCTAAACCATTAGACTCAGCATAGGAATGAAAATAATAATGTATCGCTTTAGTGTTGTTACAATTTTCTGGGAGTCCAAAGAGTTAAGAGATTTACTTGAACTTGGCTATAACTAAGTTGAACAACAGGATGTTGACAATGAGCACATAAATCCCCATTAACACTGGCACATAATATCTTCCTACATAAGTTGGGCATCGGAGTTCAGTGTAGTCCGAGTAAAGAGATGGATCATTGGTGCAGGATGTGTTATCTTTACCTGTATGAACAAAGACTACATTTCACAAACTCTAAGTTACCACAATTTTTAGTTACACAAGTTAGGATTTGATAGGTTTATATGTTTAAAACCAAATGCTGTTGACTTATTACCACACGTTTACAGTAAATGTGATACACTATTTATTTTAGAACACCATTCGTAAGAACTTTTAAAACTATCATCGCATTTTCTTTTTACATTAAATGTACAATCCTATCCTAAAGGTTACATACATTCTTTTATTCTTTCTTTTATTATTTAATAAACTCTATCCATGGAAGACAATTTTACATGCTACTGAATAAGATCAGCACAAAATACAACAAACTGGACTAGATTATCATTACAAAATTTTAAAGTCTATTACCCAGCTCTTCCAGTTCATCAAGGAAATAGTTGCCAAAAGCACTCCAGTAGGCTCTACGTAAAACACTGAATATGAGTTCGCCACTGAAACTGGAATGCGGATTCAGAACCATCTCTGCTGAGATGGCAAAAGCAATGAAGAACACCGACATAATTATCAAATATTTTGATAGGGTCACCATCTGAAAAAGCATGTTGCTAACATTAAATGAAATAGAAATAAAACATCTTTAGGTAAATCAAATGAAAATAAGTATAGGTCTACAATGTGTAGCATTAGAAAAATACTTAATTTATTTTTTTAATGGTGACTATGATAGGAAATATTATTCTTGGGGTAGGTTAAGCCTACTTTAAAGTTGTTTATAGTCATTTCCATTATATATACGCTAATATTTTATATATAGGGCCTAACAAATTGTTTACAATAATAAATGCTCTAGTACTTTATTTAAATCTAATAGATTCCATTAATATAAAAACTATGATATTTCATTTTATAATTGTCTTGATTATTATTTCTTTTATAGTTGTTGCCCTGAATAATCACTCAAACATTTTTTTTTATCAATAATTAAATTACCATTTTAGACATCATCAAGATCATTGGTCCAAGCAATGCACTGACATAGAAGAACTTTAGAGCAATCAAACAGTACAAAACATAATCAATGCTAAAGAAAATCAATGCCAAATCCATGTAAATAGCCTTGTCATTGGTCGCATAGTAGGCTCTACATCTTAGTGACCAGGCCACAATGAAGAAAGTGAATGAAAAAAAATCCAGCAGTTGAAAAACATTCATGTGAATTTCCTTGTAGATCAAGAAAAATGTCTGCAATTTAAAAATAGTTAAGAATAATAATTAAAACAAAATTAAAAATGATTTTAAATAAGATATCCTTTTTATAGAATTAACTTATGTTTTTTGCATCATGCTAACACATAAAGTTAATTATTGTATATAGCACTATAAAAAGGGATATTAAATACTCAAATACGCATTGGCTAATTATGGGAACAGTGTTACTTACTTGAATATTCAAAATAATAGTTTCACAGGTCGACTCTTTTTCTTCTGTTGCCTTTTTTTTATTCTTTACTTTTCGATCAGTCAAGTATTTCATCTGAATTAAATAGAGTGGTTCACATTAAAATCATCAATAAAATATAAAGAAAACTGTATAAGTTTACAATGGAAACCATAAGTAACAACTTAATTTGTAAGCTGATGGCATTCATAACCAGGATTCATATTACAAAACACTGTTGTAGGCCTTAGCATATTTATACTTGGAAAGGTAGGATCTTCACCAAAGCTTGAAGTTTTGGTTTATAAACTTATAATGACGAACAACGGTTGATAAAACATTAGTAAAATTTGCAAATATTTGAACGAATATCTTGATATCCCAGTGTATTGATAAAAAAGCTTGGTTAAATAATTTGTAACAATATTTTTACTACAATTACCAATAAAATAATAAGGTTAGACTGTAATTGTCTGAGAAAAGATGGGAAATAATACCTTGTAAAAACCTTCAAGAAAGAAAACGAGAATCCACACCCAGATAACCCACTCCAGCTCGTGAAAAGAATTGAGGTTCAACGCACACACAAGCAGGTAAGCATAGAATATTAGAAATGCCACAAAGCCAATCTGTACAATGCAATTCAGAAACATTAAGCTCTTTAAATCAAATTTCAAAAGTGAGTATTTTTATTTCTTCAGCTGTTTTAAGGGTACATGTACCCTGAAGGAACTTACCAAGTCAAAAATAAAAAGTGCTTTTGGAGAAAGTATAGTTGACTTTAAGCAATTGAAGCTACATTCACATCTTTTATTGCTGAAAATAAACTTAATATGATAATGCTAAAATATACTGATAATAATAATAATAATTATATACTAATATCAAATATTTCTGGCAGTCCTATGATTATTTTTTCAGTTTGGGAACTGAAAACATACAATATACCAAATATTAATACTCCATCCTTAGAAAATAGTAACCAATATTATGTAAGGCCAGTAAGTTTGTCTGACTTAAAATATAGCTAAATAGATATTACCCTTGCTTTCTGCTTTGACATATTGTAAGATTCTACACAATAAATGTAATATAAATAAATTCTATCCAAGACGATGTTGTCATAAAATCTACATTGTAAGGGATTAGATTGGTTTGGTAGTAATTAACTGATTAATAAGTATGGTAAACTGTTCTACACTACATAGTTCTGATTTAAAATAAAAAGGCCCCCCCCCCCCCCCAAAAAAAAAACTTGGATACTACCAAGCAATTTAATGGTACTGGTGAAGAGGCTATTGGTGCTTTACAACAGATGTTTCTCACAGCTGGTTAGGCAGCAATAAGCTCTATGGAAAAGATGGGATAAAACACATACCTTGAAGAACTGTCTGTTTTAGTGTCTGAATGATCCTGAAATAATATAAATATAGTTACCTTACAGGATTTATAACATTTCGTTAAAAATTGCCTGCTACATATTAGAAAATATAACTTATAAAACTAAATTTATTTTTACCCCCATGTCCTTGGGATATGCCTTCTGTCCTTTTGACCATATCCTGTCCCTAAGTTTGCTGCAGGCTATTTCAGAAAGAAAACCTTTGTTTCTTGTCTCTATGGCCATCACAATACAACTTACATTGCCCCAGTCATGGAGTTTGTTTAACAAAAGGTGGTATGTCTGTTCCTCATCTTTAGTAAAGGAAGATTTGACAAGTTCAATGCACAGGTTTTCGTAATGTCTGAAGAAAGAAATGGTTAGTAACAACAACAGTTAAAAACAACTGTTCAGATATATAATGAATGAAGTATATATGGTATATCAAGAACAATGATAAAAGGTTTACTAAACAATCTACTTACATTATATAGGCCTATATAATATATATATATATATATATATATATATATATATATATATATATATATATATATATATATATATATATATATATATATATATATATATATATATATATATATATATATATATATATATATATATATATATATATATATATATATATAAATAAATAAATAAATAAATAAATAAATAAATATAAATATATATATATAAATATATATATATATATATATATATATATATATATATATATATATATATATATATATAATATATATTATATATATATATATATAAATAATAAATAAATAAATAAATAAATAAATAAATAAATAAAAAAAAAAAAAAAATATATATATATATATATATATATATATATATATATATATATATATATATATATATATATATATATATATATATATATATATATATATATATATATATATAAATAAATAAATAAATAAATAAATAATAAATAAATAAAAAAAAATATATATATATATATATATATATATATATATATATATATATATATATATATATATATATATATATATATATATATATATATATATATATATAAGTATGTATTTGATTTACTAAAATTCTACACAATAAGAGGTTACTCCTATTTGTCGCTTTATATAATAATATAAGTATAAGTAATGTATGGTTTCAATTAGCTTTCATTCTACTGGTGAAAGCAGATTTATTTATTAACATAGGCAATTTTTTTTTAGGTTTTACTCCCCATAAATGATGTCACCTAATGTCACACTACTGATTTCTACAAGTTTTCTAACATATGGCAGCAATTACAGCTGGCCATAATAATTATTTACTACTTACTTTTTAATTTCATAGTACTCGTTTCTTTGACTTTTATCATTTTTGTGTTTCCACCTAAAAACTCCATAGGCAAGCAGTGCAGCATATATTGGATGCTGTGTATGCAAGGATACATTTTTTTTTTACAAATGTGAAAACATTTTAAAAATTTGAATTGACCTTGTGAATCATAACTGATGTTTAACTAAATTTTTTATATATTTTAAAAATAATTAGACCTGTTATTCAAATTCTACATATTGAACTTGCACAAGTATTTTGCTTGTTTCAGAAACAAATACATATATCAACATAATTGGATTTTTGTTTACAATAAATACTTTGCATTTAAAATGTTTCTACCAATATGCACTTATAATAAAAAACTGTTTGCTATATAATAAGTGGAATTCAACAAAACTTTGACATGTTACTTACTTCAACATTTTCCAGAAATACCAGAGACAGTTCCATATCATCCACCAAAATTGACCATACAAACAAATCACGGAATGCTAGCTTGTTCTTGACTGATGGGTATGATTCATCTGTTTACATATTAGAGAATAAATAATTTAAGTGTTTCATTTTAAAAATCAACAACTAATGTCACTACTTTATTTCTAACAAACTGAAAGGGTCTTTAAAAGTCAAAATAATTTTTTTTTAGATAATTGCTATAGACTATAAAAGTTTTACTCATTAAATGTTTTGCTACACATAATTATGTTATATATATATATATATAATATGATTTGTATTGTTCATGGAGTAAAACTTCAGAGAATATTAGTTTGGGCACGAAAATAAAAACTGAGATAAAAATTATAATGAGAGGTGTGGGTGTTTTTTATTTTTAGTTTTCTATCACTCAATGTCAGCCCTTCAAGTCAGTAGAACATCCCTGAGTCTGATGGGTCCCTGACTCAAGTTAGTGAAAGTAAAGGTGGCTGGGCATAATGCTGACCACAATATCCCTTCTTATGCAGAAACAGGGAACTCTACTTCACTTGTTCATAGACCTTCAGGTTTGAAAGGGAATTTTACTTTTTTACTTTTCAAAGTCAGTCCATAGTAAAGTAATGTACCTATTCTATATTGCTTTTATTACCAAAATAAATATTAAGTGTTAATAGCTGAAAAAGGTTATACACAATTTGATAGTACTCCTAATAGTTTTAAAAAACATTCAGACTTACCTTGACTAAATGCGGTTATCTGTTGGACTTTTCTGTAGTGTTCAAACAAATAGAAATCTCCCAGCATTTTGATCAGCTCTGTAGAAACATCTTTCAAACTAGTCACCTTTCCAGGCTGGATTAACAATTAATTACAATTTTTAAGTAAAACAGCAGAGAGTCATAAAATTAATCAAAATATGTGGGCCAATTTTAAACAAAATGAAGGTTTCTTATGTTAAAGAGTTTTAAAGTCCAACATTTTTTAAAAAGCAGTAATTCAGTAAAAAAAAACAAGTTAATCAAAAAGTCTAGTGACAATTTAAGCGCTATTTCCTTATGTTATCTAAAAATAGCTCTGACATATAATGCTGGGGTGCGTTCAAGCTAGGAGAACGATCGGTTTGTAGGTGTTTATGTAATTTTAAAATTTGTGCCCGAACGAAAGGATATTTTTGAAAACTTTCTTCGGCAATATTGTTCTAAATTATGGCAGGAATCGATTGGTAAATGTTTCAAGTCGCTAAGTGGTCTGGTTGCCGAGATATGGGCCAAAAACTGCTTTTTTTTGAGGTTTTTTGGCTTTTCTGAGAAATCCAGGAAGGAATTCCGGGAATTTTTTTGGCCCACTATCATCCTCGGAACTTGCTTAACGAATTTGCTTTGGAACTAGTCCTCGATATTGCTTCGTTGAGGAGGAGATACGACTTAAAGCTGCGAACACACATCCATCCATTCCCAGAAAAGACGAGTTAATAAACACAATTCTCCGAATGGAAATTGCGCTAAAAACTATACAGGGCCAATTCAACGCAAGTGTATTTTATAACTAAGTACAGCCATAGGATACAAACTTAAATTAAAATTTTTTTCATCCATTTTTTTTCTCCAGGTAATTAATTGGGCAAGGCTACTTATTGTAATGCTACCCATTGTAAGAAGTATAACTATCTTTTCTTATAGATAACACCCTATACCTTGTATAAAAATGTTTTATTTTTTATTTTGCTATTTTTAATACGTAAATACTAATTAATAACACACAATTATATGAAAATTAAAAAAAAAATTTTACCTCTACATTTATGTTTTCTTTTTTTAAGTATAATTTAGTGAACTTGTTGAGTCATGCCGTTAGTTTCCGTTAATGTTTTTTTTTTTTCGGAGTACTGAAGTTAATGATAAAGAGTTTTATAAGCAGTCCTCAAGTTAAAAAGTCAATTGGCGCTAACTTGATGTATACTCTAAACAAGCTAAACATAAAAACACCATCTTCTTACTCTTTACCTACCAATTTAGCATACAATCCATTCATTGTGCGCAATGTAAAAACCTGTCTAAAATCACAGCCATTACTGATGAAGAACTCCACAAACTTGTGACGCCTTAGCTTGACAGCATTGATTATCACAGTAACAAGCCATTGAGATTTCTACAAACAAAACAAGAATATAGCATAATCTTTATAAATTATTTAACTATTGTTAGTTATCAATATTAATTTGTTAATTGAGTTTGTAATATTTAAGTACAAATATGATTTCAGATAAGATGATAGATGTAATATTACCCATGTCTGACAATAGACTCTTTTGAAAATATGCATTTTAAGTTGTTAGTAGAGTTGTAATTTTAGGTTTAGTGTTATAGTAAAAAATTAGGGATGGCTTTGGCAGGAAAGGGCCTAGGGTTTGGATTAGGGATAGTGTTAAAAGTGTCATTAGTGTAATAGATTGAAATAATTGTGAGGTCAAGGGAACTCACTCTCTGTATTAGTATTACATTTATATTGTTATCTTGAGTGATGTCCCTTACATGTTGTTATCTATATATAGTGGTCTCTGGCCACTCACTTCCTCTCTCTTCGCATCATGGCGTCTGTACATAATAAATGTGTTATATACAACCACAGGCTTCTGTCGTCAATCTATTATAACTGGCGACGAAGGATAAACATCTACTAAAAAGAGCACCTACTTACGCAAAAAAGAGGTTTGCTAGAGCTTATTAGCTAATTATTTCTAGAATAATGGCGCTGTATGGCCAAATAAAAGAATTTGATGCGAATGATGAAATCATTCAAGATTACCTAGAGAGGTTAAGCTTTTACCTAGAAGCTAACGACGTGACGATAGAAGCCAAAAAGAGAGCTATTTTGTTAACAGTCATAGGGCCTCAACAATTTAGGCTACTAAAAGACTTATGCGCACCAGCTAGTCTAACTACCAAGAGCTTTAACGAGCTGAGCAAATTGCTAACAGACCACCATGCGCCTACCCCATCAAAGTTTTTATGTAGAGCTAGATTTGACAGTAGGACTCGTCAACCAAACGAGTCAATAACAGAATATGTTGCTGCTTTACGTCATTTAAGTAGATTTTGTGAATTCGGCGATACGCTGTCTGACAGACTATGTGAAAAGTTTGTGACAGGTGTAAACAGCCCTGATATTCAAAGAAAGTTGCTGCTCGAGTCAGATCTAAAATTAGAAAAAGCAATACAACTTGCAACTTCAATCCAGCAGTCATCAGATGCGGCGAAATCTCTAACGCCTTCAGGGATCCATGCAGTAAACAGCAGGTTAGTCAATAAACATCAACCCCATCAGAGCATTCCAACTTATGCTAAACAGCCTGCTCGTTCAAATCCTAGATCTAAATCTAGTAATAATTATCAAAAATGTCATCGATGCAAAGGTCCCCATGCATCTCATCGGTGCAAGTTCAAGTTAGCAACTTGTTATAAGTGCGGTAAGCAAGGTCACATTGCCAAGGCCTGCTTCGCAAAGTCTTCGTCTGTTGCTAAATCTAGCCAGTCAAGACAGTACCGCAACCAAAAGCAGCACTATGTTAACTCTCACCAAGACTACCTAACCCAACCAATGAACCACTCTACCTGTGAAAATGCTCAAATTGATTTGCAGCCGGATTTCAACCTGTTCTCTGTTAAATCAATAAGTCATGCTCCCATCAATGTACAAGTTAATATCAACGGTAAGAGCATCAGCTTCCAACTTGACACTGGAGCATCTCTAACAGTCATAACAAAGAAAGATTTTGACGCTGTCGCAGGAGGATCAGTGCCTCTACAGCCATGTCACAAGTGTCTAACAACATACACTGGTGACAATGTTCCGGTAATAGGAGAGTGTATGGTTCATGTAAGTTATAATGGTCAAAGTGTTAAACTTCCTCTTCTTGTGGTTGAAGGAAATGGACCGCCATTACTAGGTAGGAACTGGTTAAGTAATCTTAAGTTAAATTGGGAGAGTATTTGTTCATTGAAGAATGTAAAAGAATCTAGTCTTACTTCACTAGATAAAGTTATATCTGAAAATAAATGTGTTTTTGGTAATTCAGGTTTACTAAATGATAGAACAGTGAAGTTAAGCATTAAAGATACAAATCCAAGATACTGCAAAGCTAGAGTTCCACCTTATGCAATGAGGAATAAAATTGAAAATGAGCTAAGTAGATTGGAATCTAATGGCATTATAAAGAAGGTAGACTATTCCGATTGGGCGACACCCATTGTGCCAGTGTTAAAGAAGGATGGTTCTATAAGAATTTGTGGAGATTATAAAACTACACTGAATAAGCAAATAGAGCTAAATAGGTACCCCTATTCCTAACATTGAGGAAATTTCTTTGAATTTGGCAGGAGGAGACAAATTCACTGAATTAGACTTTAGTCATGCTTACACTCAACTAGAACTGCATCCAGATTCAAAAGTCTATACGACAATAAACACACATAAAGGACTCTACCAATATGAAAGACTATGTTTTGGCATATCATCTAGCCCTGGAATTTTCCAAGCTGTCATGGACAGTATTTTTAAGGATATTCCAAATGTTTGTGTGTACTTTGACAATGTGTACATAACTGGTAAGAATGACACTGAACATCTTAAAACACTTGATAAAGTATTAAAAATTGTTGGTGAAAAAGGTTTAAAGATAAACAAAGATAAATGTCAATTCATGTTGACAGAAATTAGTTTTCTTGGTTATATATTAAGCAAGCAAGGTATCAGACCTCAACCTGAGAAAACAAAAGCCATTAAAGAAGCACCCAAACCTGAAAATACCCAACAACTAAGAGCTTTTTTGGGCTTGATAAATTACTATGCAAAGTTCATAGGGAATCTGTCTGGTAAACTATCACCACTGTACAAGCTGCTACAGAAAAATGCAACTTGGCACTGGGGTAAACAACAAGAAGCTGCTTTTAATACAGCAAAAGAGGCTTTGTCTTCTGACACCTTACTAACTCACTATGACCCAGGGAAAAGACTTATATTAACATGTGATGCTTCACCAGATGGTGTAGGAGCAGTCTTGTCCCACATGGATGAGAAGGGTGACAGACCCATTGCTTTTGCCAGTAGATCTTTGAACCAGGCTGAGAAAAATTATTCTCAGTTAGATAGGGAAGGCTTAGGCATCATTTTTGGTGTTAAGAAATTTCATAAGTTTCTGTTTGGTAGGAAGTTCACCATCTTTACAGATCATAAACCATTGCTAGGTTTATTTGGAGAAAACAAAACCCTACCTGAGCATGCCTCACCAAGGATTCAAAGATGGGCTATCAGACTAACTGCATACAATTATGAATTGAAATACAAACCTGGATCTGAGAATAGTGCAGATAGTCTTAGTAGATTACCTTTAAAAAACCAAAGCCTGAGCTATGTACCAGAAGATGTATTTGTTCTCTTCACTATCATGGATAACTCCAATATAAATGTGAATGATATTAAAAGAGAAACACAAAAAGATGAGTGCTTAATAAAAGTATATGAGTACTGTAAAAATGGTTGGCCTGAAGAGTCAGTGAATGAGGACTTAAAGCCATATAAAATAAGAAATTAAAACCCTTTGTGAAGATAATATAAAAGATGGAGAAGATGCAGTCCATTATCAGTCAGAGTTGCCTAAACAAAGTATTTGTAACTTAATAAATGATTATGGTGATATGGCAATTTCAAATCTTTTAAAGAGAATACATTAGTAAGAAGGAATGTGATCATCAAACA